AACTATTTAATAACGTGGGTTTCAATTTTGATTTAAAGCTTTCGTGACTGCAGGGATTCATATTCTTGGTTCTTTCGGTAAAGTCACGTAGAAGGGAAATAATAAAATAATAAAAATATAAAACAATATATTTCCCTTCTACGTGACTTTACCGAAAGAACCAAGAATATAACGTGGGGTTCCTTCCTATATTTATTCTGAACCTCCTTGCTGAATGATGTACCCAATGAGCGATCTCATATCGACACCTCAACCCACTGAATCGTTCGTTATTTCATTTATATTTTCACTCGGAGGAGGGGGGGGGGCACTTATTGCCACAAGCGTCACGTTGTCGTATCACACTTGCCAACGGACAGAGCCGCCTATCCCAACGCTGGCTCGACGTGGTTAGGTCGTGACACGGGCTGATGGGGTGGCATGAAAATACGCGTTGCGTTCCCATCACCATGATAGCCACGATTGCTCGCTAAAGCCACCCAACCACCAATGCTACGCCAAACACCGACGCCAAACGTCAACACCAACGCCACGCCAGCCACGGCCGACCACAACACCGACCGACGGCTTGGTGGAGCCCCAACGGGAAACGCGTCGTCTTAAATAAACAAGAACAACTCCGGGCATCAACCGCAGGACTTGCAAGCACAGACTTGTTTAACCTTTATCAGCACCGTTAAAACAAATCACACTTTATTGGGGAGCAAGGCAAACAGGCTGGCAGGTTTCACGAAGGAAGTCATGCTCGCTGCAGAGCCCTTTTATTCTAAGGCTCGTTATTTGTGTGTTTTTAAAGCAGAGGGCCTTTTAATGGATCCCTTCAGCAGTTGCCCAACAATGATGAGGCTACTAAAAGCAAAAAAAAACTCCTAAAGTTACTAATGTGTGTGTGTATGGGTATTGAGCTAAAGAATTCAATTACCTTTTTGTAAGAATTTTGGGACTGTGGGGATTACGCGTGTAAGTCGGATCAGGGTACACAGGTTAAATCTGCACCATCCTCGCATTACTCCTGCACTTCAGGCTGCCGGGTTTTTAGAAATGTCACACGCATCGCTAAGCGACTGCCAATCCCCTACAATTTGCAACGGGCTGCTGCCGCCGCCGCCACCTTATTTTTAAGCGCCAGCCACATTGTTCACGGGTGGCTGCTCCTGCCAATAACATTCGGGCCTCCGAGTGAAAAAGTAAAGGTGGATGCAGCATTTCTGTTACTTGCTCACACCACTGCTGGCGGAAGTGCCTCCAGTAGATGGGAGCACTGAAGATCCGACCGCTCCCCTCCACTAAGCGGTTAATTTGGCCGACTCTTGACACGCTGAGCAGGCGTCTTGGAAGATGGTGGGCATACCCACACTCTACCCCATCACACGCGTATCTGTCAATCGCCTGTGCTGTTGTCATGCATGCTGCTGATATAAATGGGCATGGTGGTAGCGGTTAAAGAGTAACGCCTCGCCGAAGAGACGCAACTATAGGTACAAGTGCTCAGTGTGTAACCCTTCTGTGCTTACTGCTGTAAGTAAGCTTGTACAAATTTACTTTCGCGTGTTATGAGCCTCTTACCAAATCACTCAAGAGTGCGTTTGATCTCATCGGATCTCGGAGGCCTGAGCTTGGAGCCCGGATAGCGCGTGGATGGATGACCATCACCATGCGTAAAAAACACACACACAGGCGCTGCAGGCTGCTGCAGGGCTACGTTGTCAGCTGATGGGAGGGAAATAAAATCTTTTGCTGTAACTGTATTAAGCTCCAAAGTCAATTATATTCACCTTCACCGACCCACACTGATTTGCATGGGTCAAGTACTGTCGTTCTCCTATAACGGCGCGTGTTTTCATAACGCCAATAGGATATAACGCGATGAATGTATTGGGGAACACATTTTTAAAATCCTTTATATTAAGTTCGCTTGCTTGCTTGCTTGCTTACGACCGTGTAAATCTTTCGGTCGTTTTTTAACCCACTTCCCGTGATCCAATCGAGTTGACATTTTCCACACAGACTCGTTGTGCGTGACAATTAATGTTCGTGAAATTTTTTTTCCAAAATTTTACACTTTATAGGACAAAAATATTATATTTAATTACCAATTGTTTAATACTGCAGGCAATCATCTGACCCATAGGTGGCAGCCATCTCAAGCCAGAGGACGAGAGGACTCTAGCCGCCACGCATATAAAGGATTTAGAGTGAAAAACTTTGTTTTTACGGGTAATACTTATATATAACGCACATGCAAAATGGATATAATGCGATTCAGTGAACAGAACTTTGTCGCGCGAGTATGATTAAGCGGTTGTACGAAAACACGTGGCTTTAAAAACAAGTACAACTTAAAGATGATTACATTTCTTAGTTTTTACACACTTTATTGAACTTGCCGTGTTGCCCGATTAAATTATTTCAAATGTTTTGACGATTAATATCTTCGGATCTACGATGTCTAACGAGCTGAAATTTTCGACACATACTCGTCTCGAGTGGCAATTCTAGATTTAATTAAAAAAATAAACCGGTCCAGGCACTGCCGATCCTGGGCTATTCATATTTTTTACTTAATTTTAATACCCTGACATTTGGCCTCCCCTCCCCCCTTTTTTGAAATCTCGAATGGTCGCGCCAGGCTACGAGGGCAAACGTCTCGTCCAATCAGAGCAGCTGTTCGGGAGCCTTTGACCAATGAAAGCGGCGCTTATATCGCCACTCGGCATGGCGCCGTAGCGGCCGCTGTGGTTCCCTCTTAGCGCGAGACCAACGCTTACAATAATAATGACTCCTCTTGCTATTGCCAAAATAATTTTAGAGTTATCATCTTAATAAGTAATATTATCGTTTGCTTTGCGATGCCCGTTCCGATGCGCTGAGGGGCAACATGGTTCTGGCTCAAGTTGAGCGAGCAGGCGAGAATCGTGATCATGTTTTAGAATTAAATACGGTAATATTATCCCTATTTTGATTGATAACATGTTCTAATTATGTTTGTTGATAAAAATCCTTTAAATGAAAGTGCTAAATCTGTGCACTTTGAATATTGTGTCACAATATGCTGTGCATATACAAGCATTGTTACAGCATTCCAGTCTATATGCGTCTTACAGTCTTCCATACAGTAATTAATTATCACAAATATGCCAATGAAACACTTTATACTATACGTATCGCCTTGTTATAAATGTCAATTCGCTACTTTTCAATCGGGGATCGTTATTCTAGTTCTAATCGCCATCCTTCGTGCTATCAACCTTTCATTACGTAGACTGTTATTGTATAGCAATGCGCATGCTTTCGTTTATTGTAGGGTCAACGGTTAACCTAGGCAAGCCATCATTGCCATCTCTACAGGGTCATAAAATAGGTACCAATTAATGCGAAGTCGTCAGTGGTTGTTAAAGCTGGTCCCTACCATGGGAATGTGGAATTTCCACTGGTGGAGATGAGCGCCGCACAATGCCCGTAGAAGCACAGAGACCTTTTGTCAATCCACCGCTGGATGAGGGCCTCCAATTGCCGAGCTGGTTGTGGAGGCCGTTTGACCATACGCCACCCCGGCTGGTCAGTGCGGATTGGTAAAGGTGGGTTGCATTGAAGTATAGTACAACTGGACGTAAACACGTAGCTCCCCGCAGCCCTATGAAAACCTGTAAGTGCATGGTGGGCACCCATCCAGACACTGTCCAGGCTCAACATCTGCATGGCTTTCGAAGTCCAACTAGAACGGCTGCATTCCAAGTCCAGGTGATTTGTTCATAGGCGGTGAAGGTTATAGTGCTGCTGTTCTTAACAGTTAACTACCTCGCCTGGTATACAGGAGGTTGTGGGTTCGATCCTGACACTGACACATGTATATTCGGAGTTTACGTGTTTTGCCCATGGGTCGCGTGGATGTTTTTCCAGGTCCTCTGGTTTCTCCCCCACATTTAGAAACATGTGCTTTGAGTATTTGGCTCTGATACATTTCCACATGATAAGCCACTTCATTGGGCCATCATGTGTCCAGGTTGCTTCTGAAAAAGAGCTATACTGTATGGCTCTAGTGGGCCTTACCTGGTGAAATAAAAGTCGTTAAATAGTTAAAAGTTTTTCAATGCACGCACTTTTATTTGCACTCAAAAGTAGATCAAATTTGATTTGCTGAATATAAGTGGGTGGTTTCCTTTTGATTAGTTTAATTTGCTTGATGCAAGCCACCCACTTATGTTCAGCACATCAAATTTGATCAATTATGGGGTCAAATTATATTTTTTCTACTTTTGAGTGCAAATAAAAGTGTGTGCATTGAAAAACTATTTTTTACCAAATTTATTTTGACTGGCAAAATACTTTTCTAAATCATCCACAATGTCCTTATATCCACGAACATACAAAATGTACCATGCAATTTAAGGGTACATTTCGTTTGCTTGCAATGTAACAATTTGAGATCTCCCACTGCTCCGACGAGTGGGACTGTATAGATCCATTCACAATGAATGAACTTAAAATGATGAATGCGTGTTTCTGTACAAAAACATTCAAGTGGGTGTTTTCGCATTTAACAGATATACATAGGCGCGTGGGAAAATTATTTTTAGGTTTGCAGGGGGAAAGTGGCTATCGGGGGGCGGGGGTCGATTGAGTGGTGGCACAGTGGTCGAATAGATTTAAATTCTCAGTCGTGGCTAACATGAGTAACGAGCAATATCTGAACCTCTCCCGAATAACGTCCGCCTTTAACAACCCGCACTGACCATGACCGTCGCAGTGAAGTATGGTCAAACAACGCCACATGCCCAACACCACGTGGGGTGGTCGTCATTCAGTGTATTGACAAGGGGCCGAACACGAAGTAGCTATGGGCACCCATGCCAAGCAACAAAGGAAACCAATGGAGGCAATTGATTGAGAGGACACAGCGTATGGCTTGCACACAAAAGGTGGACAGAAGAAAGCCGTCCTCCTTGCCCGTGTGTTCCCACACCTATGGGCATACACAGCATGTCATAGGGTTGCCTGACCTGTCATGTACGTGCCGCTGCTGCTGATGCTGCTGCTGATGATGATGCTGATGCTGCTGCTGCTCGTACATTCGCGGCAGGAAGTCCTCCTCATGGATGTCGGGCAGACCGTACGGCGGCACCGGTAGAGGGGGGGCCCTGCCGATCCCCACCGTCACCAGGAAGCGGTCCGAGCCCCCATGTGCCTCGGCACGGGCCCCCACACTCGCCGGGCGCGCGAACCTCGGCGACAACCTCTGCTGCTGCTGCTGCTGGTGCTGGGACGCGGCGGCCGGCGACAAAGTCGACACAGTGTTGGCGCCCGACGCCGGCCACACCATTGCCAGGCTGCCGCCACCGCCGGCGATGATCCCCGCTGTGCTGATCTGCGATGGGCTGCTCGATGGGCTGCTGCTGCTGGCGCCATGCAGTTGGTCTTGAGTGCCGAGCCGAGCGGCGATCGGGGAGCCGGCCGCCGCCTGCGAGCCACCCGGCGCCACGAGCTGCTTGGCGGACGACTGCCGTGCAGGCGCTCGGCCGAAAATGCCCTTGGCAGAGAGCGCCGATGAGAGGCCCGGAGATGAGTCGGAGAGGGATGGCATCGGAGGAGGAGGGCCCACGCTGGGTTTGCCGCTCTTCCCTGCCGCATTCTGCTGGGGTGGCGATTTGAAGATCTTCCCGAAGAACGAGCCGATGTCGAAGAAGCCGAGAGAGTTCAGCTTCATATTGCCCAGCGTGCGACGATCTGTCGGCACCGCGCCGATTGCAATTATGCACCGAGTGCGTGTTGCGTTTACTATCTGCGACAGTTATGGCTTGTTCTCGCTAATTGTATCCTAACTTGTATAATTATAATCAAACCAAGAAAAGCTGCCCTATGCTGGTGTCTATGATTCCTCTCAATCTTGAACTAATTTGTATGCTTTGAGACGCTTTACAAATCCAACAGATGGTGTTAGCGGTAGACAATATAAGTGTTTTTTTTAATACATACTTTATTCCAAAGAAACTATTTTGAACAGATTGTTATTGTTAAACAGTTGTTAACACCATTTTTACTTAGAGATCCCAATTTCAGCAACAGAAACAAATCACGAGACTTCAAACTAGAGACTCGCATCCACCACGGCGGACGCGTCTTGCATCTTGACACGATCGTCACAGAGGCCCTTTTCTTGCGATGCAGCAGTGAAGTTGACGTAGCGTTATAGCTTAAAAAATAAGACTTTTCCCTTCGTCCGCCGCGCCGTTTTTTTATCCTACAGCAAACTGCCACAAGGTCCTCTTGTTATTCAACCAGAGCACGAGAAAACAGAGCTCAGCATGCCATGCCACAGGCGTGCGCAAGAGACATCCGCAAATGCCGTACCCCGTTGACAGGATCAGGATGATGTTTCCACTCTTGCGACTGACAGAAAATGAGCAAGGTAAACCCGATCCTTTTAAAACAACTCATTAATCAGCCAGGCAGCCATGCGGGCGAGCTGGCGGGCGGGCTCAGTCGTCGGCGAGCGCTCTCCCCTCTCGCTTTCGCCGTGTTTGACGCTCGGGGGACGAAAGAAAAAAAACCAGGCTGGCATGAGACAAGCAACCCAAGCGGGGTTAATGTTTAATTTACGAACACAAACACAAAGTTGTACAGCGCAAACAGCAGCGTCTGCCCGATAGCAGGCCCGGCACAATCGCTGGCAGTCGCGCTCTTCTGCGTGTGTGCACCCGAGCTCTGGCTCACTCCCCTCTCTGTGCCTGGTGTGTTGCTAAGGCAAACACAAACAGCACTTGTTACTGGGAAGAGATCCACCATACTCAGCACCTTTTCGTTTCGAGTGAGACAGGGAAGGCAATGACTGGTCTGTGGAAAATGTCAAATTCAACGCGAGCCTTTGCAAGCTAATTCAGCTCACGTACGTCGCATTGAATTACGTAATGAATCAAGTGTTGCGGTAATACATCGCTGCTCTTAATTCTTTATTTATATCCAAGAAAGCCTCGCTGAGTCTCAATACGTTTTCAGGAGGGTCCTGCATTTTGGTAAGGACAGATATGCGGGCCAGCCATTGACCAGCTCACGCCGCTTGCTGGTAGAGGGGGGCCTCCGCTAGAGGAACCCCCAGAGAACATCTCTCTCGAAGAAGCCCCTTGAGAGGGTAACTTGGGTTACTCTTCCACTCTGGTCAGATGTCCTTAGGACGTTATGTCAAGTCCTTTTTTGTTGTATTGGTTTTTTGCGTGGGAGACAGGAAGGCCGAAACACCAGGAGAAAACCCGCATATATGATGCGAGGTGATAATGGAAAATAATTTTGCACCGAGTTTCACGAACACTCTTGCTGTACTACAATCGCCTGACCACCCCCACAGCCTGGAAGGGTTTTGTAGTTTCACAAAAATGTTCACGGTCCACCAACCCTGCTCCCAAACCACAGGATCGCTGGAATTCGACACACTGCCCGGCATAGCCACCTCTTTATTGCAGAATATTACGCGCGTGTACGGTCATATTGAACGGCTCGAATCATATCCTCTCGACACGATTGAGTCATGCGAGGTACACATTGCAAGTGCTGAATGAATAAGTCACCACAAATACAGTTTTTACATCCCAGAGCCCCTTTGCCAAGCAAACTCTCGAGTAGACGAAGCTACGAGGGTTATCGATGCCATTCACTTAACACAGTTGGAAAGACTGCACAGCAATTAATGTTTATTCCTGGCCCATTAAATCCATTTGCTTCTTCAACTTGCCCGAAACAAGGCCACCAGCCTCAATGTCACGCTGTTAGCAGGCCTGCATGAGAAAGACCCGTGCAGAAGGATGTCACAATATCTGCAACGATGCATCCATTACGGCCAATTCTTACACATACAATGCATGAATTGAATCTGTTTGTAATTTACAGTCCATGCAAAGTATATGCAATTGATAACCTGTTACATTTAGGCTAATGGTGTGAACAAAACTGTCAAACTGAGAACAACAAATGAGGAGCAATCACGGACGAGGCGGCAAAAATAAGAGTTAATAAGAGCAAGAAGGGGATTCTTCAATTGATCCGGACTCGTGATAATGGTCTAGCGACTCCTTGTGGGCCGTGCTGGTATAACCACCAATACAGCCGCGCCGTATAATATGTATAACACACATATTATCTATACGATGTTTTTTGGGTTAGAGTGCGTAAATATAAATGTGTCGTGAAACCCGCCACCACCCGACAATTCTGGCTGTCGCCTGATGAGGCTGGTTGTAATTATCGGCAAAACGTCGAACTCGAATTGTAAATGTTGTGGGTTTACTCTCCAACACACCGGTGTGCTGAACTAGTAACTAATTGACACGTTTTGTTTCCGTGACAACCCTTACTAATTGGCTGTGTCGGGTGGTGGAGGGTTTATCGACACATATTTACACGATCTAACCCAAAAAAAACCTTTAATGTAATACACACGTTTCCTGCACACAATGAGAAACACCATTAACTATTACTAAACGTACGTATTCACAATACCGCCATAAGGTAAGCAAAGTAAAATCTATAATACTCAACAAAAAAGCAGCCACTCCCCTCTTGCTCCTTCTTCTCTGCTGCCCTCATTGTCTTGGACTGGACAAAGTCATAGTTGTCTTGGTGATTTCCCCCCATTGTTGGCTATGGGAAAATTTGAATTTTTTTCGTAAAAATTGCCATAAAAAGACAATAATTCACGTGTGTGAATCGGGCTGAGAAAGTATGACCAGTGAACGTATATAATACCACGTGTTTGCATATCCCTATATACGTGCCGTGTCAACACCACATTCCGTCTTAAACATTAACCAACATTACTGAAGTGACCTTGAATATCTTGCTTCGCGGCTGCATTGGGAATGAGCAACCTTTCCACAAAACACGAGCAGTCACAGCTCAGCCGTGCCAAACAGCGGGCATAAACAAAACGGCGAAAGCCATCGGAGGTGCCTGCTAGAGAATTCCTGCTTGCCATTTGATCGGGGGGAGGGAGTCAGTGCCGCTAACGGGTGGTCCAAACCTGCTGAAGGTTGGCAGTAGCCAGGACGTTTGGCTGCCTAAAGTGAAGTGCACTCTGCCAAGTGGCAGGACGGTCAGCAAACACAAACACACACGCGCGCACACGCAGTCGGAACGGCGCAGAAACAAAGCGCTCTAACAAACGCACGCTTTGCTCAGGTTACGTTGGGTGTTGGTGGATGGTTGGATAATGCACGAGTTGCCGCGTACGCAACTGTGCCAGACAACAGTAGCCGCTTTGCAGGTTTACATGCGCAATTACTAAAAAGAGCATCGCCTGCTGCAGCATGCAGGCTGGATGCTGACGTTGTGTGCCGCGTCAAAGTAGTAATGACACTAACGATTGCTGATACTGTTAGCGTAACAGCTTTAATATTACAGTACACTGTGCACTTTCCTAACATCTCAAAGTATGCTCGACACCGCTGGGATGCAGACCACCGAAGGAACCGTGGCTAGCTGCCGCAGGTAGTAGGAGTAATAATGCACACAAGGTGATTTGCAGACAGCGAAAGGTGTGATTGTGACCAATGGATCGGTCCTCCCATTGGGACCAACGTGTCACGTGACATCACACTGCATATATAATGCAGCAGGACTAAGAGATAACTTTATACCAAGTGCACTTGTTTTCGAAATCATCAGGACAGTGCAGCCATTCTTGCCTTTTTTTATCTGATGATTTTCTTGTCTGAGAACATGTTAGATTTGGTTCATTGCTGCAAATAGTGTTTACAAAAACAGATAAAAATTATATCGCGAGCGTAATCATGACAATAATACAGCAATAAAAACACATCACGCACCCAACACAAAGCGGCAAGTTCATTACCACCTTTTTGATGCTTTTGTTCCTTAAAAAATTATAATCCAAGTACAGAAATATGGTCAAGGAAAATAATGTCACCGTGTCTCCATCCCCGAAAACAATGTCTGTTGACTCGCTCATATGTTCTCTGTCGCGCTTGCAACTCTGCCGGATCTCTGGCCACTGCATCCAATTTCACGGCGCTTGGAAGCCCTCCAACGGTGGGGTTGGGGGGGTAAAAAAATCACCACGGAGGGCATTCCCGAGCCGAAGCAGCACAGTTAATCGGCAACGACGCACGGACACACATGGACCAGCTGTCACCGCGACATGGGAAGGGATGTGAAGTCTGTTCGAGGAAGTCAAAACAGAAGGGGGGAGACAGCCAAGGGTGCTGCACCCTGGACGCTGCCACGAAATTTAGCAGTGTCATCAGTGTCCTCTCATAATTGTCTCAGCTATAACGGCGCTCTCGTGAAGCATGACATTGTATCTGAAAGCTTCCAGATAGGGTCATGGGCTGCTTTGACGATGGGCATCCTGCATCGTTTGAACAAGCTCGACTGCTGATGAGACCCAGAAGGTCGAAACAGGTCCAAGAGTCTGCTTCCTGAAGCAAATTCTGCCGAATAATATCAGTGTGGAAAGCCAATAAGCCAAGTGGCTGAAACATGAGTCTTTATATGTAAAGAAAGAACCGATTCCGTGCTTATATATGTGCAACGGTGAAAACCCGCTTGGCACTATTCTGGCCCAGAGTGCACATTCATTGCCGCGAAAAAGCGTGGCCCACGCGGCATGGGAGAGGGCTTTCAAGAGATGAGTGACGCAGCATCAGCAGTAGCAGGATTTACGGGGGTACTTGATGGGCAACGTCCTTGTGCCGGATGGAGGAGCACTTGTCGCTCGGTGGAGAGGGTGCGGCGGCCGTGGCGTGGCCCATCCACGCACTGCTCTCACAGCATCACGCGGGGCCCACTGGCCGGTCGAGGCCGTCCTTACAAGTTTATGCACGGTGAAATTAAAATGAAACGCGCGGCGTAAAGTTTTCTGGTTGTAAGAAAAAAATAAGAACGATGGTATAAACATTTTGCTTGGCATGGATGGCCATGGCGAATTAATGCTCAGCTTTTTGTCAGTCCACTGCTGGATGAAGGCGTCTCTATGCCGTGACAATCGTGTGGGTTCATCTTCTTGGTTCTTTCGGTAAAGTCACGTAGAAGGGAAGTAATAAAATAATGAAAATAAAACATAATAAAATAATTCTCACGACGTTTCGGCCACAACGCAAGCAGCCGCCCACAGGTGAAAACCAGGTCTGTCGAGGCGTCTGAATGAAACAGCACTTTACCGAAAGAACCAAGAAGATGAATCCCTGCAATCACGAAAGCTTTAAATCGAAATCGTGTGGGTTGTTTAACAATACTTGACCACGCTGCTCAGTGGATGTTAAGGGGGGCTGGGGGCGAGCTCAGGACAGGTTAAGATATCACTGGCCACTGATGTTAGCCGGTGGTTAGGATAAAACTTGGACTGCAATGTTAAAAGCACGTTGTGCTAACCACAGTTTCAATGCTCCCTCACCACTGCAATTTATGCACCTGATTAGTGGATTTTTTAAGGCAATTTGAGTTTAATCTGCTAAGTATCCTGTTCACATAAATGCAAAGACTGCAACACTAGCAATGATTCATGCTAGATCATTAAAGAGTGTGTACTATTTAACATTTCCATTTGCTCGGGACAAATAGAAGTACAATCACCAAGACTTACTGCTAAAATTAAAAACCCAAAAAAACATGCTGTCAGTGATGCGGATAAAAATATTCAGTTCAAGATGTGAGTTCACTTGTTAAAAAGCTCTCATGGTTTTATTATGGTTCCGTGGATGTGATATTCCACAAGAGTGCCCTATGCTCCGAGCTAAGCCTATTAAAGGATGAGAGGTGAGATGTTAGCTGAAGAGAAAGGCTTTTCTGGGCACTCCCATTGTATGACTAAGATCTCTTATCCACGGGTGTTTGGTATATAAATGTAAATAACAGAACAGTATGAACTTGGCACCAAAGTACCACTTAAGTTGGCTGGCACATAAAAAAACACCTTGTAGATGTTTAGTAAAGTGATTATATACATATCAATATTATTCCATTGAACAATGTGGAAAAGTACAACATATGTGAGGGTCCACAAACACACACTTGAGGACTTGGAAACGCTTGCAAATGTGACAAACTTTGCAAGTGACGAAACGGTCGACCGTGTAACGGGCACCTCCAGGGCAAGGAGATTGCTGCGTGAGACCCAAGGCTGTTGCTTGCGCAAGTTGTGTGCGTGTATGTGGTGGAGGGGGGGTATGTGCATGCATGTGCATGTTGTGAGGTGGGGGATAGTGAGTGCGCTGTCGGTGCATGTGGTGGAGAGCGGAAATGCAGTGGTTAGTGTGCTGCACTACGAACCTGGTGAACCAAGTTCGATTCCCGCTCACGGCCAACACCAGTGACGATTATCTGAACTGGTCCTGGGCCTCCCCCGTTAGGTTGACTTAGCCTCAAATGAGTGCTTGGTGCGATGTGTAGGAGCTGGGTCTGGTGGTGGCTACACATCTTCTCATGTGCCGCGCCTGCCGTCATAGGTGCTCGCTAACAGCACTTGCCCACAAGTCTGTTCAGGCTATCGGGGGATATTTCTTTTTTGCACGAAGCTGCACACAAAATTTCCAGTCCTTCCGCTAAATGGGCACAAGCCAGGAGCTTAAGTGTGCAGAGAGTGGAACCAAACTTGAAAGAGGGGAAGAAGTATGTGAAGAAGCTGAAAGCTCAGCCTCCCCACTTGGTATCTGATAGAGACATGCTTTTCCGACAGAATTAATAGATTACGGGAGAGACCACATTGCATAGTATCAGCATGTGCTATTTTCCTTATATTTTTTCATCGCACGGAAATATTAATTCCTGAACGCTATAACTCACAGGCAGAATTTAAAATATTCACCAAGCTACTGGTGAAGCAGTAGATTGGTGTACCGACCCCTACATGAACATTATTTAAAGCAAAGTGTTATATACAACAAGATTTATAAAAAAGGACTTCAACTTCATATAAAATAAAAACTTAGTATATTTGAACGCCAAAACGTTTGTATAACTATGTATATATTTTATTGTTCAATGTTGAACAATGATAGAATAAATCGTGTTTGTATAATGATCAAGGCTTCACATGTGTCAGAAATATCAGGATACTCCACTCTTTGAGCTGCTGATGTGTAAATATTACACTTAAATTAGAAATGGTATTGTATTCTGAAATAAAACTATTTGAGGGTTCTTGCAGACTATAAGGCAGCATATTCAAGCACTTAAAGAATAAATTAACTGAGGTGTTGGTGCGAGCTTGGTGCACACACTGAGTAGGTGGTTTAACCTTGTGTTTTGCTTTTGGCCTGACCTTGCAGATGTAAAGGAATTGAAAACACCACAGCCAAATCTCGATCCATTTCACCATTATAGCTGTCACTTAGCGATGCAGCACCAGTTATTTTTAAATAGGCATTCGAGTCTGCAGTAAAATAAGGTATATTCCATTCGGAATTAGCCAACTAGGTTGGCTTACCTTCTACGTTATTGGTTTTCGGTTGCACAAATATCAGAGCAGAATTGCATTTTGGAAATTTGAGTCACATTGGTCCGAATGTGTAAATAGCAAGGAAATGCTTTCCGTTTGTGACTTGCTGATTAAAACTTCGACAGTATGGCCAGGTGAAGTAGAATTAGCTGGTCACAATTGGAAGGATGAGAGTTCAATTTCTGGTAGGTGGTTGACTAAGTCCCATCGTTAGTATGGAGTCAATAAATATTATTTTGTAGGAAGGGTGGTTGTTTAATGGATAAACTCACTCCACACCATAAAAATGTGGATTTTTTAACCACTGGCTTCAAGTTGTAAACAGCAGAATATAATTTGAACAGGAAATCGCTTGAAATACCATGTACCCAGTATTGCATATATATTTTTTAACTATTGCGTGGCAAACAAAATCAGTGTTCATACACAGAGACATTTTACAAAGAGCATTTGGTATACTCTTTGGTTCTTTCGGTAAAGTCACGTAGTTATTTCTAACTACGTGAATTTACCGAAATAACCAAAGAGTATGGATTTCTGCAGTCACGAAAGCTTCAAATCAAGATTTGATTTGGTATCCTTTAATTTAACCAAATGGAAGTCCATTGAGATCCACATTCAAGTCCGATGAAATAGGCAGGGCGACCCGGTAAATAACAACGTGTGTTCAAGTACTCTCCTCTTGAAAGATGAGTTATACAGCAGGTTCACGTGTGTCAATTAATACAACTTTTCACACTCTAGGAGGATGTTGGCGAGCGTTACAGTGACATATAACACTCTAAGCGGTAATTCCCTATTCCGATGTTCATCCTAACAGACAATCCAATATTGAATTTCCACTCAAAGTATGTTGCACTTCTTTTGCACCGTACGTAGTCAACCGTGCTAATCTGAGGTGCGGGAAATTGACATTTACACACATTATCACACTCGTATAATGCCCTTTATTTATACATAAAATCCAGATTCTCAAGAATCATTTTCAGGAGGATCATGCACTGGCAATTTTGGCCCATTCCATGAATGTGTTTCGCTTCGCGTGGGCGAAAACAAGAATATTAAATGAAAACCCCGCGCATGCGAGGTACGAACTTTCAAAGCTCCGAACAGATAGATTCAAGAATCCGCTGCTACACACTATGTACGCCCATCTCTTGGCCAACTCACAAAAGTTACGAACTCAGAAAGAAAGTGGGAATTTCTGCACTCACAGTTCAGAGCTGCTTGTCACGCGTCTCCTTGTGTACTTGGAAGTCATCACTGCCCGTGAAGAAAGCAGCACCACCCACCCGATCGGGAGGGCAGGGGGTGAGGGTGGTAGGTGCGCTGGCCCAGGGCCTAGGCGCGGGCTTTCCGCAGGAAATCCAGGCAAAGCGGTGTCCCCCAAGAGCGCCCGCGGGCAGACGCGGATGCCGGCATTGTTTGAAACACTGAGAACGTAGCGAAAAGTGCGGGCGAGATACGCGGTATTTTTAATGTCGTCCGCTGGTCGCTTTAAGCTTGTGGGGGCTTTTTTCCGTAGTTACTATTAAGTTTAAAGAAATAAGTAGGCGGATTGAAATGTGTTATGCGTTATCAAAACAAATAGCCGCAGCGTCTACGGGTCACTTTGCTGGACACCTTAGCGATTTTAAAATCGCGTTTGTATAACGAGGGCCACTCTCGTGGCACGTGGGTGTCACTTTTATTTCGAGATTTGAAGCTTTCGTGACTGCAAGGATTCATACTCTTAGGTTTTTTTTGGTAAAGTCACATAGGTAAAAAATAAATAAGAAAAATAAATAATAAAAATAATAGAAAAACAATAATAGAAATAATTATTCTTTTATTTCTATAATAATAATTATTTATATTATTTGTATTATGTTTTAATATTATTTATTTTTTACCTACGTGACTTTACCGAAAAAACCTACGAGTATGTCACTTTTATGTGGGAGGGCCGCGGGTATAGCTAACGGGCCTGCACGCGGCTCATCTTCAAGGACTTTGCTTTTGTGACGTTGTTATTAGTTCACATTGCATTGACGGCTTTTGCAAGAGGGTTAAAACAAATATTTGTAACCGAATTCGAAAAACAAAACGCCTCGTCTTGAAAAAAATTAGAATAGGCGTTAACCCTTTCTTGAGATAAATCAGATGTTAAGATGTTCAAATCCCAATTGGATACATTTAGCAAGGAATCAAGTCTGCATTAACCACACGTACTTGTGGTGAAAACGCAGACTAGCATGCTCTCATATTTGCCATTGTCTTTGAAACTGATTGGCCTACACCAGACAGCCTTCTTTCTGGCCGAGTCTCACCAGGATGAACAGTACAAAGACAATGCACGCATCAATGCATTTATAGCTCTGGTTGAGCAGCTATATAATTTGACCTTTTTTGCCAGTATCAAAGTATGAAAGAATGTTGGTTGCAATACAAGCAGAGTTGGGTGGTTGTTGTTTACCTGCCAAGTCCGATTCCCCCGTTACAGATCCCCCGTCGCCTCGCATTGAATCTCCAACTCGTATAAGGGTCTATGTACGAATCTTAATACAACCGCTATCTTAAGAAAGAGTGGACGTACTATATTGCCGAGGCAGTGGGGGGGGGAGAGACGTTATTAGCTGGAATGGCTGTGATATTCCTCTCCACTCCATCACACAGACAAATGGACCAACACGTCAATTATTTTTTACTTTCAAGACAGTGTTAACAAACGTGTTGACGTTTATGCTATTTTAACTATGGAACAGAATTCACGTGAAATTAATTTGTATAACGCACAGCTTGTATCACTGCATGTAGAGAACTAGGACGAATTTGTGGATAATGCATCTCATTACCTAAACACAATACACACAGACATAAAAACAAAGATGATCTGTTCGAACAAAGCTTTATTTTCCAAAACTATCTTCCACAAGTAAGACAACAGAACACCATAAGCAATAATAAAAGAAAATGAAGCAACGCATGTTTTTACGGTACACGGTTTGCTTCAAGGTGCTAATCACTCCTGAATGCCAAGCACAGCATTTTAGCAGTTTCCAAATGACACTCCGCCATTAACATACGTAGTCTTCAAGCCTAACATAGTTGTGAACGTTTACAAATATATAGTTCACGTCATGGTCATGCAAAAGTTTAGTGCGCACAATGTCCTGACAGAACAGCTACGAGCAACACATTTACACTTTGCCAAGAAAATGTATGCTCGTGGTAGGGCCATCAAGTTCAAGTTAGGTATGACAAAGTATCACAAACATATCGAGACAAAGTATCACAAACATATCGAGACAAAGTATCACAAACATATCGAGACAAAGTATCGCAAACATATCGAGACAAAGTATCACAAACATATCGAGACAAAGTATCACAAACATATCGAGACAAAGTATCACAAACATATCGAGACAAAGTATCACAAACATATCGAGACAAAGCATTCTTGGACAAATGTAGTTTTAACACTATACACTACTACAATATATACTTACTCCATTCACGTACATTTTTATTGCAAAAAAATGAATTTATACTTTCCTCAAGAAAATGAATGAGCAACACCTTACATAGAATTCTATTGATAAAATTTTTACAGCATTTTGCCGAGCTAACCAAACCTGGTTTCCATCTAATGAGGCATTTAATTATTAGCCTCTGTATTTCATGTCATTTAGAATGCTAAAAGCCATGCAACTGGTCCATATAATAAGAAAATGAAGGAGCTTGCTTCGTTCTATTTTGACCAGTAGAGTACACCTGACTAAATGTAGGCTGCTTCCATCAAAGGTAAACAGTTCCCTATGTAGTGAGCCTAGCAATCCATGCATTACATTTACCTCCAATAAGTAACCCCATATTTTGCATATGATGCAGTCATTTCACACACGCGGTAGAATACATCGCAAAAGAGCGCATGCAATTGCAAGGGCCTGCGTGAGCAAGCACCACAAAAAACAATACTGCATACTTTTCTAGTTATGCCAGAGTGCGTGTTTAAAAAATTTGCTCTTGCAAATAACAATATTTGGATTACTAAGAAAAATAAGCCAATGCATTTCACCTAAACCGATGGGTTGTTAAAAACACTCCATATGCATTAAGAACCCCTCCCCCTCCCAAGCCACACCATCCATGCCTGTTACCAACTAGTTTTAGTGCGCGTCTACTCTGGAAGCAAAATGCACGGTTGACCCACCAGGCTGGTCACAACCCAAGAAATATGCATCCATTACTTCTTTAATGAATTTGGCTGAAGACCAGCCCTGAGCACTAAAGAAATGTATGTTTGTCGACCATAACATTTTTTGTAGCAAGGTGTGATAAGTGTGCCCTCTAGTGTGTAAGGATTGCTTTCAGGGTGTTCAAGCATATCTAGGAATTATCTTTCTGCAGGCCGTACTCCTATTGCTCTGCTAGGGTATACAAGTGTTAATTCTTCTCATAGCATTGTGCCTCAAAGCACATTTGGAAGAAATTTGGTAAACTATATTCTTTTTCATGCATTCAGCAAAATGCTGCCCGCAACCACAGATAAGCATATCTACAGAATTATGAAGCCTCAATTCAAAAAGCTCTTTAAACATGGACAACATATAGCTCTAAGAGATGCGGAGTCACAATTTATCACTCTGCAAGCACAAGCCAAGTGGGAATGTTTTCAAGCCACTTGAAAGAAAATATACCACCAAGAAAGTCACATGAAAAAAAAAAAACAGTACGTATGCAACCTATGTATTCGGAGGGTGTTTATCAGATCTTAAATCCCTGCCATTTCGTTAAACACAACAAATGTAAATGATCAATGCGTTTACCGTCAGGGTAAATGGTGGTGCATCATGGACAAAACATGTGGCAACAGTAATAAAGTTATCAGGAAAACTGGTTTCACTTGCAGCAACAGGCCTGATCCCAGGTGTGCTATTGATAGTTGTATGCGTATTAGCTCAACGGTAATCATGTTTGATAACACTATTGTCAGGAATCGGACTTGATAGAGAACCCTTTAATATTTTCAAGCTTTGAGAAGTGTGCAAATAGGACTGTAAATCACATTTCGAATACAAAACTTGAGAACACCTGCACAATACTGTTTCAGCCAAAAATGCCCACCACCCTACACAACCTATAACGTGCACATGCATGCATATGGTAACAATCAATATGTAAATGTCATGGCGCCAAGGTAGCTTGCAATGTCACGCGCACCCTGTTATGGGAGCTTACAAGGTCTGCCCTCTGGCGTTTCAGTCTCAGGTGACACGTGCAGGTAGATTGATAATTGAAATATGCAACAGCAGTACTGGGATTCCGCCAGAACAGTCTTCTGATAAGCCGCATCTACTTGATATGCCACCTGTCCGATGAAGTCACTGCCATTACAATTCAGTTACTCCATCTGGACGTGTCACCTGACTTTGGTAAATCAGAGGCAATACAGTTTGTAGCCTTCCTTAACTTCAGTCATATGCCAATGCATATTCACATAGCAAATATACAATCAAGAGTTGAATAGTGCACCACACCTCAAAAACCAAATGTTTCCAGTTTTCGCATATAGTACATTCACAAAACTTCAAAGACCCGATATCCTGAGTTCCATGTCACATCTGTTTCTTGTATTTACAACTTTGAACACACCCATCGCCTGCTTGCTCGTGTCCTCCTCTTCACTTTTGCCTGCAACTTGTTTGGGTGGGTGGTTGGATGGATAGCGGACAGAAACAAGAACAAAAATCATGATTATACTAAGCACAGTATTACTTCGCTAAAAAAACCACTTGCGCACCTGGAAGAAAGTTCACTTTAACAGGTTTGATGACAACTTGAACTGGCACTTTGAATAAATGAGACATAATTGTGTAGCCTCGTATGTCTAAATATATTTTTTTTCAGGTCTCCTAGTCAAAGGCGAAATGAAAACATTACATACACGTGCATAGTATTCACTTTACTGTGAATAAAACAAATGAGTATTGGATATTTGGTAGTATGTATGATCGCCATATGTGTGTTTGCTAACGCAGCGCAATCGGAGAGTTGTAGGTACAGATCACCACAAGTAAATACGTTCCTCGTTATGAATGGGGTATCGTTATAAGCATGGTTTGAAATCACGAGGAAACACTGTATTACTTAGAAACACTAAAGTCTGGTGTAAACGTTGACAGGGATGAAATCTAAATGTCAGGATAGAGAGCTAATGCATATCAGACAGCTCTCATGTAAGAGATTTATTTTGATAAATAACATACAAATACAATACTCTTGTTAAACCATGGTTTCTTTAATAACACATGCATTTATTCGTTTATTATCACTGGATGTCAGATATACTACTTGGGATTTAGTAATCAAGATGACAACACAGAGAGAAGAGCTGACTGCACCCCAGGCGAACTTTCGTTCCCCCAGCCTCTGCTTCCCAGATCCATCTGTGCTACTCTCCTCTCCTGTGTGATGGTTAACAAAGAACTGGCTACCCACACAAGCATCCCCACCCAATGTACATGGTTAAGAGTGTACTGCAACCAATGACCTGGACTCTTTAGTAACTCAACACCATGGGAGTGTCTCCATATATGAGTGCATGCGTGATGTGAGAACTCTCTTACCAAGGTCGCTGCGGTCCAATAGAAGATCCAGATTCTTGTCACTAATCACAGACCCTTCCACCACTCTGCAGGGGAAACACAGATGCACTCTCTTAATCAGGCTGCTTTCCTGCGTAATGTGACAAGTGCGTCATCAGCCAATGTCTATACACTGCTGGATGAAGGCCTCTCCAAACCACTGGTATCCCTCATGGTCCCACCAGTCTTGTCCATCGGCTATCATCCCAATCAAGCAGTGTCCTACCCAAAACAACTTTTGAAACAGTCAGTGGGTCCAATTTATGTCTGTTACCTAATCCATCTTCTTTGGCCTCTTGAGTTCGGCTTTATACATTCTCTTAATTTTGTTTGCCTTTATAGTCCATCACTTTCATCTCAATCTGCCTTTAACATCGAAGTTTAATTGTAAAAATATTCAGGCACTTTCTGTAAATGAGAAGAACCTCATTCTCTATTGTTGAGTTGCAAACCTTATACTACGGCCAGCCACCTAACAATACCCAACACCATGCCTATGGTTTTAACACCCATGCAGGGCAATACTCAATGGTGTGTGTGTGAGCAGTGATATGCAGTGGGCATGCATTGCACCTCTCACCGTTGGTGATCTGGGCACTTGAGCAGCTCAATGAGCTCCTGTGGGTCAAGGCTGTTTTTCACCTGCGTCATGCCCTTCTGGCCACCTTTGAATTGTTCTGCAACACGTAAACCAAACACAGCATTGCAAGGCAGCAAATTAACAAGCGATCATCATCGAAATCTGACCCTACTACATTAAGGGATCTGCAATGAGGTCGAATACCCCTGGCAAATATTTAGAGTCAAAAACTCATCTTTAACATCAGAGTGGTGATGGCAAGTAAATCTCAAAAGTCCAGATGGCTCAAGTTGATAAACTAAATAAGATTTAACTTTAGGGATTAAATAAATATCCTTACGAGTTTGGTTATTTATTCCAAGGTTAGGTTTCTACTTCCAAGTGAACGCAACAGTGACCCATACGTTGAAGTGTGTGTGGGTATCAGTGTGATGGATGTCTTGTGAACATGTGGGTATGCATATGCGGTGCGAGTCGTTGAGTGTTGACAAAGTGAAGAATGTGGGTGGTGCATCTGTCAGCCACCCTTGTTGAAAAACCAAACACCTGAAGCTGTCCTGTAAAATCCTGTCAGAGAGCCGTTGCCACTTCACATGGCCTCAAAGTGCACCTAGCCTGGAACATGTGCTGTGGTTACATCACCGCCACTTGGCTGCAAATGGTGGCTATTGTTCGTATATGCGTGTGCATGCGATGGGTGGGTGCATCCAGCGAGCATGTGTAAGTGTAGATTTGAAGCTTTCATGACTGCAAGGAATCATACTCGTAGGTTTTTTCAGTAGTCACGTAGGTAAAAAATAAAATTAATAAAAGTAATAATAGAAATAAAATAAAATAATAAATCACGACGTTTCGGAGGCAACACAAGTCTCCGTCATCAGGTGGGACCGTCACAGCTAGATTTACTGTATCAAGTGTGACGGTCCCACCTGATGACGGAGACTTGTGTTGCCTCCGAAACGTGGTGATTTATTATTTTATTTCGATTATTACTTTTATTAATTTTAATTATTTTTACCTACGTGACTTTACCGACAAAACCTAAGAGTATGTGTAAGTGTGTATGTGTGTGCGTAGTGTGGAGGCTGGCATAGTGGTTTATGCACTGCATTATGAACCTGGTGACCCGGGTTCAATTTCTGTCCATGGCTAATAACAGGCACGAGTGATTTTTGATTCGATCCTGGGGCTTCAGAGGTTGACAGCCTCAATGCATACCTGATACAGTGTATAAACTTCAGTACTGGGGAGACAAACACAGTTGGGTATAGCACTAGCTCCACCACCCATGCATGCATTGTGCAGGCCTTAATAGGTGGCTGGTTAACAGCACTTGCCCTAACAGCCTATGTAGGTTATTGAAGGGATCTTCCTCTTTGCGTAGTGCGGGAGTGCGACGGGTGGCAGTTTAGTGTGTGTGTGCATACTGTTGTGGATGACTAGCTTCTCGAGCCGCCGCTTCTCGCCGGCACGCTCCACGATGCGCTGGTCAACCGTGTTGGCTGTCACCATGCGGTACACGACTACAGGTCGCGTCTGTCCGATGCGGTGGCAGCGATCTTGTGCTTGCAAGTCCACCTGTGGGTTCTGCAAGCAAAGACCACATACTCTTTGCAAAGACCACAGACGCGCAACACAGCTCCCGACGTGCTTTCACGTTGTGCCACACGTTCTTCGGCGCGATGTCTGACGTTTCGCCCTATGTGCTGGAAGCTTCGCTAAGAAGCATCTTCTTATACAGAATAACTGCGAAAACCTACGCAGCAAAGCATTGATTTTTCCCAACACAGTTGCGCATTACTGAGTCACAAGTCAACCAAATCTCGTGGCATTAATGATGCAAATGAGTCGAGGAAGACCAATTTGATTGAAAGGCCTGGGCCCACTAGGCTTAGCGCAAACCCTGCAGAGATTTGAGCAACTAAATTTAGTGTGTATGGCTTGTAAAATGAAATATACGTTCAAAACAATATTGAAATTCTTAAACGCTGCTTTTTTCACTTTTCTAATCAAACATGATTGTGCATTAAAAATACCTTTAACAGTATTTCTTATTGGCTTGACTACCCACGTTATGCAAATTAGCCATCCACAGTGCTGTTAAGTACAAGAACAAAACTTTCAAAATAATTTTAAAAAATGTTGCATGCTGCAGACCTATGGGAAAATCAATTTAGCAATATTGGGAACTGCTGTGGTGTAATGGTTAGCACATTGGACTTACGATCCTAGTGGCAATATTGTGACCCTTGATAAATGTATGAATTGAGTAACATGGACAATGTAGGCAACGTTATTGCGGGAAAGTTGCACTGTTTTAAATGTAGTGCAAGGTAGCGGCAGGCAAGCCTGGGCTGATCTGTGCCACTTACCCAGTCGCTGTCGTAAATGATGACCGTGTCGGCTGCTGTGAGGTTGATACCCAGGCCACCAGCCCTCGTGCTCAGCAGGAAGATAAAAACATCTGGGTCTGTGTTGAAGTTGTGCATCTGTTCGTATGCACAAAATCCCCACAGGTTAGTAACCATGACCCATTAAGACATATACAACATCCAATTACATCATGAATTCAGCAGTGCTAAATAAGGAAATTACCGATTGAAATAAATTTTAAAAACAGTGACAATTTTTCAGACTATTCCCGATATGAATACTATTCCCGAGTTCTGAACAATGCTCAGCATATTCTTGGTTCTTTTGGTAAAGTCACGCAGAAGGGAAATAATAAAATAATACAGGTAGGAACAACAGGTTCCACACTGCCCACCAGGGCTTATTTGTCTGTCTGTCGTGCATATTTGTCTGTCGTGCACGAATGCGCTGTCCAACCAAGTTCTACCTGCCCACTCCGAAGGAACATGTTAAAAATAAAACAATAAAATTCTCACGACGTTACAATTGCAACACAAGCAATTATCATCTGGTGTGATGATGGATTCTTTGTATTATTTTATTATTTCCCTTCTACGTGACTTTACCGAAAGAACCAAGAATATGAATCCCTGCAGTCACGAAAGCTTTAAATCGAAAAATGCTCAGCATCTTATATTCTTAAGAGTCTGCAAAAAGAGCAATGATTTATGTTTTTTCTGGAAACATGTTCAGCACAATGGACCATACAACAAATGCTTACATTTTCCTCGCGCTCAGAGTATTTCATGCTCCCATCGAGCCGGCTGAATTGGAACTTGCGAAGGTAGCAGTAATCCATGAGGATGTCCAGCATGAGGACCATCTGGGAGAAGATGAGCACCTGCATGCCACGATGAAAGGACCCAGCTGATCAACAGGATTTTGTGCTGGGAAACGCAAAAGTTTTGGTCTAGGTGGACACCCTCGGATACAAAGTGGTCAAGGACTAAGTAAATCCTGTGAGTAAATTCTACTTTCGTTGGTAAGCTGGCAATGTTGTCATAATGGTAACCGAATCGAGTAAAACTTCAATATTTGTGCATTGGAACTACAAAAATAACCAACTCTCGTGTAAGAGGTGAATTGGTGGCTGGAAAACGATACCAATGTACCTTAACATTATATAACCACACAAACATGTAAATGATCTTTTAGTAAGTCTGGGTTACTCCAAGTAATCTGCATATTCTTCATTGTGGAGTGAGAATCAAAGCAGTGACTTGAAGTCCATGTTACAGATACTGTCGGTGTAGGGTGACCATGAGACTATGAGGTGCACCAGGGCTTGGCTAAACATGTGCCATGTCTGCAGAATGAGAGGCTGAGCAGCCCAAATCTTTGGTCAATGGACAAGCACCTTGTGCCCGCGTTGCCTGAGCGCTGGCAAAATCCGGTCGAGCAGCAGCAACTTTCCTGAGCTTTTCACGAGATTCTCATCCACCTGTGGTAAGCGGAAACACGGCAGCAAGAGTTCAACATCGCTCACTAGACACACAGTAAAGCCAGTGACACACACATGGGCACTCTGCTGCCGTTTTAACAAACAGTAGGAACCCCGTATAATAAGTCAAGTGCAAACAGAATCAATGAAAGCAGGCTAATGCGTAAAATTGTGGTTTCTTACAGTCAAAATGCAGGAGTTTTGGTTGTTTTTTGGACTATTTTTTTTTATCCTGTAATCTTGCTGTCACGAGAAAATTATATGCAATAAGCATATAAACTATGGTCATGACATTCAATGAGTGCCATTTGTCAAAATAATGATAAGAATCTTGTTCTTAATCAAAAAAACCTTGATCTCCGATTTTACAGCATGGTCTCTACTCATTGTTGCCACTTTCCAGAGTCATTTTTCCAATTTTACCTATGACAATCTAATTATAACTGGTCAAAGCAGCAGTTGCGTAATAAAATACAGGCTCAAACACTAGGCTCTTTAGCAAAGAGGCTACATTACATGGTCTGTAATGCAGTAACAGGTCAAATCTGACCTGTTGAGCAGCTAAATCGGGAACATTGACCACGGCCTTACCTTGAACTCTTGATCTGCGGTGAGGGGATACTCGATGAGATACGGGTGGTTGCAGCATTTCCGCAGCATCATCAAAATGTTAGAAAGCTGCATGTTCAACTCTGACTTCTGTGGTGCCCAGTCGACTTTGATCCTGCAATAAATAATACCCATTTGTAGTGACATACAAGTGCACATTTGACATATCACTCAGGATGACCCAAGAAATGAGACTAAAATTGTAAAAAAATTAACCCGTAAAAACAAAGTTTTTCACTATAAATCCTTTATATGCGTGGCATCGGTTTTATTTTATTATTCATTTGTGTTTTTCTTGAGTAAGAGTTTCATTTTTATCACATTGGTATTTTAAATAAAAATGAAATTTTGTTTTTCCTAAAAAGTGGAAAAAAAATTTCAGGAAAATAAATTGTCACGCACAACGAGTCTGTGTGCAAAATGTCAGCTCGATTGGATCACGGGAAGTGGGTTAAAAAACGACCGAAAAATGTGCACGGTCGTAAGCGCGCAAGCAAGCAAGCGAACTTAATATAAAGGATTAAAAAAAAAAAATCCCAAGGAAACCTTAAATGGGTCGAGAATTTATAAGCACAATCCTTCAATGGGATGTTTGGCCAATTCCATTAAAGGGGTGCTTTACTGTAGGACAAATCCAATGCATAACAAAAAAGTTACACTCTAAAGTCTAAAATATTTTTCTCTATCGCCATTTCCTGATCTCACCTAAATGGGATTGAGTCAGACCTGTGCGATCCAATAACCCTTGCCTCCAAATCAGTAGATGAATATCATGCGTAGCATGCGTGTTACATGCCTGGTACAATGGTTCCTGGTAGCAAGTCTCAATTTGCCGTTCCATGCCTATTACCAAGATATTATTTCTAATTCCTATGAGTCAAGACATCTGTACAACAGGACACATGGTGGCTGCATTTGCATAAAAAATTAAGCATCTTGGGATCTGCTATGATTTTCAGTTCGGAAGTGGGTTAGACTGCTTAATAATAGGCCACTAACCTGCTTTAAATGAGTGTATAACACACTCTCTGTCGCATGCTAAGCATAAATTATGTATCTAACTGTGACGTGTTTAAGAGGAGAACACACGATTGCCCCAATGTTCACAAGCCTCAAACAGATGCACCACCTTATTATTAACATGTAACATGTTATATGGCCGCCACAAAGGCATTTTTTTACGCTCACTTGTATTGTTCTTCCTCCTGTGCCTGCCTCGCGATCAGCTCCTCCAAATTATCGATGCTGTTGACACTGTCATTCAATTCGGCGTAGTTGATCTCTTTGCGTATGCGTCGCTTGGGGCGTCCACTTGGAGTCTTCTGCTCAGGCTGGACTTCCTGCAAAAACGGGTGTGATTGCCAGGTGGAGGGGGGGGGGGCAGAGGGTGCAAGGATGGATGGGTTTGAACAGTTTAACAAAGAGAAAAACTAATTTGAGAATTGCTGAAAATATCAGAAAATTGATAGGAAATACTTCGGACTGAAACAGCAAGATCAGCACAAGAACAAGAGAACATTGTCAGTCCAGTAAGATCAGCATTGAGCTTACAATAAAAATGACATCTCCACACTTTCAGGCGTCTCTTGCTGTATGCTGGTAGATGCGTTCCAAAAAAAGGGGCGCACAAAGAAAAAACGCGGAGCATCGACCACTGTCACCCAACCCACAATGCACTGAACGTATAGTACACACAATATTCCACGTCCAACCGCAAAGCTGCACGAGTGAATTCAAACCGCATACAGTGAAACCTTGAATTGCGAGCATAATTCGTTCCGGAAACGTGCTCGTAATCCAAAGCACTCATATATCAAAGCAAATTTCCCCATAAGAAATCATGGAAACTCAGATGATTCGTTCCAAAACCCAAAAATATTCGTATAAAAATGATTAATACAAAATACTGTAACTTTTTATATTTTTGTTTAAATTTAATAAAAAGTAATCAAATGTATTAATTAAATTTAATCGTGGCTGGTGTGAGGGAGACGAGGGAGAGGAGGGTTATTGTGTAGGACAACTTTCACTTGCAGTACAGTTACTAAAGAACAGTCACTACACTTGAACACAAAATAAAAAAATGCTTCACGCACACTCGTGGTCACAACACTATAGTAAACAGTATACGCTCGCAGGATGTTGACAATACGAGTGAGGCACGCTGACTGAGACCGAGCATGGGAGATGATTACCCACAATCCCGCAGCGAGAGAGAACCATTGGCTCAGTTGTGATCATGTGACGCTCGGCAGACAAAGCGTATACTGTACGTACTGCTCGTATTGCACGACACCGCTCGTTTATCAAAGTATTATTTATTAAAAAAATTTGCTCGTCTTGCAATACACTCGCAGAACAAGTTACTCGCAATCCAAGGTTTCACTGTATAGTGAATGTTTGGTGGAAACACGTTTTCCGCATGGACCAAAACCCGCATAAAGCGAGGCAAACGTGTACTGAAACAAAGCAAGTTGTGAGCATCATAACCAGCGCAAGACTCAACCCAGGATTTTTCAAACTCCAGTCTTCGCAACTGACCACGATCCACCTTAACCAATATTTTCTGGAAATTACAATGTTGCGTTGACACACGACACATGCCTGATGATTGCAATATATCACAATATTTATTTATACTGGAGGAGTCCAATGAGCTATAGAGCTTTTTTTCACAGATGTTTAATGCAGTGCAGGGAATGCTCCTACATTTTTATCAGTGCTCTTTCCTTCCTAAGATACAGAATTAAACGAACACAAGATCCCCATCTTAATATGAATAATTTTTTCTATATCACGGGGAATGTGTTTAGCAATATCAACAGGCGTGCAGTGTATAGTGATCCAATCTGAATTTCTATTTAACCTTTTATTTCCAGTTTACGGAACTGGTTACAATAAGCTTTTTTTAACTCACTAGTTGTGGTTCTCTTAGAGTAATGTTAATTATATTTGTGCAGACTCAAATGTTTACAGTAGAGAGCAATGTATGATAAACGATAATAAGAAACTTAATATGAATGCACAGTACAATGTTGCTTTCAATGTTCGTTAATCTTAACAGATTGTTACATGATTTAAAAGCTATTTTTGGAACCAGTGTTCATGCACCGACACACATGAATAAAATACCTTAAAATTCTAATATTTCACAAATATATATTTTATTTGCCACGTCAACATTTATTTTATGCCAATGGGATTTCTCCCTCTTAGCGGGCAAAAAACCTAAAACTCAAGGGTGTATGCCAAACGCTGAGGAGCCTCAACACATTATGATCATTCAGGCATCACTAATCCGTCAACGGGAGATGTTTGGTTTAAAACCTTGAGTCAACTTAAGTGAGGACGATGTTGTAATAAAAAGACAAACACATTTATAGCTACCTCCTTTTGTGGCCTAATATAGGTAAGGGTGCCACGATTAAATTAGGCATTTTCTGAACCACCCACACACCCAATGCTCAACGATTTGCCATGATTCGAGGCCATAATCAAAATTCAACAACCATTTTTTATACCGTTGTTGTCGTCTCAGATTGAGCCTTATTATTTCATCGAGCTGAAAAGTAATATTTTTGTACAATTTGCATACATTACATGTATTCTCCACACACCCAATTCAATATTGTTACTATAAGCTTAAAAATGGACTTGAATTAACCAATGATCTGTTACATGCCAAATATGGGCAGATATTCATAACTGTTAATATTCTTCTGTGCTTGAGAGTTGGAGCTACGGCCAGGATTGGGGGTTAGTGTTACGGCAATCTTTCATAGCTGTAATTCAGACTAGGATTAAAACGAATATCTTTGTTCGGGGGATTTGGTTAAGTCCTTTCCTGTAACACAGGCATCACTGCGGTCCATTAGTCTTCCAAAGTAATTCATGAAGGTGTCTCACCTTGGGGTTGAGAACGCTCCTGATGGTTTTGTTCACTGTGGCCTTGTAGAGGCGATCCTGTGCTGCGGTGAGTGGTGCATACACAAGGACCTCTCGCTTGGGTGGCACCTCAATGGTGACATCTGCTTTGAGGCGTCGTAGCAGGAACGGCGTCAGGATCTGCATTACAGGTGGGTGGCAGGAATGGTCAACACATGGCAGGTCCACCAGACTCCAAAATAATTTTAAGCCCAATTATTTTGCTCCCACTTATCAAAAATGCATCAAAATATACGTTTGTCTTGTTCAAAGCTATTACAATTACAGGGAATGTATTTTCACGATTTACTGAACATTAATTTCACAAGAGAGATGGCATTTTTCAATTGCTTGTGAAAATGACCATTTGACCATGGTGTTTATGCATGTGCTAATACAGCGTTTTGTAAGGGGCTGAATGGGTATCATGTGTATGTTTGTTCGTGAGCAGGGTAGGTTTTTTAAAAAGTTTGTTTAACCATGTTAGAACTCAAAAGATGTCGATAGCCTCATTTGCAAGAGTTACTTGGGGTCACCAAATTGACAAAAACAAATACAGCAATGAAGCCAATAGAAATGACAGCAAAAACAACTGCCCCATGGTGTGCACCTGGTGCAGCATGTGAAGAACGTGCTCCTGTTGTTCCTTTGCCACAATCTCCTCCACGCTACCACAGAGGTTTGATACATCGAACCATGTCTCGAAGCTGGACAAACAAACAAGATGTGGGCGGACACAAAATGCCTCGGGTTAACTCACAAATATGGTTTTCTCCCCTACACACACACACACACACTGGAGCAAGCAGGCTATACCTGCAAACACTGTACATTTATTAAAACCACAAAAGGTGCACAATCCACTTGACCACTATACAGTCCAAAGCAACGTTGATTTAATTTTGTATTGCACCATTCAGTAATTGCCCAGAAACAATGGAATACAATCTAAAACTGAATGTCATTCATTTACTTAGTGCATATAGTTTGGGGGATTGCAGGGCGGGCTAATGAAAGAGGGACCGTAAATTAAATAAAGGTAAGGATAACGCTTGACTATAGCAGTGTTTAACTGCATCAGTATTTACACTCCAGTGCCTGCGATGTTTGGTCAAGGCGACCCTATCGTTTCGCCAAAGTGCCCGTATTTTCCCACCTTTTGAGGTCATCGAAGACTTCGGGCAGCAAAAAGTTCAGCAAGGACCAAAGCTCCGCCAGGTTGTTCTGTAGCGGCGTGCCTGTGAGAAGAAGCTTGTTTTCGCTACGGTAGCGCTTGAGTTCTCGGATCAGCCGGCAGTTTAGATTCTTGATCCGGTGGCCTTCATCGAGCATGAGATATTTCCAGTAAAATGTCTGTGGGAACATGGCACTGGTGAATACTGGGAGAGCGGTTCCGAGTTTCCGGCACTAATTATTACAATGAGCTAAAACTTACCAAATTGAGTGAAAATAAAACGATATGGTGTTTTTTTTGGGCAGTTGTGTGTTTGGTTTGAGACCATGATCTCGCAAGAATTGAGAACATGGATAATCATGAGTGGCTGCCTGAATTTTAACCCAGAATCTAAGTACAAGATAAGCACTCCAACCCCTAAGTCAGCAACCCTTCCTCACTTTTTTCCATTAAAATGGCAACTACAGACTAAAAAAACTAAAGATTTGATCTACTTTCTCAAGTCATCCAACAATGGACAACTCTGCAACTATTCAGAATGTGGTCACAACCACATAATGGCCTGCTGACATAACAGCCCAATTAAAAGTACAAATTGAATGATGTGCTACATCACCAGGAGGGGGGGGGGGGCAAAGATGGGTACCTGCAGATACTTGGCGTCAATCATGGCGATTTCGTACGAGGTGACAATGACAGGGCAGATATCCAGTTCTCCCTGCTTCTTGGCAATCTTGGGACGCAGCAAGCGCCGTTCGTCGGCAGAGCCATGGTATAGCATCACCGGGATCTGGAAACCAGGGCGATGTCAGTCAGCGCGTTGCTGATAGATCATATCACTAAGTAGGCAAACACAAGGGATGCAGTCATTTATGAGTCAATAAATGCAAACACGCTGGGAAATACAATAAAGACATTTCACAGCAGCGTGACAATGCACAGCTGCATCCTCTCACCTTGGGGGTGAAACGCTTGAACTCCGAAATCCAGTTTGGCAGCGTGGAGAGTGGTGCCACCACCAAGAAAGGGCCCATCACACTGCTCTCCACCATCAGAGCCACCGTGGCAATGCACTGCACTGTTTTGCCAAGCCCCATCTCGTCCGCCAAAATCCCATTGATGCCGTTCTCCCACAGGATCTGAACAAGCGCACAAGATGACAGCGGGAGAACAGGATGTAGTGAATGGATTGTTCAACCAATTGAATAGTGTTGCAATGAATGTCAGCCCAGGAGAGACAAGGTGCAATCGTAAAATAGTAATAGAGCCATGTAGAAATAATGAGTGATCATGCAATGTAATTCAATCTGCACAGATATACAGGCAAAACAGCTGACGTTGAGGAGTGTGTTTAGAAGAAGTGGCTACTATTGTTTATGTTTAAATACCATAAATACAAAAACAAGTACACTTTAATCAGATGGATATTTAACTCCTATACAGAAGGCATGAATAAAAAAATTAGCCATGATGTAATTTCTGGGTTGGAGTCACTAAAGAAATCTGCACATTGAAACATACACATTCACATACAAATGAACATATTATGTGCAACAAAACTCCTATCTATTTAAGTCGTCCCAAAAAATATTGATATTAGCTCATGGAATTTAAAGTGTTATAGTTTTTGGCTCATGTTTTTTTGTTTATGTAATAGTTACGTAGAATTGTGCCCAATTCTCTTAATAAAATGTTTAGTAGAGTAGTGGGAGGTATTATCCACCCCTCCACATTTTCTCAGCCAAATCTTCAGGTCTGGGGGGCCTGACCTATGATGAAAACAGGGAAACTATTTCTGCCACAGGACACCCATATTTTTGTTGTGTTCTATAGATCCTATTATGAATACATTCTGAACAGAGCGTTAGTTGAGTGTTCAAGCATGCATTAAAACACGTATTTTAAATCAGTTCCATATAACTTGTGTTATGACCAACTTGGCATTTGTTCAGATTACTCTCTCCCTAGTTGTGGACACACACAGCTCATGTCGGCAACAGTGTGGACTGCGCCTCTCCACGTACCCTCAGCCACTCCATGCCCTCCACCTGGTAGCTCCTCATGACGCCGCCAGTGAAGAGGCGTGGCTGGTGGAAGGGCACCTTCTGCCCATTGATCATGCGGTTGGGGTGCCACATTTGTGCAGCGTTCTGTCGCACAACCTGGCCAAGGCGCTCTCGAATCGCACCGTTGGACTCCACGTCACTCTTAGGCAAGGAAGCTTCACCAAGGGTCGCATCGTTCTGTGGGGACATGACAATGGTTAACAGCAAAATGTAATAAACGGGGAATAATGTAACAAAATAATAAAAGGATAATGGTCTTGTTTCACAATGTAACATTTTTACAAAATATTCATCCATAAAAAAATGTGCCTTCCAGACATACAATTCCCTGCATTTGCTTCAACATTAGAGGCGGTAATCTCTGTATAGTAAGGTTGGGTGAGCACTGCAATGTAAATTGGACAAATTTATCCGTGACGATGTAACAAAAAAACATGAAACTTGCAACTCTGCCATATCGGCAATGTCTCTCAAAAGACCAAGTATTTATAACGAAGATATCTGAAATATTGTTCTTGGATTTGTTATAATTGTTTAACTAGATTTTTTAAAAGCAAGCACAAAAGATAAAAATTGGCTGTCATGTAGATGTTAATGAGGTATTTGGCCCTTTCATAGTTTTAATGTCCATATATGTATAAAATGAAAATACTCATATTTTCTTAATTGTTTCAACTTGCATAGCTAAAAAGAGCAATCACCAATTTTCATGATAATTTGGATATAGACTTTAAATTGCTGGTATGCCTGTTCTTAGTTTTGGTTTTCTAAAATGTAAAATAAAAAAGTATACACATTACACTATTCCCCGTTTGCTAACATTGCATATAAATATATAATAGGCTTCTGTTTTCTACACGTACCATATTTTTTAAGTTACATACACAAATTTGGTAGGCGTGCAACTGTTGGCCCAGTAAGTCACAAGGGAGCATCAGGGAGCCCGGTGATTGAAAAAAAGAATGTATCTTGAACTTCTTTCGCACCATACGTAGCCAACCGTGCTAATCGGGAAGTGCAGGAATGAGTGATTGAGGGATGGATGAGAGAAATGTCACCTCAAAAAGGTATACAATATATTTAACAATTCTGCTTATATGTACTGTGAATTCAATTATTATATGCTAGGGTGCTTATGTATATTGAAAATCAAACATTTTTTACTGCTGTTCACCAGACCAAAGCCTGTGCAAATGAGTAAATGACGGAAGAATGAGAGGACTGAATAATAGAATGAGGAATAAGTGAGAGGCATGAGTGAGAGAATGAAGATCGAATGCGAATGCATATATGGGAATGTGTAAATGAGGGATAAGAATGAAGGAATTAAAGTATTGCGTGAATTAGTTAAATGATTGAATGCAGTAAATATTAGCGGCATGAGTGAATGAGGAAAGAGACAATTGACCTCAAAAGTTCTGCTTATTGGGAAATTCAACACCTGTACACGAAAGTGCTTATGTATCGAATAATTGACTTCCCATTAATCTTGCAGTATACAGGTAGTCCTCTACTTACGATGGAGATGCGTTACGACGACCCCATCGTAAGTCGAAAATATCGTAAATCGAAGATGGCCTAGCCTACCCAGGAGTCTTAAAGAATGGTGATAATTTAGCAAAACAGAGCAATTTACAGTACCGTACTGTATAAACTATATACTGTATGTATTTATTAATTACAATACTGTATTGCACAGTAAAATGTAAAGTAAAAAAAACCAAGGTAAATTCTTAGCCTACCTATATGAACTGCAATTTAATAGAAAGTTTTTCAGGAAACAATCCTATCTGCTATAAAAACTTTTAACATGCATTGAACGAATCGTATCATGGTAACCTTAAAATGAAATCACTAAAGCTACGTATCATACATGCATTGAACGTATCGTAACATATCATATTGTACTTTAGTCACCAAGATTCTGTCCGTCGTCTGCACACTTGAACGATGTTCGGTTGTTGATGGCTACATTAACTTAGTTGTCGGAAGAGGAGGATGGCAATGATAACGTACAGTATCGTACCTCGTACGCTGCTGCGTTTGCCTGCCGCGAGAAATGTAAAATATTTTACAATTTTGTGATATCGCTATCGCCATCGTAAGATCGAAATATCGTAAGTCGGACCATCGTAACTCGGGGACTACCTATAGTTCCCACCATGCTTAATCTAGAGGCTCGATGCAAACAAATTTAGACCTTTATCAATACCTCAACTTTTCTCTTCTTGCTGAACGTCTCGATATCCTGCCGACATAATTAACACAGCACTCGTATTAGGATCAAGCAAAGAAATGTTCTGCATCATGAAAACAATTCAGAATGTTAAAATGCCACCAACACAGCTATTAAACGAACCAAATATATGCAAATGTGATGCAATCCACGAAGCGTAAAATAGCGTTTACTTTAAAAGGCAGTGTTTCCTGGGTGCGCATGCATAAAAAGGTTACAAACAAAGATGCAATTGTGCTCAGGTAAAGGTCTGAAGGGTCTAGTCCTCACCTCCTTGCTGATGAAGTCAGATATTCCACAGACTTTGTCCTTTAACCTTTTCTTAGATTTTTGGGGAGCTGAAAGTTTAAAGCAACGATAAAACAAGGGACGCAATATTATATTCTCCGGAAAGTGTATAGTTGATCTCTTAAATAACTCACGCCATTATTGTTTCAGGCTTCTAAAAATAAGTACTAGTAGTACCATTATTGCTAGTTAGTATGTGCTACACTATTGCATTACACATACATAAGCCATCAGTTACTGTGGATATGTGATAAAAGAGTGGAGTGATGATGCATACAGAAATTACTCTTGGCAACTCACATGCAGTTGGGGCAGATTCACGTTTCTCCTTTCCTCCAGCCTGCTGATGAATTAGCACATTAAGTTAGCACATGTCAGTCAAATTGCCATCATTTTCTAAGTAATATTAATTAGGTGTATGAAGCCAGTTGTGGCATTATAATGTTGCTGCATTGTACTGTGCATGTCCTACCTCCAATTTCCTTTTCTTTGCCAACTTGAGCTCCGACTTTTCCTTCATCTTCTGGGCCTGAAAAATATAACAATTTTTTTGCAAAAGCTTAGACATTGATTATACAAGGGCCAATCACTTGGCATATATTGAATTTTAATTCGAGCTATCCCAAATGGTTTATTTTTCACCTCATTTTCTCTTCTTGTTTGTATTGTATTTGTCATAATTATTTTGTGACATGAGATACAATATTTTTCATGCAAAAGAATCCAGTATTGCATGCGTTATTTGTTGCATGTATTTGCATGCACATTTCCTTTACCTATGGTTTCTATTCAACTGACAGTTGAGTGTGGGGCACGAACAGGCGCAGCTTTAATAGCCCTCAATACTCTTAGTAGCCACAAGCGTGTAAACTTTCAAGCAAGGATAAGTAAACAGCATGTGTTATAACTGTGCTGGTAAAGCGATAAGGTTTAACTATTTACAACTGGGTTTGTTTCACTTCCTTTCATCAGAAAGTCAACATGTGGAAGAAATACAAAGGGTGCCAGTAAATCAATCGTTGTTTTTACACCAAGGGAGTAAAGTTATGTTGATTTAGAAAAAAGAGGGTGGAAGTAGCAGTGTATGTTAGTGAGAACAATGTACCGTATTCAACGAGAACTTTGTTTAAAATGGCGCATGGCAATGTTTTTCCCAAATACATTAGAATTTTTGCAAGTGAAGGGTAAATGTTTAAAACGACTCAGATCCCTAGCCTGACCTCTGCTTGCTGGGCCTCCATGCGAGTCAGGAGAAAGTTGGAGTAGATGTTGCTCTTTTCAAGAAGATGCTGCAGCCGACGGAAGCCCATCTCGTGCGAGCGCTTCTTCCATGCCTCGTGTTGCTACAAAACACACAAAAAACAGAACCATTCACACACTGGATCTTGTTGTGACAGCCATATTGAATGCAGAGTATTGAATGTAGAGTATTGAATAGGGTTTTTGCCAACATACAATAACTTGCAAATATGTACCCTGTAAAATGATTTTTAAAAAGTTTGCTTTTTCCACGCGAATATTAATTTCGTACGGATATCGGTGGGTATTATTCATGTTTTAGCAGCCCAGCAGTGGTTGTTTAATGGCCTGACTGCAGATGAGATTGCAAATGTTTGAACAAATACTACTGATATTGGTGTCAAAGACAATAGGCCAAACATACCGGTAATTGTAATTACGTGTGGTCAAACAAGAAGACATTATGAAGAGAAAGTTCGTGTTTTTATTATTTTACTAGCGACAACTATTTCATTTTGCAACTTTTAGAGATTCACCTCTAAGTGATTTAGCAATTACATTTTTTTTGTCCGAGTTGGTGAATTGCAGATAATTCGCCTACAAATTTTTATTTGGGGCAGTGCAAAGTTATATGGTCCAGGATTTGGTGTTCATAACCACATGTATACATCAGGTCGAACATCACAATCCTGTTGAGGTGAATTTATTGGTTTACGGATTATCTGGACTATATATTTTACTGTTTAACATTCGATTTAAAGAAATTTCTAACTTTAGGCTGCTCCTAACCTGTGGGTGAAATCAATCAAACTCTGTAGTGTACTTTTGGGGACCCAACGTTGTAAATGTTAGTTTTCAAATATTTCTAACAATAAGCATACACTTGACTATATTTGTGCCAAAAACTGGCTTGCTAGCACTTTTCGAACATCATAATATGCAAGTAAATCTATATGAAAGGTACATTATAATTGATCCTGCAGCACTTCAGCACATTATGTGCACGTGTTTCATGTAGTTTAGGATATTTCGTATCAGTCATTTTGTTCCAAGCTATTATGGTGCACTTCCACAGAACTCTGCTAAATGGCATCCAAGCTTAGATTTCCAGCTACTGTCACGTGGCTTACCTTCTTCATGAACTTCTCCTCCTGCTCATCACCCTCTTTCTCAAGTTTCTTCTCCTCATCCAGCATGATCTGTGAGATGACGATGTCACCCACAGCAATGTTGGCTGAGTTCCCTGCTCACACACATGTTCACAAGTGAGCAGCTATGAGTGGAACATTCCCCTTTCACACGCTCCCTTAAACCTGTCGAAAAATAGAGTAATTGTTCAACTTAACTTTTACGTTTCATTAATTTACGTATTCTATAAACCTTGGTACGGCGAATGCTGAAAGAAGCAAGCTTATAATCAGCCAATACAAAACACATTTATTGCCAGATTATAATTTTTAATGCTCATAAATGAATATTAACTTAAACTATTCACGCTTCGAAATGTGTAAGAATCATTCTTTCGAGTCAGTATATTGTTTGTAGAGTTCATGACCCCTGTCGACGAAAAAGTCCACGACATGAACTACAATGCTAAAAGTACAATCTATATAATTGAATTACAGTTAATCGAATCTGCAGGAGAATCATTGCACAAGAAGATCTGGTCAGTTGCATCGATGGACTTATTAACTTGTAATATTCCTATTCTTAGGTTTTTCAGTAAAGTCACGTAGGTAAAACATTAAAATTAATAAAAAGTGACGGTTCCACCTGAAGACAGAAGCTTGTGTTGCCTCCGAAACGTCGTGATTTTTATTTTATTTTTATTAATTTTAATGTTTTACCTACGTGACTTTACCGAAAAAACCTAAGAATATGAATCCTTGCAGTCACGAAAGCTTCAAGTCTATAATGTAATATTTCTCTAGACAATGGCTGTACCTTCTTCCATTTCCATTGTGACGATGTGCGTGCCTTCTGGTGGGTCCGATTCGTTGGGCTTGGGTTTGTTGGGAGAGGTGCTTCTCTGTATCACGCTTAGTTCACTGTAAGCCAAGAAGGTAAGATGATTAGCACTCCAACACACTTATTCGGACAGTATCAACATTGTAGCTCTCTGATGTGTTTTCAGGTTAAATCGCGTGTTGTTCGCCACGATGTCCAATGTTTCGCTACATATGCTGGAAAACTCTTCAGAAATGTCATATTGTGTTCCAGTGCAAGCCAAACAGAACGTGTGCTGGCACTACACAGCACCGCTAAGTTGGCAATACTGGACAAAACCACGTGGAATTACTCTGAACATACTTGTGGAATGATCACACGATACTGCATTCATTGCTATCAACGTTCCGTTATGAAAGGGACGTAACAAGTTCTTAACATTACAACGCAGTGCCACGAAGCATTCCAATCTATGAGATCATATTGTACATTAATACATGTGTAAGGTGGAGAGCGGTGGAGCAGTGGTTCGCACAATGCAATAACCAGGAAGCATAATTTACCAGTTCTGGGACTTCCCTTCACCAAACTAGCACTGACCAGCATGGGTAAGTATGGCTAATCAACCCCCATTGCCAAAATATCGTGGGGTGTCCATCCAGATGTGGATTGACACAACGGGTGACAACTCAACACATTCATGATGACATTAAAACTGTACATTAAATTATTGTACACGCGCAGAAAGGCACCATTAAAGCACACGAGCCACTGATTAATGCTTAATTAAATCTTCAAAAGACACGACCTTACACACTTTACAAAGGAGCGAAATCCGTCCGAAGACGCCAACGAAGGGAGATGGAGCGATGGAATCGGCTCGTGCGAGACGAACACTCCGGGGTGGACTAATTACGTAGCGAGATCGTGAGAGATGGCCTTCATCCAGCAGTGGATTTGTCGTGGCTGCTGATATAGTCTCGACAAGGCTACGTTAGTCATTAACAATGACGGTAAATTGTAACAAAAATTTATAGAAATATACAATAGTTAAACATACATTTGGTCATGGTCAATCCACTGCTGGATGAACCTCCCCCCCACCCAAAGCAGTCAGCAATTCTCACGATCCCCGTGGCTGAACGATCCACACGGGAACTGGACACGCTACGAGCACATTTCATGGATCCATCTCCACGGTGGAGGTTCCTGTCAACGTTCCGGCAAGAATAAATAACAATAATTTGTATTTATTACACAGTACTAAAAGTTGTACCCAAAAAAAGTCGGTTGTCTTACCCGTTCATAGCGCGTGTAGATGAAGATTGCAGCGTGTATAAAACGGGGATGTTTTGCGAAGAAATAGACTTTTAGACGTTAATTTTAACGAATTTTTTAATTCCCGCCACGCGTTATATGCAACCGGGGCCTAGGGGCTTCGCCGAGACTTACACTGTTTATGCAACTTGCTACAAATCTTACCAAGGCCGCCGATTATTGCTCACTTTAAAATGTACTTGTATTAAAAACTTTAACATTAATTTTGAAACCTCCCCCCCTACAATGTTTAACAAAAATAAGAGTTTATGCGCCCGCGACGAGCAGAGCCACGAGACAAGGCGCGCGTTTCCCGCCAAACTTGGACTGCGCCAACTCGGCCCGAGCGCATGGGGGGGATCATGAGAGAGGGTGGACGCAACCATCGACAAATAAATAAACTTATAAGGAATATTCAGTACGTACACTTTATATATGTAATAAAAAGGCAATGCTATGTCAATTAATGACGTTAAATAGCTTATTCGGCAATTTATGTCCCACGGCGCAACACGAAAGCGTGTAATAAAACGTGTACAAATAATGGACTATTCCATTAGAACGATGCATTTAAGCCCCGCCCGCCGCCCCCACAACCATTCGGTGGTGATGTTCGCGCAAGAAACGATCGCAATCATTTTTGCTGTCCTTATTTTACCTGCAATATACACAAATAAATGACGGCAACATGAAACCAACAGCATATATAGCGGGTTTTAAAATAATCATCCGTTCTCTAATATCTTCGTTATTAGAACCACCTCTAATCTCCCCCCCGGAGTCGATCCCAATGGTTATTTCATCTCAATTTCCGTGTTTGACGTTCCTCGCACGAATGGGTCCCTTGGCGTCCACTTCGTCGTCAATTCTTGGCCAGTGCTCTTCCTTGACCAGTGCTCTTCCTTGACCAGTGCTCTTCCTTGACCAGTGCTCTTCCTTGACCAGTGCTCTTCCTTGACCAGTGCTCTTCCTTGACCAGTGCTCTTCTTTGCAAGGCTCTCGCGGGCCACTGGCGGCCCCTATTGGTGGCCTTTAGTGCAGCCCCTGGCGTGAAAACACTGCCCATCATCATTCTTGCTGCTGTCAAGCCCAAGAATAATTTAAAATGTGTGGCGGCCCTCACACTGACAATGTCTTTTCGGCAAAAGTTGGTCCCTCCCCTCTGAAAATTAGTGAAGAACCCTGGTCTTGTATTTCGATTTAAAGCTTTCGTGACTGCAGGGATTCATCTTCTTGGTTCTTTCGGTAAAGTCACGTAGAAGGGAAATAATAAAGTAATAAAACAATAATTCTCACGACGATAATTGGTTTTTTACCCTTCTATCTGGCAACAAAACTGGCACCTTTTTACAAGGAGTCATGTTTGTATAGACCGCAATACCTGCAGTCATAATACAAACAAAATATATAACTCTGATAATGTGCACTGTCCTTGAAGTTGATTGTTCCACACCCGAGACAGCTTTCCTTAGAGCCTAGTCTCACGTGGGTTGGACCAGATGACACCAAAAGGGGCACGACGTTTCGACCACAACGCAAGCAGCCGTCCTCAGGTGGAGAACAGGACAACAGGTCTTCTCGATTCTACGTGACTTTACCGAAAGAACCAATAAGATGAACCCTGGTCTTGACCATTGGCCATCGTCCCCTGTTGCCATGATCTTTACTGCCCAAGCGCACTTACTTTTTGCCTGACATTCAAAGTAAATGGCTTTATCACGGGACCTTTTTTTGCCAGTATCAAAGTATGAAAAAAACAAGAACCCTTTCTGGCAATAAAACAGGAGGCGTTAAGATGTCCGAACACCAGATGGATACCTTTTGCAAGGAATCAATAATGCGTTATTCACACGTACTTGTGGCGAACATGCAAACGAACTCTGATAAATATGTGCATCGACTTTAAAAACTGATTGACCTGCACCAGAGACAGACTTCTTTATGGCCTTGTCTCACTACAAGTGTCAGACCAGAGAACGCTAATAGACGAACAGTACTAAGAAAAATCAAGAGCTTTTTGTGCATGACTTGTATGCACATTACGTGCGATTTCATGACATTATTGTTAAGTTTTAAAATGATTATACTCTATACAGATGTTCTTCACTAATTTCAGAGAGGGCCCCACTTTTCCCGATGATACATCATCAGTGTGAGGGCTGCCACGCCGCCTGCAAGAGGTGTTTTCACATTTGTGTATTGTCGAGGGCCTCACTAAAGGCCACCAGGGGCCCCCAGTGGCCCGCGGGCCTTGCATTGAAGAAACACTACATTTATTACTCTTTGGTTCTGTCGGTAAAGTCACGTAGAAAATAAAATACAATAATAGAATACGACGTTTCGGTTACAACACAAGCAACCACCATCAGGTAAGTATGAGTGATAAAACACAGACACGGGAACAGCATAGGCAGACACACATGCAGTGAGAGACACACACCAAGACAAACAGAAGGACAACAAATCTGTGCCAAGGCCTTAAATAGAGAGATGGGGAAGGGGCCTGGGCAGAGAGGACTGGGGAGGTGGTGACCAGCTGACAAACGGCATCCTCTGGTCGAACACCAATTGGGTCGAGGCTCAAAAGAAAGCCGTCCATTGGTGTGGACCAATCAGTTTCAAGGAAAATGCATATATTATCATAGTGTTTTTGTTGCATTTGACTGCAAGTATTGTGGTTAATGCAGACATGAATCCTTGTAAAAAGGTTTCAGTTTTATTGCCAGAAAAAAGGGGAAATAACCCTATTATTGAGGGAGCAGCGTGGAATTCCGGACCACAGCGGCCGGAGGAGAGACAACGGTTTAGAGCTAGAAAATCGAAAGTTTGAGAAATAAATTTCAGTAAAATTAAGAAGTGTAATGCAATGCAACACAGAGGGTCGGTTTTAACACGCAGTTAACGCATAGCCTGGTTGATTAACGTTCTTCCAAAGATTGCTAAATTAGAAGTAAAGTATGACTTTACCGAAAAAATACAAAAAGTAATTCCTGCAGTCACGAAAGCTTCGAATCTAGTTTGAGCTACATTTATTGAGATGTGTCTGTGCAGCCGTTCTGGCCAAGTCTGACAAAGAATGCGAGCCGGCTTGTTGTTTCCACAACCCTTGGCAATCGAGCTCAGCTGCCTAGCCAGGGCCACGGATCAACCGCTCAGATGAGCCATCAAACCGAACTTACTGAATCTAATGTGCTGTACATAGTTGCGCTGCTGCCTTGGCCAAGCGTGCCACGGTTGCGAGATGTTAACTACCTCGCCTGGTTCGATCCTGTCCCTAACGCCTGTATATTTGGAGTTTGCATGTTTTCCCCGTGGTCGTGTAGATGTTCTCCGGGTTTTCCCCTCCACATTTAGAAACACATTCCTGCGGAGGGAGCTGGTAGGAACGTTGGGTTGCTCGGTAAATGGCCAGGGTCAACGGCGGCGTGGTGTATTCCGCAAATATGACCGACTGTGAGGGTGGGCACAAGCCGGCGTGAGTAGGTTAAACGTTGAGTTTTATAAGGGCACCACGGGGTGACCAGCCCCTCCCCAGCCCCACCCCTCCCACCCCCGACCCAGCCCAACCCTCTCCACCCAGCCCCTCCCCACCCTTCCCCACCCAGCCCCTCCCCACCCTCCCCTCTCCACCCAGCCAAACCCCTCCCATTTTTGGATCCACGACGGACGGACGGACACAATAATCCCGTGGGCTGGTGCAACCAGGAGGTTCCTACCAGTAAAAGAGCAATATAGCTCAGTGGGCCTTACCTGGTAAGATAAAAAAAATGTGTTCAGTTTAAATACGAAATCATCATGAGCCATGGAGCCTTGCCACATCGAGCCGTCGTGATTGACTGCAGATAGGACTCCACCTTGTGGCGTGGATGTGCAATTTACACGGTCGAAGCCCTGATCCAAACTCCGGCCATGTAATGCAGTTGATTGATGTGCCACAAAGATGGGCCCTTGTCCGAAACGGTCACTACTTTATATTTTCCTTCGATGGCAGTGTTGTGGACTAATGTGTTGAGGTTTTTGTTTTTTTATTTCTATCTGTGCTTGTGCAACGCTGTTAATGCAGTAGTATCACCAAATAATTCATGTACATCCAGGGTTGTCAAGCCACATACATTTCAAGTGACAGGCAATTGTATTTCTCTTTAGGGATTTTATGGAATAAATAATTCAGGTTTTAATATTTTTTAAAAACTGTAGACATTTGGTTCTGCAGACGACTGTCGGTCTGTAAGGCAGTGGTAGGCGGTCTGCAAAACTGTTACAAATACAATTCGATTCACAAAACACCATATATGTTTTTCTTTCATGATGGCCCATGAGATATTTGATGGCTCACAGTGGGTCTGAGTGTTCAGAAATGTTGGGAGCCACTGCTGTAAAGCATATGTGGAGAAGGCTCGGGAAACTAGAAATTGGGAAAGAAAAAAAAACACAATTTTCCAGAAAAAGCAGCTTTATTATGGGATTTTCTGTGCAGCAACACCAACACACAAACTGTAGTATGCAGCTGCACACATTCTGCAGGCCAGCACAGTCCCGTTTCCATGGAAATTCTTTTGCATGGTCACCCCTGCACAAAATGTAACGTTCCAAATTCTGTATCCCCAATCTCTTTGGCCATGCCATGGAACATTTTATACAGGGGTGAACATGACAACTGTTCAGAGGTGGAAATAATATAAGCAGTTTGAATCAAATCATATTTCAGATATGGAAAGCACACACTCATTGATAACTATAGTATATTTACATGATTTCAAACCGTAACATTTCCAATCTGAGAACTCAGCTGCTCTAACAAAAGTCATTAATAAAGTCGTTATGCAACTCAAAGCTCGGCATATGTTGGTGATTCTGTACTGCTAGAATAAATCAAAAACAATAAATCACTGTGATTTGTGCTTTGATATATGTATAGTATAGTTTATGGAAACGTGTTTACTTTGTTTAACAACAGTTAAATAATGGTTTTATGTATTCTAAAACGTTTCACGTCAAATCTCAAAATAATGCATACGTGAATAAAATAGATGGATATAATTAAAACATGATTATACAGTAATTACAGTTTTTTTTATATCAAAGACGGTTAAAGAATTGTATGTGTGTATACCTAGTATGGGTGTCACAATACTCAAAACTGTGGATCTTTCCATCATGGCATTCCCACATTTCCTTATCCAGAATGTCAATCTGAATTGAGGGCACATAAATATCTTGTATATCACTCCAGCGCTCACAGTAATGTTAGAAAAACTCAAATTTGAAAAAAATCATCTCTAATTCCACTGAAACCCGGTGTCCTGTGATGCCGCTGTACACAAACTCCACATAAGTGTACTAGAAAGGGTATCCGTTCAAACAAAGCCTATATATAATGGAACTAAAATAGTTTTACCAGGTACACTATCAATCATCCATTGGCATATTGATCACCCTGACCACTCCTAGGAAAGACTCAAGAATCAAGTGCGGTGTTGGGAAAATCATGGCATTTCTTTTTTACATTCAACTAGATGCTTTCTGTAGTTACAAAAACCTGTGTTATTTTCATGAGCATAGAGTATTGGTGAAACAAGAGGGTTATTTATCTAGCCTCCTTTATAAGCATGAAATGAAGTAGGCGTTAGTAGCAAAAATGTCAACGTTTTACTCATCCTCACGATGCAAGGGACGAAAGGCCAATTCACAATATACAGTAGAAGCTGGATATAAAGCACTTCCTTTGAGAGCAAGGCCATGTGGGCTTATATACAAAGTAGTTTGTATGAGAAGCTGCCCTTAACTTTCCTCCCCACTAGTTTGTTGTATGTGTTGCTTATACCAGAAATGTGCTTAGCTAAGGTGTGCTTAAAGTATTTCCAATTTCTACTGAGCATGCAAGTGTTATTTGTGCAGGCCTTTTTGGTACCTAGCTAAGTTCTTGTGCAATAGTATGTTTGATACAAGTGCACAGATGTAGAGATGAAACGACTAACAGGTCTCATCCATCAGAGGTTTTTTTGTGGTTAGATTGCGTAAATATGTGTCGTTAAACCCGCCACCTCCAGACGCAGCCAAATAGTAAGCTTTGTCACGTAAACAAAACGTACCAATTCGTTGCTAGTTAAGCACATCGGTGTGTTGGAGAATAAACCCACAACATTTACAAATCGAGTACGACATTTAAATTTACGCAATCTGATAATAAAAAAAACCTCTATTATGGATATTGTTCGCGAAAGCCTACATGTTAAACAAGTCTCATGTTTACAGATTAGTAATAATCTACACTTGATTTTTAAAACTGTTATTTTGTGGAATAAAACATATCACACACATGAAGATAATACAGTGTTTTTTTTAGTTTTCATACCAGAGAGCCTTGGCATTCCATTTCCTTCAGAGCACAAACATAAAAAACGCCATCTCTGACAAACGATTCCCATGTAAGGCCACTTTGTATGCCAAAGAAAAAAAGTCTTAAGCCAAGGTCACTAAAAGATCTGTCAGAACTATATATTAATCTTGAAATTCTATACACGAAAAAAAACCTCATGCTGTACAAATTTATTCATTACACATATGTACAAAAAGAAACTTCATATTTGCCAAGTGTTTGTCAATACATTGGCAAAAGGTTTTGTAAATGGGGACTTTGTTGATTGGAGGGATGGGCCTAGGTATGAATTGCTACAGCAAGATTACACAATATGTATTTTCATTTAAAAATTAGCATTTAACATTCGCAAAGTAAAATAAAGTTGCGCAGACAAACTCTTTAGTACTATAAAGCACATTTAGTGTATGCTGATAGTATATAATTTTGCAAGCCAAAACAGAAACATTACTCGCTATAAGAAATACAAATGCAATTTGTTCTATACCAAAACAACATAAAATAGGCTATATTGTACTAAATTCACAAGTATGTAATTTTTGCAGTCGTGTGCTTCTATGCAATCCACTCCTACATTCAGATACCACATATATCATATGCAAGTGAAGTTTCAAAAGCAAATTATTACCCAACTCTAGTTCAACGATTGCTGTATTTTAAATGTTCAAATAAGCTCATCCGAAACTATTCTACGCGACAGCATATATAATAACATACCATCAAGGGGTGCAGTGTTTTTTTGCAATACTAGTTACACGTTTTTCTAATTAAGTGAAAGTGAATCGGCGTGCTTGTTAAACACGTGTTCGACGAAGTCATCAGCTATTCTCAGTCTGCTGCAGGATGATAAAGGATTCTCTCAAATGACTCCACTCCATCTTTTGCAACTTGTGATCATTTCAAGCTTGCAAATGTCTGGGCCTCATCATTCCTAATTGTTCTCTTGGTTGCCAGCTAAGTAGTTCTCGTTGTCCATCTGCTGTCTGTCCTTCATGCCACGTGTCCTTCGCAGTTCTACTTTAGCGTTTTGTTTGAAAAGCAATACGTCCTTGAATTGTTTCCATCCATTCTTGAATTTTATGGCAATGTCCAGACTACATCTTTTCTTTCCATATATCTGTGTAGTGGCTAGCCTCTGATCCATCTTCTTCGAGGCCATAAAACAATGTAACAAAAAAAAGATAGATTTTTCTTTCAATAGACAATTACTATACATGTGTAAATAGTGAAAAATCCACCTAGCTCTTCATGCATATATAACCCCTATTTCATTTAACTTAAAACCCCTCCGAGTAGTGAATACAGTCAGTGACGTGTTTCTTTCCCAAACGTGCTGCAAATAAGCAAAGTCTTTATTCAGTAAGAGACTTAAAGGTAAATCAAAAGGCACAGTTATACAAATTAGATACATAGGCATAGCCAACCTGTGTTGTAATGACCCACAGAAAACACGACGTAACTTGCTTGACGAATTCAGGAAGGGCATTCGAGCCCACGCGTGTGGGAGGGTCACACGTGAGAGTTCACAACTTGTTTGTGACATTCCTTTCTGCTGACTGCAAGGCACGCACGCCTTTGATAAATAACGGGTAGGGTGGTCCTCACGAAAGGAAGGCTGATGGTAATACTGTACAAAGAGTTGTGTACTTTAAACTGCAGTATGACACACAGGAATCACAAACACTGCAAAAATGATGGTGAAGGTAAAGGCGCGGCCCTGCAATTTCTTACGTCGCTGCTGGCGGATAGAGCCTCTAGTAAACGGAGTTCTACAGAGCCCCCTCTAGAGGGTGATTGGCCTACTCTTCCACGCCGGCCAGACGTCTTGGAAGAGGTGGGAGTACCCACACTTTTACCCCACCACGTGCAACCTGCCGATCGAATAACTGCAAAATGTTGGATGTTTAACAATGTAACATAGCGCCGAGTATTAATTTCAACGGTGTGATTAAATGCTCGCAAAATAAAAGATGGTAGATGAGTTTTGTTTAAAAAAAAATGCTTGTCACAACTTTGCAACGTTAATAATTCAAGCACTAAACACGATAAAACATATTTCATACAGTATTACTTAAGTGTAAAATTACTTATATATTAAATGCTTTTTTGTTAATGTGTAATGCATTTTATTACCATAAGGCTACAAAATATGATACATTTACAAGGAATTCCTAATGCAGCATCGCAGCTCTAAATTACTACAATTTGTACAAAAATAAATGTCTCAAAGCTGAGGTCTGGTGGTTTACAAATTTGAATTGCATGATGGTTAATGGACTATGGTACATGGACAGAATTTCAATCGACAATATTTACCAGTATCATGGGGAACGTAACCAATGCAAGTTCCACGTTAACATTAACCAGCTGGTGGGGATTGATCAGAGTTCCAGCCACTCATATAATATTGTTAATTAATAAAATTACACAATAAGCCTCATTCCAATAATTTATTACATTCAACATCTAACCACCTTCCACTTTTCTTTTTCTATCTTCCCTATCCCTGATGTGCTTGTACTTATTTCACTTTCCATTTACCGTCTCAAACAAATCGTTCATTTGAGTAGTAAATAACACCAACGTAAACTGTTGGTATCGTTTTGATTTTATTTAGTAAATTCTCTTTTCTAATAATGTTTAATTGAGTTAATGAGCTTACAAAATATCATGAACACCCAAAGGGTAATAATTCAGGCATTCAAAATTACAATGTGATCCTTTAAAAGTCCTTCGGGATTCCAATTTCAATGTTGTATTGTACTTTTATATATATGTATAGAACACATGAAGCCCAATTCATGAACAATTCAACTGTGACAATCCCACTACTGGTACATTCCAGGAAACCAATTCTGCCCCAGTCATGTAAAAAAAAAGTGTCACCAATTTGCCAGGAGGAATACGTCCTGCTACCATTCCACATGAAACCTTGCATCCCATCTTAAGCTAGGCGAGGGGAAAGTAAATTTTGCCTTAGATGGAGCCAAACAATGAGGATCCAATCAGCCACACGCACGCACGTGTACGTGTGTGAGTAAATAGCTTCTCCTGCCGCAGAGCCATTCCACAACAGTGAATTCGTTCTCGAAGCTATGGCCATGTTTTCACGGCGCTAACCCCACTCTGCAAAAAAGAGATTAACGAAAGCCACAGCACCAGAGTACAGCTGTAGTCTTGTCACATACATATACAACAAACACACAATTCTATGTATGTTGAACTTATTTCGCACCGTACGCAGCCAACTGTGCTAATGATCGCTCTGCCACAATTGCGTGTTTGTCTTTTGTACGGGTCAAGATATCATCACAGGCTTATATCACATCTCATAATTTGCATCCTTCTTCCCGTCTGTTCCTTTAACTGTTGCACAATCATCACCAGTCCTCGGAGGACTATTCTGACAGTCTCAATGCCACCCTGGTTGCCCACTTCTAAGTGCCCACTCAAATGTCTGTCTTGGCAACCTGCCCTCCTCCATCCTGCACACATGCCCAGCCCATCACAACTTCCCCTTCCAATTGGGCAACCACTACTAAATTGACACAAAGTCGTGTTACTCAATGCCTGACGATGATGATTATGAACATATGCCCACGCACACATATAAGAGTAATAATAAAGAGCAATATATAAAAAAATACTTTTGTCTCTTTTGAGTTGAGCCATTCCACCAGTGGAAAATTTGGTTCGCCCGGTCTTGGAGGGGGCCTCTCATAGACTGCGAAATTCAAACGGCCTAGCCCTGAATGCGGGCCAACCTTCTGGAAGACGGCCCATCATGTCACCAAAATGGGGCAGAATTGTGATGAAAAACCGCTTCATGCCTTGGGCTCCAGTGTCTCAAATGGGTATTTTGTACAATGGAAGCAAGTAAACAAATACTAATAATAAATATACGTTTTGAAAGAACATTTCGCTAATTACAGCTCATTAACTGATTTCTTTATGTGGATATTTTTAGTATATTCCCACAAAGGGACAAATGTTTGGAGTGATTCTAGCAGTCATAATAGACATAAATTAAGGCAACTCGTGCTATGTTTTAGAATGAGTCACTTTTTGTTTTCTGGTGGCTGTTGTTGTTGTTGCAGATGAGACACTGCTCTGAAAATTGCAGACTCAAGACAGTGGCAGAGTAATGAAGTACTGTACTGTAATGAAGATTACATCAACGGCGAGGCTTATGATTACTGGGACCTTGATTACAATGATAATTACAACTGACGACGCTATCCGAAAATACAACTGCAATAATAATAATAATCATTTCCTTTACGAATAGGTATCCGTTTGAAGGGGGGTTTTTTTGTTAGAAAAAAAGAGATACAAATGCGGTTTCACGATGGTGTTTAAAAGCCTAATGCCCCGGGATTAACATGGTGTGGGCTTCATGTAGTTTCCTGGGAAGGTGCCAAAGAGTTTCGTCCTTCTGGATGTACCTGTGAAAAGGCAAACAGCAGCATTCTATTAGATTCAGACCACGCTAACGATAGATAATTATCATACCTGTCAACCCACACGGTTTACGAATATTCTTGCACAGGGAAATTGAGTTTTCAAGTCCATACGGCGTACATACGTTTCAATACGGGCAACATGTTTTTTTGTCTATTTGTTTGAGTTTCTCCCTTGTGATGGGACTTTGTAGGATGAACGTTGAGATTTATAAAGGCACGGGGTGACCAATAAGGTCTGAATTGGTCTGTGATAAGATAGGGGCACTGATAAGGGGTTGTCAGGTGTGGGTAATGATGATTTTGAAATAAAACTTGTGACATCCTTGTGAATAAGACCATGTCCTCATGTTGTCTTAGATTACTTTCCAATCTGGTGAAATACAGCAATACCTCGATATACAAAGTACATGTGTTCCTGGAGCTTCGTTCGTCTGTTGAAACTTCGTATATTGAATAACTTATAACATTAGTACTATGAGGATGTGTTCCCAGCCTTCGTAACTTACTATTTAAAACTATAAACACTTCGTAACTTACCATTCACCATTGTAAACAAAGACAATTTATATTGAAAATGTTAGATTTCATACTCTACAGGATTAACATTAACAACTGGCAAATAAAATATAGTGAAAAAACATGACATTTACATAGCAATTTCGGTGTTTATTTATTATTTCACTTAATTTTATCATGAAAATAACGGTATTGAATCCAAAGTTCGTTGTCCTCAAACTTGGTACGTCGAATATTCCTACATCGATGTGTCACTGGTACATGTTTACTGCATTACATGTGGCTCTTTGCAAGCTTGAATGTTCACCAAGGCGTGTTTACTCCCGACGTACCTACATACCACCCGTCATCACACTTCTCAATGACGTCCACAATGTCGCCCTCCGTCAGCTCAATCTCATCCTTGTTCTGTGGCCGGTAGTTGTACATGGCTTGGAACCTGACGCGGGAAACAAGGTGGAGACAGGGACGATGCGGCATGCACCTCCAATTAACACGGTTGGCTACGTACGGTGCGAAAGAAGTTCAACATACGTACACACGTACGGGCTTTACGAAGATCCTGCTTTGCCATTTTGGTCAATGTATTGTAAGGATAATTTTACATGTGATAGGCGCTACCATTCCCGCACCTGAGATAAGCACGGATGGCTACGTACGGTGCGAAAGAAGTTCAATGTACACACATAACATTAAGTGCAGTGTTATAAAGTCACGATTAATAAAATAATTGAACTACGCCCCTGAAATCGCGATGATCTGTCACACCACTGGGGGGAGGATGGTGAATCATTCCACCCCAAGTGAATTAATTCTCGTGCAAGTACTATCTCATCAAACGTGGCCAGTGGTGGTGCATGCCTCTAATCCAACACTGCGGAGGCGAGGATTGGTGGTATTGCAACATTTTTTGCAAAACTCCCTTCCCATGGGCGTCGAAGAGGTGCCATACCCTGGCTTGCCAGGGGCGGGGGGGGGGAGGCGGTACAGCAAAGATGCAGACTCTACTTGTTCCTTCTGTTTGGGATAGAGTGTTTCCCCCTTGCACGCGTGGGTTTCTCCAGGTGCTCCAGTTTCCTCCCACATGTAAGCAATCATTATTTGGCTCATAACGCCTTCATATATAGTGGAACGCAGAGCTTGTGCAACGGTTGGTGCCAGCTCACCACGTGGTTGCCTTCCCCACTTGTCTGTGATTTCGTTCACCTCTGAGCCTCTCTGTCTACGAGAGTGAGCGAATGCTGTGCGGCGCATTACAAGTTGACATTATTATTAAATGTGAGCCATAAATTCAGAGTCATAATTATCTCAATTTAAAGGGACATTCAATGAGTCACCATAATTAAACGATCTGTATGGAAATCACTGGCAACGTGGTTGCCATGGCCACTGCCAGTGCCCCCCCCCCCCCCCCCCCGCTTGAATCAAAGGCAAGAACCAGAATATGAGCTTGGTTGGGAAAGGATTTGGAAAACGTATGCAACAAGAAAACTATATTAAAGAGCACATTACTTAAAGTGCAATGTATTTACTCAGGGAAGTCTCAAGACTCTTTCAGGAGGGTCCTGTCATGTGATGTTGGACCAATTCAAAACATGAACATCCAGGGAAACCCACCATGTACATGAAGGGGTAAAACTTAATACGGCATTCTCCCGGCCACTTCTCAGCCTATAATACTGGGCAAGCCCTGGTGGTCACCAATCCAAGTACTAACCAGGCTCAACTCAGCTTAACCTCCAAGTTTTGATGAGATAAGGTACATCTCTGGGCAAACTAATTTTGCCACACACATCATCCTGTTATCCAGCACAGCTGCTTGTACTGCATTTAAAATGGGAAACTGACAAGGTGGGCTAGGACTCACGGTTCGGCAGCAGTGTAAAAGCTGTCGTGGATTGTCTGTGATCCGGGTCCTTGCTGCTGCTGGGGAATGACGGGACAGGGTTTTTTACGGTGAGAACGGCGATTGGCGGCAGGAGCGGTCTCTGCCGCCGCCACCGCCGCCACCTTCGCCACCCCCGCCGGTGTCGAAACCGCCAGCAGCGGCGTGCGCTCGCAGTCAGATGGGACGCAGCGGCGCACGGCGCTCTCCGCTATGTCCAAAATCTCACGGGCAATGGCACGCTGCGGAGGGGAGAAGGGTGCGCCCCCCGCCCCCCAGCGCGAAAGCCGTCGTCACCGGTCGTCGCGTCGGTTCGTCGTCGTTGTTGTTGCGTCGCGGGCGAGAGACGAAGCAGAGAATGGATGGAGAAGTGATGGGGAACAGTCGGCGAGACATTCGGCAGAGTGATTACGAGAGAGGCAGAGAGGCAGGGGGGGTGGCGTGTGATAGATTCCGAGGATGGCGTGGAAGAGGAGGAGGCCATGGTGCACAGCGAGCGTGGTAAAGCGTGGGCGTGAGAGAGAGGGGGAAAAGAGTTTGTCTTAGTTTATGTTGAGCGGGTGTGCTGGATTACAGTTAAAGATGTGAATTGAGTGTGGCAATGCAAAAATAGGTTCAACGTTATATTTTTCAAAATAAATGCTGATTGGTGAAGCATTGGAAATTGCGTGAACAAATGTGTCAACGGTTGTTTGAATGTTACAATTTATAATCAGTTAAACAATTATATATTAATGAGATTGTCATTTAATATATATGTAAAGCTGTATTGATGCGTTCAAGTACATTTTTTATATAAATGTCTCACAGTTACCAAGAGTTTCAGGTGTAAACCAATTAGTTGATCGACATCAAATCTGCAGTCAAATGCAGACCATTTAAAAGAAGAACATTATTTCCAGTCAATCGGCATTGCTGTAAAATGTCCTTATTTACAACACATGCTGGCTGGGTTAGTAAGCATTTTCGCTTACCACATAGCTCTGTTCGCACTCTGTGAGCTCTGGTGATGAACTCAAATCACCTTGGACATTCTGCTGCCACAGTGTGGAATTGTGTGAAAAATCGCGAAGAGGAAAAATAAGAAAGAAGAGGAAAGGCAACAACTCAAGGCAAGAAGCTATAAACGCTCGCGGGTATTTGAAGTTACACGTGGGTGGCAGGTGAAGGGAGCTGGCGAACAAGTGATGTTACGTGCGTAAAGAGGAAGAGTTTCTTTTAAAATAAAACACGTCAAAAAAGAAATCGGAGAGCAAAATGAAAAAAAAGATGGGTTTTCTTTTTTCCTCTCTCACAGGGATAGTGTCATTGTGAAAGATACAATTCCTCGAACAAATATGTCACGGTGTCAAAAGTTAAATCAGGTGAATATACTGGACTTCAAAACAATAAGTGATCAAAGCAAATTAAATACACAGCACTGATTCATACATTACACATTCTTTGCAGTAGGCTACAGTTAAATTTGTTTTCACAAAAGTCAAACCGGCTAACACGCAGCTCTCGCATAGCCATGAGCACCGTGATCAATGAGGCCGATTCCATCAAATGTCAAAAGCTATGTAGAGTTGGGCCTAGCTAATTAAAGGATGGGCAGAAAAGCCCACGATGTTACAGGCAGCTGCAGCAAACCGTGGGAAACGCTCGCTCAGCGGCGCAGCTATAAGAGTGTGCAGGCGGTGTAACTGCACCGGGGACCACAGGCCAAGGGGGAGCCCAGGTGTCATGCTCCGAAGAGGGAGGGCATTTTTATTTGGGGCCACATTTCATTCCTGGCATCAGGGCCCATGCCGACCAAACGACTTCACTGCTGCCTCTGCACAAGACACAAGCACAGTGCCGGTGGCTGCGAGGCTTAAGAGAAACTGCTGCCTAGTGAATCGGTTGTGGAGGATGCCAAAGACATATTTAATACACTCAGGTATTCTTAGGTTTTTTCGGTAAAGTCATGTATGTAAAATTTTTTAAAATTAAAATTAATAAAAGTAAAAAAAAATCACGACGTTTCGGAGGCAACACAAGCTTCCGGAAGCTTGTGTTGCCTCCGAAACGTCGTGATTTTAATTTTAATTTTATTTTTTATTTAACTTTTATTAATTTTAATTTAAAAAAATTTTTACCTACGTGACTTTACCGAAAAAACCTAAGAATATGAATACTTGCAGTCACGAAAGCTTCAAATCTAGAATACACTCAGGTAGCTGATAACCCCGCAGTTCTCTTAATAACATGGGATGCAAAAAAAATAGACCAACTACATTTATACTCTTGGTTCTATTTTATTATTTCCCTTCTACGTGACTTTACCGAAAGAACCAAGAATATGAATCCCTGCAGTCACGAAAGCTTTACATCGAAATTCAACTACATTTAATTAATTGAATTGTTTCACTAAAAGCAGTATACAAGTTAATCTATTTACACGATTAATGTTCAAAGACAAGAGAGTGCAAGGTCACCACGATCTGGGTAGACTGCTACAATGGGTGAAGCCGTACCCTTGAGTGCGTCAGTTTAACGCGAGCTCCGCTGTTGGCGACCTCTGCTTTTAACGTGAATTGAAATCATTTTAAATAATAATTTAATTTATTTAACAAAAAAGTATGGATTTAAACTCCCCCGAAATATTACATTTCACGAATTAAATGTCCATTGGCTGCCTATGGATTTGAGATCTCTGTTGGCTGGAGCGGTGGTGCAACGGTTAGTGCACTGCGCTACGAGCCTGGCGACTCCAGCTCAATTCCCGCTCACGGCCAACACCAGTGACGATTATTTGAATCGGTCCAGGGCCTCCCCCTAGGTTGATTCAGCCTGATATTAGTATTCTTAGGTTTTTTCGGTTAAGTCACGTAAGTAAAACATCAAAATAAAAATAAAATAAAAATCACGACGTTTCGGAGGCAACACAAGTCTCCGTCATCAGGTGGGACCGTCACAGCCGAATTAGCTGCATCAAGATATTAGTACTTGGTGAGGTGTGTGAACATCGCCACAGGGGTGACAAAGACGACCGGGTGTGGTGCTGGCCACCCACCCCATCGTGTGCCGTGCCGGCCCTTCATAGGTGCTCGCTAACGGCACTTAACCCCAAGTCTGTTCAGGGTATACAAGAGGGGGCGGGAATCTTTGTATTTTCTTTTTGTCTGTTCACAGGGGACAGGCGGGAGCGGCAGCTTACCCGTCCGGGGGAGCCGGCGCGTCCGCGGACTGGCGAGTCAGTGGATCGGCGCGACGCCACGGGGCTCAGCGGTGGTTTCCCCGTCACCATGCTCTCCGACTGCACGGCGACGCGGACACATGGAAATGACAGCCGTGGAACAGAGTGCACAGAAAGCCGGGTTAACGTCTCGGGGGAGATACCCATCGGTCACCAACTTGCTGCTACGTCCGTCGACCTGGTTTCATTTTGGCTTTTTTCCGGGCGCAAAAACGTGCTGATACAGGAAAAGCACCCGCTTAAAAAATCTACTATTAGATTTTTCTCAATTTAAATTTTTTTTGGTGAGGGCTCGTACCTGGTTATAAAGTCACAAATCAACTTGCCAGCATCTTTCATAACACACACACACGTATATATAAAACATTTAGAGAATGCTAACGGGCCGATGTGATAACTCTACGGGAAATGCCATTACCTGCTTCACTTTCTTTATGCCTTTGGATCGAGCCAATCAAAAATACAGTGAACGTGACCCATGTGCCGTAATGAACTTGGACACACAACTACAGAACGGGGTGACCCTGAAACTGTACAGTGATCCTAATATCAGCACAGCTCTTGCAGGTACAATCCCACCACGTCAGCCTGTGCTCATTAAAAAGCCGACTCTGCAGATTGGCATTGCGTGTTCAAAGCCCCTTCCATCTCTGGCATGTCAACGCCTAGGGAGCGATGGAATTCACTCAGCACATATACAGACATCAAGCATCAAACCGAACCATCACATCGAGTAACGCCCCTGTAAGGGTTAATGCAGCAGCCTGGTCAAGCTTGATAATTATGACAAACACACCATTAGATTTTAAGAACCTTGAGGTAAGGACGCACAGAAAATTGCAGGTTACAGCAAAAGCAACGGATATGCTGCACTCTCAAGTCGAACACAAAAGCAACATCTTACAGGTTTAGTTCAAGCCGGCTTTTCCTGAACAACACTTTGCCGTTAATAGGTTGTGTAAAACAACAATGCAAGCATCAACAACAACAAAACATGGTTATTGATTTGTATTGTCACAAGGCAATAAAACGTCCAATTGTTGAGTGCGTCAATGAGAGGGAGGAGGTGTGCGTATGGGTTGCGAGTGTGCAATTGAGTGGTAGGAGGTGTTCATGAGTACGTGAGTGCATTGGCATGTGTCTGTGTGCATTTCGTGTATTATTAAACGTGATTATGTACAAGCATTCACACTCTTATTCAAGTCGAAAATGGAACACTTCAAAAACAATCGCAACACGTGATGTTTGACAAAGGATTGTTCCATTTTCTGCAGAGGCAGGGAGGAGGAGGAGGGGATTAATTGGGTCCTGAGCAGGTCTCAGCATGAGCCTAACCCCACGAGAGAAGTTGACCATAAAAACCAGACTGATGCCCGGTTCGTTTTACTACAATGGGTTGTACTGCGTGTTGCGCTGGCATGATGTTGGACGTTTCGCTTAATGTGTTGGGAGCTGCTGATCACCTGGGAGCTTCTTATTCAGAAGCTAATTCAGAAGAAACTTCCGGCATGTGGAGCGAAACGTCGGACATCATGCCGTGAAACATGCGGTGCAACCCGATAACACATCGGAAAGGGGGCCTGTTAATTTAGTTTTATAATAAGTCGAAATATTTGCACATTTTTTTTATCTGATACTGTATGTATAAACGTACTGTGGTATATCAATAATAATAAAAGTTGTCATTGCTAAGACCTGGACCTGACCTGTGTTAATTGGTATCAAAGCAAATTCTTTTCTGTCCACCAGGGTGTGGAGAAGGCCAGAAACTGGTACCTTGACCCTGGCCGGTCTAAATTCACTTTTCTGTGATAGTCTGACGCCAGTGTGGGCAGGTGGAGGGGGTGGGGGGTGTGAGGAGACACACGGGGACGTGGAGGTGTGAGTGGACAGAGGGTGGGATCCCGTGCCAGCATGGAGGGCCTTCGGAAGAGACGGAAGGAGACACACGCCACGCGCAGACAAAACCCACGGAATTGGTTACGGGATAACACTTGCTGAGAAGTTCCAAAGAAACACACTTGACAGAGAAAAAAACATCTTCCGTAGCATTTGGAGGTCTTTTGAGTCGCGACCGTTTGTCATTCGACCTCACGTCTCATGCAAGTTTAGTGTAGCTCAGGTTAGTGGGCAAAGGATGGGTGGAAGGTAATGCCACATGATTTTAGAAAAATATATTCAAATACCATGAGTACATTATTTCATAAAAAAACTAAAAACTTAACAAATGGCTAACTGACGGTATCGTCGCAATGAGCACAGCGCTCTAATATGCATCAGCATCTTGAGAAGCATCTGCAGTTAGATGCTATAGAAATCCAAATTAACTGTATTGCAATTGCATTGTAAGAATCTAATCATACATTCGCCAAGCATAAACTAAATAGGTTTAAACATTATTGGCAGCCGGCCACCTAACTTGGGAGGGTTGGCAAGTATGCTGTATACAAAAAAAAATCAAACCCACACAAAACACTACAAATTGTAACATGCACTCTTAAGCGCAAAAAACGGGGTCCACAACTGTATCTGGAGTCAAGGCGTTAAAACGCAAAGCAAGCGGTAGGGGCAACGTCACAGCCCACACGCAGAGCTCAAGCCACCACAGGCGGAGGAGGGGGTCTCTCTCAAGCTCTCCCAAGGGACCACTTGTCCCAATGTCATGTAATGAATACACGGTTTGGAGAAGCACGGGCGGCGCTCGTGAGCAGAGGATGGAGCGCAGGCCTGGTTAGTAAACGGGAGGGGGCGGGGACGGCGCGGCACGGCACCGGACGCAACCTCGCACGTACTTGCTCGTGGCTCTGGCTGCTCTCCACATTCCCAGAGTAACACACTGACTTCACCTCCTCGTGGTGCTCCTCCCTGATGAGGAGCTGCATGAGCCCATCCACGGCGTGCTCCTGGGCCGAGCAAAAGTCCAACGCCTCCTTCTGCTGACCGGCCTCCGCGGAGGACTTCTGTGCACCGCTACTGCTCGACGGGGCCTGAGCATCGATGGCTGGCCCTGCCTTCGTGTGAACGTCCTGTTCGGGCGACGGCCTCTGCTGACACGGCTGAGAGGGCTGCTTCACGTAGTAGGACTGGAGGGCGCTCGCGGGAATACCGCCGTCCTGGGAATGCTCTGCGGAAGGAGTGGCGATTCTCTGCTGACTTGTGACCTCGCTCCGACTTTCAACGTGACTCGCGGCGTTGGTTTCGGCGCTTGGTACCTTGCCGCCCGCGTTCGAGTGCTGCTGAGGCTTCCCGCTGGTGTGCGCGTTCTGATTTTGATTCGGATTTGCCAGAGCCTGCCGGCTGGCCGGGCTGGAGTATCGCTCTGCTGCTGCCGCCGCTGCCGATGCTGCGACGTCACTGGCTCTGCCTTCGTCAGAAAAGCGAATGACCCTGGATCGTTGTTCAGCAGCTGCAGCACCAGCAGCGTCATTGCAAGGTGACGTCGGGCGACCTTGCCGAGGAGTCAGCTGCTGGGGAGTCAGTTGCTGCGGAGAGGATGGCGTGACACGGATGGCGGGCGGGCTGCTGGGCGACACGGAGTAGCCCCCGGCCGAAACGGGCTCGCGGAGCGTGAATTCGTCGCCTTTGCTCGGCGGTGGAAAGTGACCGCGAACGGGGCTCAGGCTACCGTAGCGCCCGCCGTCCCAGGCGCGGGCGGGCTCGGGGGAGGGCTCGTTAATGAACGCGTCGGGGTAGGGGAGGGGTGGCGGGGTCGGGGTGTTCTGGGGCGACACGCCCAGCGTGAGCATGATCCACTCGGACGTGACGGCCTGGAGCTCGGCTGCCTTTTTCGGGTTGACGGGGTGGCTTGGCAGGTAGGAGGAAGGGAGGGGCGGAGGGGTTGGGTTTTTGGGATGTGGCCCCGACTTTACGGGAAGGAAGGATGAAAAAGGGAGAGCGCGCACACACGAAACCCACAGGGAGGCAGGCGGAGAAGGGTCGACACAAAAATGTAAGGAAAGAGGACACAAATATAGGGGCACTTGCAGGGTAAACTATGAATAAAATATTTAAATGCGCTAGCGTATAGGTCATTAAAGGTAATACATTTTTTTTAAACATGTTTTTGTAATGTAAATTGTTTAAGGATTAAAGAAAAAATGTAACTGAAAAAAATGCAAAGAGAAGTCAGGAAATTGATACACATGGGAAAAATCTGAATGAAAATAAGAGGTGAATTTAAGGTTTCATTGGACAATGACAGAAGTGGATTCCAGGAAAATGATGTATGAAGAAGCGACGCCAGTATTTCTGCTATGCTGCAGTACCACGCATTCCAATATATCCATCAGGAAATTAGCCCACACAACGTGATAACAGTCTTACCTATGATCACGGCTTGCAAGAGTGAGGTTTCACTACACATCCGGACTTGAGAAAATTGAGTGTGACAGGGATACGTAAACAATAGCCTGCCTAGTTGCAAAGTAGCCATGAATGTGCAAAATGTTCTCTAAAGCTTAGAGGGCGTAAACAAAGCACCTTCGTGACAACCTCTGTGCTATAAGAATGGCACAAATATGATATGTACTTCCTAACTTACTCCAATGCCAGAGTTTTGCTGTTTGTGAAGCATCCTGCAGGACAAAACTCTCCTCTTTCTACTTCTTTCGTCGCACTGCTCAACTTTGTAATTCCCTTCTACAGTCTCTTTTTCCAATCTTGCACTTTATTTTGCGCACTAAATGCCTACTTTATTGAGGCCGATATTGGCACGCAAAATAAAGATTGATTGCTTGAATCTTTCTCAATTCAAGAAACGTATATTAAGCCCTGTTGGCCACTTGCCATTTTCAGCCTTTCGCTCAGCAACTGTGACGAAAACAAAATTCAGATAAAAAAAAAATTAATGGCTTCGCTGAATGTCCAATGGACTTGTTTGATGGCCGAGTGGCGCCGTTCGATCCGAATGGAGGAGTTGTGGTTTGGAGGGCCCACCTGTGCTCGCTGCGCTGGCGGCGGTGGGTCTGGGTACTCCACGCCGTTCTTGACGCGTGGCCGCTTGACCACGTCGATGTAGGAGACCGGGAAGATGCCCTGGCGATTGGTGCCCGGCACGCGACCCTCGTACCAGTTCTCGTCGACGCGGCGGATCAGAGTGATGCACTCCCCCTGCGGGAAACCCCAAGTCGCACAGCAGGAGGGGGTGGCCAGGTGGGTTCACAGAGGTCAGAACGCTGAGCTGAGAGCGCCGAGATCCTGGGTTTGACACCAAGCAAGCCGCCTGTGATTAAACTGGATTCTCACGAGCAAGTCAGTTGATGGTCTCAGTCGTGGTCAGCATCGACTGCATAATGACTATTATATTAAATTTGGTTGTTCAATTAATTTGGCCAAATTCCAGCTCTGCAAATGTAGCATATCAGTTGAACTGCAATGCAGCAACTGCTGCCCCTACTGTATGGTCCTAACGCAAAAGTGCTCACTGCTCTACGATAGAATGATCAGGATAGACCTGCAGAATATGTATTACTGGTAGGAACCTCCTGGTTACACCAGCCCACAGGGAATTATTGTGTCTGTCCGTCGTGCATCCAAAAATGGGAGTGTTGGAGCTGGGTGGAGAGGGGAGGGTGGGGAGGGGCTGGGTGGGGAGGGTGGGAAGGGGCTGGGTGGGGAGGGTGGGGAGGGGCTGGGTGGGGAGGGGCTGGTCACCCCGTGGTGCCCTTATAAAACTCAACGTTTAACCTACTCACGCCGGCTTGTGCCTGCCCTCACAGTCGGCCATATTTGCGGAATACATCACACCGCCGTTGACCCTGGCCATTGACCGAGCAACCCAACGTTCCTACCAGCTCCCTCCGCAGGAATGTGTTTACAAGAATTTCTACTTTGCCAGGTGTGGTGATGCATGCCTCTGATACAGCATTTGGAGGTGAAAGTTGGTGGATCACACAGATTTTTATGACTCCTACTCTTGCAGTGCTGGAAAACTATTTCCTTTGTTTTGTAAATGACTAGGTCACACACACACATATGTTGCTTTATGCAGCAGAACTCGTCTTAACGACGGTATTTGGTTACATGAAACCAGTTGTCAAGCGATTTGGTCATTAAGCGAGTATAGGAATTACATGTTAAAGGCTTAATTCGTTCCAAAATATCATCGAAAGTCACCCCTTTTCACCCAAAAACTTACTTTATACTATTTAAATAATGGATATGAATACATAAAGATACTAGCAACATTATAAACACATAATATGAAAATAAACACAGTTAATCAATGCATTAATTCATATTTACAACAGCCAGCCGTTAACAGGGGAATGGTCGGTAAGCGAACACATTGGGCTCTGTGGAGGCCCGTCGTTAAGCGATTAGTTATTAACAGGGGTGGTCGTTAAGAGGGTTCTACTCTACACTACTATACACTACACTATTATACACTACTGTACACTACGATACACTACACTATACACTACTACAGGACACATTGGGCTCTATGGAGGCTCGTCATTAAGGAATTAGATGTTAACAGATGTGGTCGTTAAGGGGGTTCTACTCTACACTACTATACACTTCACTACTATACACTACATTATAAACTACACTACTATACACTAGACTATACACTCGGCTCGATGGAGGCCCGTCGTTAAGCGATTAGTCGTTAACAGGGGTGGTCGTTAAGAGGGGTTCTACTGTCGTAGCAATCATCTGGCCTGAACTCATAGCCACAGAAATCATGTGGCCACACAACAAACTGCGTTTGCGGGACGTGTACTGCCAGTCCCCACCTTGCGGAAGGACATCTCCAGGTTTGTGTCGGCATTGAAGTTGTAGCGCGCGACCGCCTCACCGTACTCCAGCACCTGGATCGGCGGCTGTCTCATGGGCTGTGGCTTCTCGGTGGGTGGCAGCATCTGCATCGGAAACGCAACAGTGACGAACGCTCGCTGCTCGTTATCCCGAGTTTCTCGAGTATGTTTTATTCGGTTGGGTTGCAAGAACAATTGCTTCCCAATTCTGCTTTCAAACAAAGTCGTCATGCTCTTGTCCTCACCAAGCTGAGCTAAGGCACTTTGGTTTTACCCACAAGTCACCACCATGGCGACGATCACACAATTATATCACGTTTCTGTGAGCCGCGAAACCTGAGTTTGAACTCAAATTGTTTTTGGATTGTTCCGCGCGACGTCTTGACGATTTCGCTTCACGTGCCGGGACATTCTTTACGAACTGAATTTATACGGTATGACCCAAAACCCCATCGGGGGGCTGCACAGCACAACCGCGAATATCTAAACTATAAACTATTTTATTTTACCAGGTAAGGCCTACTTAGCTGTATAGCTCTTTTTCAGAAGCGTCCTAGTCACAGATGATAGCTCAATGAAGTGGCTTATCATGTGGAAATGTATAGTTGCAGCCAAATACTGTAAACGCATTTTTCTAAATGTGGAGAGTACCTGGAGAAAAATCCACTCGATCACAGGGAGAACATGCAATCTCCAATTATACGGGCGTCAGGGTCAGGATGGAACCCATGATCTCCTGTATACCAAGTGGAGGAGTTAACATCTCACCACTATTGGGCCCTTCCTGATTAATAAAATAAATAACATCGATCTATCGTGCTTACGCCACTTTTTTTTACCCTTTAACTCGAGTTCTAGGAGGCATGAGGCACGGCAGCTCAAGTCAACCACAGTTGGCTGTCCCAATGGGAACGAAGAGCTCTTAGATGTGCACATGGAAACTCACTTCCAGATATGACGCCGGGCAGATTCCCACTCTTCCGTGGCGCTCCCCCTCAATCCAGTTCTTGTCGATCTTGCGAGTCACGTACACAATGTCTCCCTTCTGGAATGAGAGCTCCCTGCAAAGAAACACATGATGTTTTCGTAACAAAACGGCAATTGCAACAGCACAGGCAAACAAAAAATAAAATAAAGATCTGTTAGATGTATGTTGTTGTTGTTGAACTTTTTATTCTGGCTGCCTGGATTGTTACTCTGACTTCATGGATTGTTGCTCTGAATTTCTGGATCTTGTCCTGACAATGTCTGATGCAGTTTCCAATGAGATGTCGTATCTAGCTGCGAAATTTGTTTGTGAGGACTGTTCTGCAATGCATCAATAATATAATTGGTGTGTTGTTGATTACTTGAACAAGTGACAATTCTTTTGTTTGGCTGTGTCAGGTGGTGAAGGGATATTAATGGCATTGATTTAATCGGATCATTACATGGCCTGAGCCAATAATCAATTATGCACCATATTAATAGCTTTAAAACAGATAATTAGATTTGAATAAACAACAAAAAGCCACATATTTACCTGTACACACAACAAAACTGACACCTTTTTTACAAGGAGTCATGTTTGCATTGACCACAATACCTGCGGTCGGAACGCAAACAAAAAACACAACCCTGATAATGTATGCACTGTCCTTGAAATTGATTGGTCCACACCCGAGACAGCTTTCTTTAGAGCCTAGTCTGACATGGTGTCGGACCAGATGACGCCAAAAGGCGACACCATGTCTCCTTTGTTGCCAGATAAAAGGGTAAAAAAACAACGATCATATTTTGCTACTGGCAAAGGAGGTTCCAATCAAGTACGCACAAATACGCACACATATCGTATGCACACACCGACAAATACGTACCAGAACACAGACCCCTATTTACAGAGCACATTCATGAACAATCACACACAAAGCCACTAATACACTCACACACTAAAAAGCATTCGCTACAGCTATTCTGAATGATTTGCATGGGGCTCTTGAATTATAACAGTTTAATAATTACACTCGTGCGTCCATTTGCCGTACCTTTGTGTTTGAGCTTTGAAGTCATACTTTGCCCTCGCTGGCTGTCGCATCTGAAACACAGAGTGAAACAAGTGTTGTTGGGAGATGTCATTGCCAGCACTTTTGGCAAAACACATTCCTACACGACAGCATTTTTGTAACTTGCGTTACTCAGTCGGACATTGCTAGAATCGAGTGAAAGGATTTCAATCAAGTTAGATCACACCCCCCAAGAGCCCACAATATGCATGGAAGCCTGTTTGCCAAACGAGTAATGTTCAGTTTCAACCAAAATGACGATTAAATGGTCATAGAAAAAACAACACTGCGCTTTGCCTGAGCTTAGAAGATGCAATGAATGCATATAATAGTGATTCTCAAACAATAGCGTATTCAGTGTACAACACGAAAAAGGTAATGAATTCTCTTTAGGGCAGTGCTAATAACGAACCTGCTGATGTTACGTCTGCTTTTGCACCACTGGCAATGCGTTATCATCATTCTTTGTATTCATATACACACAATGAGCGTATGTATCAGCGTGACCTTTGATGCATCGTAAATTAACAGTTTTAACAGTGCAGTGAAGCATCTTATGCATGTTTTCAAAGTTCAACGTGCTAAGCAGTAAAGTCTCCCCCTTGGCTTGATTAGCAAAAGCACGGACACCACCAACTACGTATTTGCAATAATGCTCGTAACTCAAAGTTTGAAAAACACTCGGATAATTTTAGATACGGTAGATAAATATCTGGTTTAAATCAAAGTGCATTCCGGTCATTCTCACAGCGGCTTTTGGCTGGCCACTGCATCGCAGCGATTTCAGACGCGCTTCTGCGGCCATATGGAATGGTCTTCCATCCGATATTAGGAAGCCACTGGAGCTATGCACTTTTAAATCTAGATTAAAAAAATATATTTCTTTAGAACTGCTGTTTGTGTTTAGTGTGTTGTCCTTCCCCCCGCACCTCCGATTAGCACGGTTGGATATGCACGGTGTGAAATAAGTTCAACATACATACATACCTCGCCTGGTATTCAGGAGGTATCCAGGAGGCATACCAGATACCAGTTATACCTCTTGCATACGATTATCATATGATGTTAACTCTACAGGAGGTTGTGGGTTCAATCCCGACCCTGACGCCTGCACATTTGGAGTTTGCATGTCTTCCTCCCCATTGTCGCGTGGATTTTTCTTCCGGGTTTTCTCTCCACATTTAGAATCGACATGCAATTTAGAGTATCTGGCTGCTATAGATTTACACTGTGATAAGCCACTTCGTTGAGCTGTCATTTGTGGCCAGGATTGCTTCTGCAAAAAGAGCTCTACAGCTCAAGTGGGCCTTACCTGGTGAAACAGCACGGTTGGCTACGTACGGTGCGAAAGAAGTTCAACGTAGATGTGTACAAAGGTGGTCCTCGTGGTACGAGATGAGTGTGTGGCCCGGTGCTTTCGACTGGCACGGACTTATTAAAGCCAGCTGCTGCTGCTGCGTCCCGAGCTGAGAGGGGCATGCGGGCAGAACGGCAGCAAAACCTCTGCTCCCCCCTCTGGAGGTGACGTTGGCCGTTGGTGAACTTTGATCGTCATAGGGCGAGAGCGTCTTCCTGGAGCAATGAACGGGGCGGCACTCATATAAGCTAAATTAAACTATTTTCTATTTAATCAGGTAAGGCCCCCCCACTGAGCTATGTAGCTCTTTTTCAGAAGTGTCCTGACCACAAATGATAGCTCAGCAAAGTGGCTTGTATCATGTGGACATTTATAGCATCCAAATACTCTTAAACGCTAAACGCACATTTCTAAATGTGGAGGGAAAAACCTGAGGACCCGGAGAAAATCCACACGCAAACTCCAAATATACAGGTGTCAGGGATGGGATCGAACCCACGACCTCCAGTATACCAGGCGAGGCAGTTAACACCTCGCCACCCCAATTTGGCCTCCTCTTTCTTGCTGGCCAGACGTCTTGGAAGAGGCCCGGGGAGTACCCACACTGTAGCTGACCACATGCAACCTGGCAATCAATTAGCTGCCGAGTCCTCACCTCCCTGCTGTGCCGACGCATCAGATCTTCCGGCGTGCCCCGGCGGTCAAGGAAGGCGTTGCTGCTGCCGGTGCCGTAGCTGAAGCTCTGGGCCGAGTGTGGCCGCGCGAGATCAGAGTCTGCGCAACGCAGGGCGGGTGGCAGAGAGCGGCATCAACGGCAGACAAGGAGGGGGGGGTGGGGTGTTCACGCGGCAACTCACGGCACGGTTCTAAATCACCCTGCGACCACGCCGTTAGTGTGGTGGCACGGTAGAGATGCGACGCACACACTAATGGCATGGACAGGGTGTTTTACAACATGTCATTGGTGTGTCTGTCACACGTTCCATGTGTGTGTGTGTGTCTGTGTCACACATCTCCACGCCAAAACACAGAGAGATCCAGATGCTCTACATGTCACGGTTTACATCACACATTTGAAATGTTTCTCTGCACAACAAACACACTGGCATGAGATAAGTAACTTCGTCAGTAATTTTATGAATAGTCAAGATTCTTGGTTGCGATTCGATTCAAGGATTTATGTGAATATAATCGGTATATGTGCAAAGAGAGCTGCTCTGTTATTCACTCTTCCTGGCTACACCTCACACACGCAGCCCCACTTACCACGTCAAATGCATGGCGTCTCTCTGAGACAGGTGAAAAATGTCCCAGTGACTCCTGCCTTGGCTGTGCCCACGTAACGTTGGCACAGCCCTCTCTTCATTACTGCCACACCGAGTGAAACTTTGGCAAAGCGAGCGGCAGTTGCTATGTTTGGTCCCAAAGGGCTTCTCGCTACTTGACCAAATTAATGGGCACCCTTTTCTGGCGCCGTGGCTCCCACAGTTCACGCTCCCCAGCATGTTAACATAGAACCCAAGCTGCATTCTAATGTATTAATTCTAGATTTGAAGCTTTCGTGACTGCAAGGATTCATATTCTTAGGTTTTTTCGGTAAAGTCACGTAGGTAAAAATTTAAATTATAAAAGTAAAATAAAAATAAAATAAAAATCACGATGTTTCGGAGGCAACACAAGCTTCCGTCTTCAGGTGGAACTGTCACAGCACGCTTGCTGTATCAAGTAAAATTTACTAAATTAAAATTAATAAATTTTACTTCATACAGCAAGCGTGCTGTGACGGTTCCACCTGAAGACGGAAGCGAGCTGCTCTGTTATTCAGGATTCAGGATCCGAAACGTCGTGATTTTAATTTTATTTTAATTTTACTTTTATTCATTTAAATTAATTTTTTTACCTACGTGACTTTACCGAAAAAACCTAAGAATATGAATCCTTGCATTCTAATGTGTTCGGAGGGCGTCCCCCGCTCTATTGCAGGAAGCCTATTGAGGGGCACGTAATCAGATTGAGAGTTTTGGCACACGTAATTCAGACCTGGTCGCGGGAGTAAATGCCATTGCGAAGTGCGTAATGCCCCTTGGGAACCCAGCGTCTTAGTACGTGGGATCCGAGCACTTTTAGCAGCAAGCTAATACGCCGGGTAACAAAGTGTGTGCAAATTATTTTGTCAAGGCGCTCTTCCCCCTCCAACCCAGCTTAAATATACGCTCCAAGCCTGGGGTGTTTCATTCAGACGCTGTCTTCCCGACAGACCTGTTTTTCACCTGAGGACGGCTGCTTGCGTTGTGGCCAAAATGTCGTGAGAATTATTTTATTATGATTTATTTTTATTATTTTATTATTTCCCTTCTACGTGACTTTACCGAAAGAACCAAGAAGAAAAAGTGTGTCTTTCCATCCAAAAGTCAAACTGTTAGTTCTACCTGATGACGATTGCTTGTGTTGCAATCGAAACGTCGTATTCTATTGTTTAATTTATTTTCTTTCTACGTGACTTTACCGATAGAACCAAAGAGTAATTCCTGCAGTCACGAAAGCTTCAAATCAAGTTTGTGACAACACCATTAATGGTTGGGTATGAATCACCGATGAGCACTGCTCACGGTTCTTTTTGGAAGTCTGTAAACTGGGCATCACACACTGGCGATCCCTCGGGGGGGGGGTGGGCAAAAACTTCGATGCTGCAGACTGCAGACATCAAGGGCTGTCAATGGAAAGATGCATCACCGTTTGTCAGCGAGTACAATTGCACATTTCTCGTTAGTTCAGTTGTAGTTTACCCTCAGCTTTGAGCCGCCTACTCTTTGGACGAAAGGCTCCCCAAGTCATCGGCATCTCTCACGGTCTCGTGATGCACCATCTAGCTCCTCCACACGAGCGACCCCTCGCCCCAACCCCCCTTTGCTCCGTCTCTGCCGTGGACGTGCTCTCTCTCCCATTGGCTGCCACTCCGTCGTTAGTCTCGACCGCCGGCCGTCGTACCTTCTGGCGGCGGGGTCGTAAACCCAATCCTGATGACCTTCCTTACCGGTGAATATGAAATAAAGTGCTCCCAAAGTAACACGACCTGCATTTATTACCATCAAACGTACGTTTGTGTTTCACGAGTTTCGGCTGTACATTTGCTCTTCTATATCTGCACAGTGGATAGCTTTAATACGGTCATACAAAGTGTTCTTAATACAACATGAAACTTGAAATGTACATTTACAACGTGATCCATATGATTGCCTGATACTGAATGCCAGTCGGTGAGTTTAACACGACTTACCAGCCCCCTTGGGTTATGAAAAAGAGCAGCCAATGAGGTTTAGACAACTAAGTTCTTGAATCGTTTCAATCGCAGCCGTGGACAAGGCTACGATGAATCAGTCACGTATGTGCATCATTTCGAGCTTGCATGTCATAAACCGACGTGATTATGGTGTGTGAAGTGAACTAACACAGGTGACAAACAGCAGGTGAAATGTATGAACTCATTAAAAAAACCCCCACCACATTTACTCCGCAAATAAATAAAACTACAGTTTACAACACAGCACAACACACCGTAGCTGAACAATGGGCGTAAAGCATGACAACCTCTGGGATAAATTAAAATAAATGAGTAGAAACACCGCTGTTTCATACAAACACAGAACAAAGTTTTCAATGGAATGCAACGTGCATGCGTGTAACACAGCAATCGGCACAGCACACTTGTATTTCCAACACACTCTATCTAATGTTCCGCGGAAACCCCCGGTGACCTCATCTCCTGGGTCACAATGCGATGTTTGAATGGAGAAGATGACTTCGTGAAGAAAAATAAATATCGTCGGAGGCTGATGTTGACCGCATCGACATGCTGTGGCCGTAACCAATATGACAAACTCAATGCCGCAATTTAAGATGCAGCCGTGGAAAGCTCTTGCGTTCGTCACTGCTTTGCTTGGGTCGATGGGCCGTTTTCCCTCGTTTTGAGTATCTTTGTGCGTGAGAAAATATGTTTCAGAGCCTATGTCAGGCCTAACAAAGACTTACATTTTTTTTACAGCTCTTTATCAATCTACTGCTGAATTAAAGCCTCCCCACACTTTACTGTCATCACATTTTTTAAAACCAAGGACCCTGTAAGGAAATTGTCATTCTCTGTAAAAAAAAACTTTAAAACCATGTGATGAACACAATAATTAGGCTAATCTACAACTATCCATTTGTCACACTAATTTACCTTTTATCAGTAAAGGCCAGGCTGAACAGATACGAGTTATAAGTCCTTTGTTTAAACTTTGGATGGTCAGGTAGTTCCAACTCAGGCAAGTTGTGTGACCATATTTCTCACTACGATGGTGACTGTGGGTTAGTGAAGAGGGAGCTTAGGAACGGCTCAGTTATCACTCACCACTGATGTTAGCCATGATGATTGTCCATGCCTAATAACTAGTAAAATCACTGCTATGTGCAACCATACATATATGTATTAAGTCAATGCCTTATAATAATTTTTTGTGTTAAGTAAACTGATGCTTGTGTGAACACATCTTTTTCCCTTCGAGTATGAATTAAATTTTGTAAAAGCCAAACTGAAGAGTTGATTTTAAGGTATGTATTCAAGGAAGGAGAATACATATATAGTTTCAAATGTAAGCTAAAATTAAGGCATTTTATTTTGATTAATAGCACGTGTGTATTTGTTTAATTATAAATTGTTCTAAATTTATAGTCACATGTCATTATCAATCAATGTGATAACCTCGAAGAGCAATTCTTTTACGAGAAATTAATTCGGGCCAAATTCCCTTAAAATTATTACAATGATTTAAATATCCGACTTGTTAATGAAAAAACAGCATATTCTTTCCGTAAAAATTGTAATAATTCACTGACATTTGTGAAAAATGTTCATTCCTCTACTGTTTAACGTCGTCACCCGCCCCTCTTAATCTTTTCAATAAATGTTCTCAAAATGATGTCAAAAAGGATCTATTTGATCTCACGTAACATGCGAGGGGTTTTGAAGAACAGCAAAGTGATGACTCTATGACAAGCGATGGCAAATGTGATGTCTTCACAGGCATGCCGCCAGGACAAGAGAGCACGGCTCACGGACAACACCAAAATGAGATGTACAATGGGCGATGGGTCCACCACAACAACAACGATCCAGGTGACAGCATGTCCGAGACTAACTTCTGCTCTGGAGGAGACAAGAGCGCAGATTGTTATTAGAATCGCTGTAACCGTAGGGCAGCTCGTTGTCGTTGGGTGAGAAATCATCGGAAGACGTCATCAGCTCTGCCGCGTCCTCCAGGATGAGTAGCGGGGCGCGGTATCGCTCTCGGATTGCCACGATGGAGGACGTCCGTGCGGGGGCGCGAGGCACGAACTCTGACAGCAGGTGATCGATCATCCCCGTTTCCACGTGGTCCTCTTGCCCGTGATTCTGCATTCCGTTGGACGCTGGCACTGGCGATGCAGATGAGCCCGTGGCCTGCCGCTCCTTTGCGCTGCTGCTGCCGCTGACGCTGCTGACACTCTTTGACTTGAATGGAAGGGGCCCCACTAAATATGCCGCTCTCATCGGCTCCGGCTTCCTGCCTTGGCTTGTGCGCCTTTCCTGAGCCGGGCCCTTGGGGCGATTCTTCTCGTGCTGAAGCCAAGTGGTGAACCTCGTGAAGTAGGCAGGGCAAGGCCCCTTGCAGTGGCTGACGAGGAGCTTGCTGCGTTGCGTTTTGACATTCTTATCCGATCCGACGGAAGATCCATTAGCGGCACCGTCTGCCCGGATGCCAGCCATGGAAGCCTTACCGGGTTTCGGTTGGGGAGCCCGACTCTGCTCAGCGTGGTTCTGTTCATCGCGAGCTTTGGAATTTTCAGGCTTGGCAGCGGGTGAGTACTGAGTGGTGTCGATGCTACTTTCCTTCAAGCTGCCCAAGCGGTCGACTTTTTGCATGGAATCCTCAGCCTTGCCCGAAGGACTGCCCGCGTAATTACCATTGCGCTTCGCAAGCTTCTCCTGGATGTGCTGGTTCAGTTTCGTAGAAATCTCCGAGAGGTCCCTGTTAAGCCACTTGCTTCTGATCTGATCGCGAATGAGCGACGCTTCGCTCCTCTCCTTCAGTACCGGCAGGGCCGCCGCCAACGTTTTCTGGGCTTCTTTGATCTGCTTTGACCTCTGGCCAGAGGAAACTTCCTGACCGCCACTATTTGCAACCAGCGATTCCACCGAGAAGGAGTATCCTAGCTGCTTCTGTGGGAAGAAGGCCTTCTTGCAGAGCGTGGTGACAAGGGGGGTGTGGACCGCACGTTCCTGTCCAGTGCCGAGGTCGGGCAGGGACTGGCAGCGCTGAGAGAGGCTTTCGGCCTCTCCCAGCTCGGCGGCCGCCCGCGAGGTCCCGTCCTCCGGCGTGCCGGCCCTCGGAGTCTCGCTCCGGCTGCCCGGGTTGCTCGCGGTCGCGGCGTCCTGGTTCTGCTCGTACCACGACACCATGGAGCGCACGCAGCACACGGGCTTGGAGGCCCTCACGTCCTGGTGGCTGATGGTGTGCATGGACTTGTACAGCTTGAGGAACTGCGAGGACATGTGCTCGGCGGCGGAGGCGTCGGCGTCGTCACCGTCGTTGTGGGTCGCGCTCACGCATTCGGCGCTCTCGGATTTCGCGCAGGGGCGTCGCGTTAGGCCGCCGCCGCCGGCCGCGTGCCCGTTGGCGATGTCCTCGCAGCTCTGGGACTTGTGTCTGCTGGGGGCGCGCGCGCCCGACGGCTCGCGAGACTGGGTCGCGGAAGAGGAGCGGCCGGTCCTGCTTGCCTATGTTGGGTTTGAACTTGGACGGCAGAATGTCGGTGATGCCGCTTTTGGCCGCGGACAAAAACTTAGCTTGACGGCCGCTCGCACAGCCAGAGGGACTCTGCGAGTCGGTGAGCACGCTGATGTAATTTAACGTGTAAGCTAGTCTTTGAATACCCCCACCTTTTAATCCAAGCATGGCCAGCATGTAGGGGGGAAAGAAAACGAAAGAGTAAAATATCACCGCCAACACAACACGCGTCGGTTTTGACCCGTTGACAAACGCTCGCGAACCACAGTGACATCACGGGGACAGTGGGACACCTCGCTTTCTTCAGCGACGTAATAAAAAATATAACTTTCCGAGAGCGAAGCATATGATGTGTGTACAATCCGGTTGTTTGGTCATAAAAAAAAAGTTTCTCCATTTTAAACTTGACGTTCCCAGATTGAAACGGAGGGATACGTGTCAATGAAGAAAATGCGCGTGCCGTGAAGCGCTCAGTGGTCCTGAGAATCGCCGCAGTGAGATCAAACGGGAAGGGCCAGCCGACTGTGCTTTAGCTCCTGATATTCTTTGTTGGAAAAGAAAACCAGCCGCCGCTGTTCGCTCCAGAACAAAGTTCAACGTAATGATAAACCATACAAACAAGGCTCTACTCGGATACGACCAATTAACAAGATTAGCAAACAAACACGCAAGTGCAAAATGTATGTTTGGCTTGGTGAGGCATATGCGGAGCTGACATTATTCGCATCATAGATCCGCTCGAAATGTGTCATAAAAGCACCAAAATCCACAACGTAAAAAACGAATCCGAGTCAAGTTATCATTAAACAAATACATCGTAAATGTAACCGCAACGGGAAAAGTGTTTCACGTGTCGTCATGAAATGATTCATGCACGCCTCGTAGTGAGAAGTGAAAACATAAAATACGATGCCCGTTGCAGCGCCAGATATATATGTGTATATTTAATGAAATTCTTTCACGAGCAATATTATGACTGATAATTAATATCAGTTAAGAGTTATGCACACTCCATCAGCCGACAAAGCCAAACAAATCAAATGATCAAAAGATGTGCTTTTCAGTTTAACCCGTTTTTGAAAAAAAAAAATCAATTGGCACATTTGTCCACGTGATACCTCGATGTGTATAGCTGTAAGGTGGTGGAAGGTGATAGGTTTAATTGACATTATGCCTACATGATCTAACTGCAAAATAAACCAATTATGAATAAGACTTATGTGTTGTGCATTACATAGCGTGCTCTACGGTAGTAGTGTAGAGTCAGTTGTGATGTTTTTTTATGCAGTGTGCGTTTGTGGGATTTTTGTGCAGACTTGCAATTGATATTTTAGTTAATTCAAATATTGAAAATGGCTATTGTTCATGCACAAGTGTAGCAACAGTACACGTGTCTCTCTTCAGCTGGGACTAGATTACACGAGAAACAGCTAAAGTGTACGTTTTGTAAGCGATTCTCAATTTATAAGTACTGCACGTAAAGCTTAAACCACTTCATGTACAGATTTATGAATGCACTTAAACAGGATCCAGTGCAGTCTTGTGTAACTGGCACGTATTGCTAGAATTTAAGGTAGACTATAATAGGCTTTTATTTACCACATTGCGAGTGAGCAGTCGAAAGCGGTGTTGATATTGCTTAGCTCGAACGCTTTGTTAATATATCGCTCATTTACCACGGAGTTAATGAGTGTCGCTGATTTTAACCCACGCGAGGAGGATGATGGGTCAACTTCGACAGACAATGTATTCGTTATTTTCTCTACTCCACACGAGTGGCAAGTTTGCATTGTAATGTTTATTACAGCATGACCACAGTGGCGCGGTACGCTTGTCACCTCCATTGCAGTTCACGGCAAAATTAAATTTCAGTCGTTTATTGCTCCGCAATAAGGCACGCTCTTTCACGTCGCTTTCTCAAAAATGTCAATCATTGCAGTGAAACCTCTTGCTGTCGAACACTACAGTGGACAAGTGTAAATGTGCAATGGTTTTACAACCTACACAAGTATGACAACACATCGTTTGTACAGCAAACATTGTATTTTACTAGTGAGACATTTCACCTGCAGCAAGGTCATCGCTAGACATCATCAATCCGATGAGTGGAGACTGATGATGACTGATGACTATGTTGAACGTCTTTCGCACAGAACGCAGCCGTACGTAGCCAACAGACTTGCACGATGAGCACGGTTGGCTACGTGCGGTGCGAAAGAAGCTCAACACGCGTACATACATACATACAATCTCCTTCCTACAATCTAAACACCCCAGGCTTTAAATAACAGGCATAGTAGGCCCCAACGTGTTGTCACATTCACCAGATGCCCGACGCATATTCAGCCGTACGTTTGCCCCCCCCCCCCCCCCCTATTTGAGTCGTGCCATTGTTTTTCATTTCATCTCCGAAGCAACTGGTTGGTTCAAATCCCCCCCCCTGCCCGCCCCCCCCTCAAAAAAAGTGGCGTTGGCAGAACAACAAGGTTGCAGGATGACCTCTCACCTCTGGGCAACGGTGGGGAGAGCGTGGAGGAGGCACTGGAGGAAGGGCGGCCTCCTGAGCCCTCGCACGGCCACTGTCTCGAGCCCAGCGAGCTGCACGCCAAGCACCCCGCACACGCGGACGCACAGACGGACGGGGTTAGTTAACACGCGGTAAGGACCGTGACCCCAATCGGCGATAATCGCAAGCACGGCAGGAGAGATACAACGGTTTTGTTTGGTTTATTTGTCGTTTTGCTTCCTCATTGCCGAGTATTCTTGACTTATATTCCCAATATGTAAGCTTTTGGGGTTTTAACGTTTGATAACTGGGTCGTTGTTAAATCACAGGATGGTGGCAATTTGGGTAGGCCTTCATCCAGCAGTGGATTGACCATAGTGGGTGATGATGGTGAATTTTGTCATGCAAAGATATGCACACCATTAAATTCTATTATGGAAACCTTTCAGGGATGTAAAGAAACACAGATTCCTCGAACAAAATCCATTCTCATGCTCATGATACATGTACCTAACAGTGCACGTAAGCCTGTATGACTTTTGATTCTCAAACCTCGTATGAAATGGATTCATGTGACCCCTGCTGCCACTAAAATCCACTTAATTCACGTAATTGATATATAAAAAATTATATCTTGAATTAAATCACGGCCCTGAATTGTTTGCGAGCAATCATTACAGCACTACAGCCCACCTACCTACCTGCAACCCAAAAGTGTGCGAAACGTATGTATGTATATCTGTGTGTATACATATATTAAATATTATTCCGATACATTATGTTTAAAATATTATCCATAGTCATATTGACTCTGGAGTATATGAAGATGGGAGTGGTGGCGCAGTGGTTGTATCTATGTTGAACTTCTTTCGCACCGTACGCGCTAATCGGAGGTGCGGGGGAAAGACAAAAAAAATAAACACAAAAAGCAGCTTTACAGAAATTAGTTGTCAATCGAGATGATTTAAAAGTGCATAGCTCCAGTGGATTCCTAATATCGGAAGGAAAGAGCGTTCCAGACGGCTGCAGAAGTGCACCTGAAAGGGCACATTGACGTTTAAACCGTGCAACCTGAGTCCGATTCCCAGCCATGGCTAACATCGGTGACAAAAGCGATAGCCCAACCGGTCCTGGATACCCCCCATTCCCCCCCACCCCCGTCGGCTTTTTTTTTAGCAACCCACACTGACCAAAGTGGGGAAGTATGGTCAAACAACGGCCACTATCCAACATGGGGTGGAGAAACCTTTGTCCAGCAGTGGGCTGACAAGGTGCACTATAACCCCACTCCGCACTTACTGCGTGGTATTAACGTTGCCTAATGAACGTGCGTCAATCTTCGTCGTGCGTCTGATGAATCCTGTTACTAAGGGTTTAGCGCTACGGGGAGCCACACACTACGCGAACAGCTGAGGCTCTTAATTCCGCAAGGAACGCAAGTTGGCACTCGCACAAGCCCATGCCTCCTGCACTTACAGGGCTGTCACAAGGGTTAGGCACACAATCTATTTCTTAGAATGACTAGCTCGAGTGTATTTATTTAGCTTTTTTTCAAGTTGGGTTTAGCATGTCCTCATTTGCCATCGCATTCCATGCCACTTACTTAATCTCCGTTTTCCTAATGTTCCAGCGAGAGCTGGGCGTTACATCATGTCTCACAGTATCGTCCTTCAAGAAAAGTATCTACTCACGTAAAGTATGGCCATGTACGGTGCTAAAGAAGTGTAACATACATATGACGCTGTGGCATATAACAATTACATACAAGGGCTGTGCATTAAGATAAGTACAATACATACAAATGTAACTTTCTGTGGAATATACAGAAGCACAATTGAAAATTTAAGGATGTGCAATGGCCAATGCTTTCTCTCTCTCTTGTTTTCCGCTCCATTAATAGAATTAAGACATCCCGTTCTTTCATGATTTTCTTCGATTATTTGTTGATGATTTTGCTTCTTTTATTTAACCACTCGTTTGTGCGTGGATGTGTGTGTGTGATTACACGTAAAATACTTGTTTACTTATTTTATAATAATGATAAAGCAGCCCTCTGTCGCTCTACCGCTGGATTAAGGATCCTGCACGCCCCGTGCTTATCGATTTATCTATCTATGTATCCCAAATGAATATTTTGTCTGTTCTGGCAGATTATACAATCAGCATTACATTATTTAACTTGGGGAAATAGTTGCCAATACAATGTTTTCAATTTTAACAGTGAAATTATATAATTTATACATTTGTTAATCAATGCATCTATTCACCGCAAACTAACAACTCGCATTTATCCACTGAAATATATTTATTATTACAAATACATAATACATCAGAGTAGCTGCAATGAAATTATGAGTCAGTGTATTGCGTCGATGTAATCACTCAGCGCGATAACATTCCCCTCCTCTTCCAAGTAAAGACACGTGTTATATTTGTTCAACGATAAACGGCATTACTACCACATAGGTTCGTTTTAGTGTTCTAACCATGCGATGTTCGTGGGTTCGATCCCGATGCCTGCTGTATTTGGCCGCTATAAATTTGCACACGACGATAAGCCACTTTGTTGGGCCATCATTTGTGGCCAGGTCGCTTCTGAACAAGTACTATATAGCCCAGTGGGCCTTAGCTGGTAAAATAAAATGTTAATGATAAATAGGCAGTTTCACAACTAGTGTGCGATCCACCAAAAGCGTCCACCAAAAACGTCGCTGCCTCCCCCACGGTGCTGGATTAGAGGCCGCGTGCACAGCCCGGTCAAATGCTGCGTGAATGTTGATGCAGGTGCCGATGGCAGACAACGAATGGGCATCGTGGCCAACTATCGCGACACTCACCTGTGAGGTCTCTCTTGAGCTTTCTCCGAGAAGGATTTGTAGATCGCATTCTGCAAGGCAAAACAAGCGCAGAACGTTTACGCCCGGCATCACCTCCGCATCTGAATCAACATTCCACGTGCTCAGACGACCTTATGTGGCACGTGACTTCGATGCGACTCACAGAACTGCGGCGTCACAATCACGTGCTGCGTAGATGTCTCACGTCCACACATGGTCACACTCACAGCGGGGATCCGATACACGGACGTTGCGAATGAGACGGACTGTCATCGACGCGCGTTAGGAGGGGTGGTAGCTTGAGCACACGAGTGGCAATCAAGAGGTAGGTTACCGCATTCCCATCATCTCTCCGGCGGGTCAATAAAACGAGTACAACTTTGGAATTTCCACCACTGGCGGCTCAGGGTTGTAAACAGGAGATGAGCACCATCTGAACACTCACTTTGCGCAAGACGCATCGTTTTGGTACAATGCGAACAGTGGACGTCACTTCAATTGGCTCACCCCCTGCCATAGGAATTTGGAGTTTCCACCACTTGCTGAGGGCTGTAATCGGGAGATGGGCACCTCCCAAGCGCTTGCGTGAGCGGGATCACCTTCGCTGGCAAATACCCGCAGCACAGCAGCCCCGCTATGTAGGGCTACGTTGTGTGCAGCAGAGGGGGCGGTGCAGCCAAACCCATTGCTGTACGGTACTTCTATGCTCACTCGGCTATGCTCCCCGCTTTAACCAACCAGAAGCGACCAGCGGCGTTAAATATGGTCAATGACCCCCATGACATGTCGGGTTGTGGCGGAGAGCCGTCATCCTGTAGTGGACTGACGAAGAGCTGTATATGTACGTATATAAGGTACACGTGAACGTTAGCTCCCTGGTAGCCACAGGAGTTTGTGGACACGAGGCCGGTGGAGAGAATGCTTTCCCAGCAAAAAAAAAGCATTTTAATGAAGAATGCACGACAGGCACGCCGATGTTTCAAAGCGTTCCAAGCAACCCATGCTCTCATCAACCAACTCCCGACATCGCAGTGGCTCAAGACATGCTGTGGAGGGTTACGACAAACGTGACATTTGTTAGATGGCATGGAAATGAGGCGATGCAAACAAGGCAGACTCAGGGCCACCTGCTTTTGGAGCTTTCGCTTTTGAATTCCCACATGCTGTTGTGCTTACAAAATGGTCGAGGTTAGTTCAAGATAAGAGTAACAATGGACCGTTCTGTGCTTTGTCGTTGAGAGGAAATGTCAAGGTTTGGTCTAATTCAGGAAAGAAGGCTCCCTCGGATCAATCATCAAGATCTTCCTTCCTCTTGGTGGCAGTAAAGAAAAGTTTTATTATTATTTTTAACCTGTTATTTAATGTATAAATTCACTGCAGAAATGTTATACCACACACTATACTCTAATACTACATATACACTCTGAAGGAAGTATATTTACATTCCAAATATACAGATAGCATATGAATGTGAGTATACAGTTTATAGCATTGAGCTTGCAGTATAGTTTACACACATAATCGGAAAGTGTAGTGCAATGCGCACTTTGTAGAAATTAATTTTTATATTAAATAGATAACAAATCCAAGCAATGCTCCAAAAAACAGATATAGTTTACTTGCAAAGGCGACTCGCGCATAGTTCGTCGTTAAAAGTAAACATCGAATTATTGCAAAAAATCACTGCCATTTATAAAAACCCATGTTTACGGTAGAGTACACCTCCACGACAATAACACACGTAGCTCCATAAAGTGCACACAAACATTTTTTTGACGTTCCACAAGTAGTTGAATAACTTACGCGGAACTTAAAAAACAGCTGAAAATAAAAGGAACCCACCAGCCCAATTCTTGGCCCTCCGTACACTGCGAGACTATTCAGCGTAACTGCGTCGAGTTGCCTTGAGCTGTTGCTGTTACTGCCGTTGCAGGCAACGTTGTGTCGTTGGGTAAGAGCTGCGAGCCCCCCCGTCTCTCTCTCTCTTACTACGAGGTGGAGCCAAGGAAACGCAAGCGGAATGTACCACCGAGCCAAAGGCGGGGTGTGATTTTGTTTCTCTTTCCAAATGCCGAAGAACGGCCCCCTTATCTTAGCAATGACCCTTGGAAGGGGGGGAGGTGTACCCCTGCTATTTAATATGGTGCGCCGCAGTGAAAAATCGTGGCTCAGTTTGTCTGTATTGCCAGGGGCCGGATTAAGGTTCTTGTCGGCCCTAGGCACTTCTGTTTCGTAGGTCTTCAGTGATAACTTTCTACAGTTTTGTACTGCTGATGCACAATGTTACTACCGCCGCTGTTACTCGCTAAAACTGATTTTAAAAAATGTCTCCGATCAACCATAGGCCAACAACGCTTGTCTTTCCTTTGCACTACTCTCTATTGCGAATGAGATGGTGCGAAAAACACCATTTGAAGATGTTGTTGCTAATTTTTCAATGAAAAAAATATCGAAAAGTTGATCTCCGGTGTTAATTTCTCCCACATGAAAAAAACCGATTGGCATTGACATGACTCTGCCTCTTTGTATCTAAACTGTGCCTATCCTTGCTATACAAAAATATTTATTCAAGAAGATATCTTGGTTACATTTTAAAATCAGTTTTCACAGGCCCTGTGTACTGCAACACGCAGTGTATGAATTGTGTCTACTGCTGCTTATCCTTGTGGCTGTGTGTGATGTCATCTCATGAAGTCAAACCCTTAACACCGTGACCTCTGCCCCATGAACTTCTGACATTTCACGTGGCACTGAAGCGTGCACTTTGCCTGGCACAGGCGCTGTGGTGACGTCTCCGTCACTTAGTCGCGAATGATTGGCTGTCGTCGTTGTTTGTGTAATCGCAATAATCTACAAACTAAAAGTAGATTTATTTATAGCGCCATTCACACAAGGCCTCAACGCACTTGACATAAGATAACCCAACCCTTTACGAACCCTGAAAGAAAACAGATGAATACAACCCTGAACAAAAGAAATGTACGTGATAATATTAAACCCTTTAAACATAAATTCCTTAAACCAATGAAACCGAATAAAACTAAAAAGGATAACATCAATGTTAAAGGCGCATAGCCTACACAGACAGCTACGCGAGTGAAAATAAATGTTTTAAGACGGCTCCTAACAGACTCAAGTGACAAGAGTCCCTGATGCTTTGCGGAAAATCGCTGTTCCACAGACGAGGTGCCCGTCGATGATCGCACGTTGAACACGGACCGATATCTTCCGAGCAAGAGTTATAGAGGAGCAAGGTGGTGCAGACCTCACCGGACAGCTTGATCGTCGCTTCGCGCACAATGGCAACGGTGTGGCTATTAGCCCTGGGCTACAGAAGTTGACTCCTTCTGCATGAGACCTTAAAGCGGCATGCGCCTTCATTGCCTCTGGAAGCGTCTCTATTGTGCCGTGCTCATGACGGCCCCGGCTGCGTTTGTCATTAACCCCCCTGCGAGGTTCAAGCCTTTTATGGAAGCTGCCATCGTCGACTAAAGCTTCAGATAATTAAATTTGCTCCTTAACAGCTCCGCGAGACAGCGTGATGCATACTTTGAGAATATAATTTAAAAAACGACGACCAAAAAACTTTTAAACGTAAGGTTTAGGTTTCGCGACCAATATCATCCATAATTTAGTTTTTTTGGGTTAGAGCGCATAACCCAAAAAACCCCTACATTATCAAAAAAAGGTTTTCATTTTCAAACAAAAATGTGTATAATTTATGAATGTCATCTATGAATGTCATTAAAAGTTACACGTTATTTTAAACACGTGGGCAATTTATCCGTGGCTGAGACATTGTTAATTTAAGCAAATATTTCTCAACAGGATTTCATACGATGAAAAAAATTCAGACGGCTTACTAAAATAGGTAAAAAATTAAAATAGTCACATATATTGCTTCATTAACGTTGGTGCGATGCTTTTCTTTATGAATGCAGCAAACTCCCAAGGGAATTGGTAGGACTGATGACGAACACAAATTAACAAATTTACAATAAACACAACATTGTAGCTTCGTCATCTCTTGACCGGGTGTCCAACTCTTCATCAAGATGGCATCACGAATGAGCACCTCTGCACGTGGTGACACACACCCAAGCAAAAACACCCAGCGGCGTAGCTGCCCAAGTGTGCAGGCAGTGCAACTGCACCGGGCCTTGCGATGAGCCAGAAAGCGGGCCCATACATCCACCAGGTTACAAAGAGGGGTGAAATTATACAAGGTGTCTCCACCCCCCCCACCCCCCATGTCATTGTTTGCAGCGGGGCACATGCCAACCACACTATGGCACTGAAATCCAAACGGATCAGAGTCGTAACCAGCACTATCGCTGTCAACGCGGCCTGACTCCGCCGCAGGCTGTGAGCCCTGTTCACAGTCGACAACCGTGCCGACAGCGAAACGCCATACTCACATTGTAAATGTTGTGGGTTTACTCTCCAACACACTGGTGTGCTGAAGTAGTAACTAATTGGTACGTTTTGTTCACGTGACAAACCGTACTAATTGGCCGTGTCGGGTGGTGGTGGCTTAACGACACATTTATATTTATGTGATCTAACCCAAACACCTTTATCACGAATACAATGCAACATCCACAAAACCGAAATATTCCTTAAAATTAAGGTAAATTCCCAAGGTGGCATTCATTGCCCATATTTTGCAGTCATGTTAAAAGCCCTATTTTCATGCACATGAAATGACGTGGCTTAATAATGAGTGTTTATGGGTTCACGCTGGTGCAGCATTAGAATGAACACTGTGCTTTCTGAACATCCACAGGCCAGAAACACATCCATACAGCTGTGGAGTAGGAGTTGGCATTACTCTCTAACCTGTTTGGGTGGGATTCGAAGAGTGCCAACTGAAAACTGAAAAGTGGCACATTCGAACAAATAAATACGACTTTGGTAGAATACACACATGAATAGTTCAATTCAAAATCCAATGATGGAATAAACGAGTCTTGTATCACGTGCACTTTCCAAACAGTTAAAATTGGTCCAAGGATAAATGATGTAAAATGGGTAAGATTATTATTGCTGTTTCACAAAAATGGCCGATGATCAATCGCAGATACCTTGTACACTCTGCTATCCTGCTCTTTGTAAAACTCCTCGGCCTGTCGCAAAACTGACTCTAGCTCAGCCTGGTTTCTCAGAAGCTTGTTGTGCAGCTCCTTCTGCGACACACGGGGAGGACAACAAAGACGAGGCACCGTCCTCACACGCCACCTTCACGAACCACGGATGAGCCCCAGCAAGTCACCCTGAACGTGCCCTGGATGGGTTCACACCCGTCCCGCGATTCGCCCAGGTTTTGCCCTCATCTTCAGTTAGCCGCTGTCCATGGGAAATCTGGAAGTCTTCCCCCAGGATATTAGTAAAGGTTATTCAAGGACAGCGTGTGTTCAATGTGTAGTTCTCCCCCCTCGTATGGTACTGTGAGATGTTCGCGTTCTTCTCATAATTTCCCGTTATTTGCACTTTAAAAGTGGCAACTGAAGCACCAGGATCTCATCAGATGTCAGAATATAAGCGGGGGTTGCACTTTGTAGCATTGCATTCATCAAGTAATAAACAGCAAAACAAAGAAAACACACCCACACGTGAACACGATAAAGCAGGCAGGAAAAAAAACAGCAAATCGAGAAAAGCAGCAAACAAAGAAGGTGGACAGAAAATGTTTTACCTTTCTATCCTCCACAGAAAGGGTGACAGTGTCTCCCGATCCAAAGTCCCAAGTCTTTTTAGGAGGCTGATGGAAGATGTGCGCACACGTTGTTTTTTTTTTACAGAGACATGACGGGAGACAAGTCCAAGGATAAAAAGCACAGCGATGATGTGGAAGAGTGAAGCAAAGATACAGATATTTTAGCAGAAATTGAAAGCCAGCACACACGCACACACACTGCAACGGTGTTTAATTCAAACAATTGCCGATAAGCCATGAGGTATTTGATAAAGTAACTTTAAAAGGGAAAGGGAGGTTTAGGCCGCCCTACTCAACACACTGCCGCAACAACCCTCATCAGGACAAGCGGATTGAGAAACGAACGAACGAGAAACGAACTTTAAAAGAAGAATCGCTGAAGACATTGAGCCATGAGACTTGTGGAGAAAATTGGTGAACCGAAGCCTCTTTTGCCATTGTGTTTGACCGATTCGACTCGTTCATTTCAATGCAATTATCATGTTCGCCGCCCGCCATATTACGTCCAGCTGATAGCGAAACTTTAAATATTAATGATGGTATGAATATGAATGATTATACAATTAATATGTCTCTGTGATATCATAGGTATCACAACCCCATGACCTCAAGGCATTATCAATCCAGCAGCAGATTGACAAAGGGCTGTAAATGAATTATAAATATTATCATCTAAAACTCTAACAATCCTTTTAATTGGGAGTATTTATTGAATTATATTAAGCTCTTAATTTATAATGAAAGGTAATTCCAATTTAGTCAAAATATTTGAATGATATGTGGTAATGAGTAGACAAATAACACTTTATCTTGCCCAGTGATACAATAAGTCGTCATGATTACGAGTCGTGAATTTATTCACGAATTATAATTTTTGTCTTGTTTGCGCAGTTTATAAAGTGACTATTTGTTCCCTATTTTTCTGCCTCGTCCAGTCTCATCGTTTCCATTATCCCAAAGGTAACATTTACACGTGATTTACATTAATAAAAAAATCATGAATACTTATATATACATATGAATAAGTATCTTGAGAGTAGAAGAATACATTTTAATCTACGAATTACTAAATGCCTAGAAGTGCGAGCTGAGTAAAGCAGTTGCAAAAATAATCTATTTTCTTAACAGCACCAATCAACAACAAAAATGCATTCCAAACTAACTCATAAGTTGGGCTATAATGTAAGATGTCTCTGTAATATTTTGCAAATAGAGAATTTTCAGCAAATGTTCGTACAAATTTGCACCTCTTGTGAAAAATATCTTGGTGAATTGTGACGCACAAAGGGTTAACAGAAACGTATAAAACAAAATCAAAGCAAAGCAAACAAAAGTATAAAATAGCACAAAGTGGAACCCATTAAATATCATTTCAGTTTTCACTCAAATTTGTTCAGTTGCAGTTACTCACTCTGAAAAAAAATAAAGCTATGCATATGTTAACTCAAAATAATCGTGAGTGTAATTGTTGAGAATATAAATAACAATGAATAAGCAGACAATGTCTCCTACATATATCCATGTCCACATAGAAGTACTAATATTTTTGACACATCCCATCAGGCATAAGGACAGGGTCCTTGTCTGCTCAATCAGCAGTTCATCAGCATTGATTCAAGAAAGGCTGACTGCTGATGAGAAATCGTATCTCGAAACTGGTCCAGAGTTTCATCTTCTTGGTTCTTTTGGTAAAGTCACGTAGAAGGGAAATAAAAAAAAAAATAATAAATAAAAAATTCTCACGACGTTTCGGCCACAACACAAGCAGCCGTCCTCAGGTGAAGAAACAGAGCTGTCGGAAAGACAGCGTTCCAATGAGGACGCTGTCTCAATGAGGACGCTGTCTTTCCGACAGCTCTGTTTCTTCACCTGAGGACGGATGCTTGTGTTGTGGCTGAAACGTCGTGAGAATTTGTATTTTATTGTTGTATTTTTATTATTTTATTATTTCCTTTGTACGTGACTTTACCGAAAGAACCAAGAAGATGAATCCCTGCAGTCACGAAAGCTTTAAATCGAAATTTGGTCCAGAGTTTGCTTGTCTTGAAACAATGCTGCTGATATTAAGCACTCCCAGAAGGCTGTGTGGCTGATGGGTTGAGCAATAAATGTTTTTATTTTGTATCTGGAGATAGATCTATACGAAAGATACATATTGTCTACGAATGTTTGAAATGTTAGTGGAAGACATCTCCAGCTGGCTGAGTGTGTTTATACGATCCAACGTGGCCCTGAATTCCCATAAATGAATGTGCTGTTGTTTAACTCTCAGCGGAGGTAGTTTATAGCGACTGTGGGTTTACAGTCACTAGTACACCAGTATACCACAATAGGACATTTTAGATATCTATTAAATTACTACGACAACATATTGAAATCATTACGTGGCCAAACAAAAAAAAATCTGTTAACCATATTTTAAATACTTGTTGTATAACCTTGCTAAATGTGACATGTGCATGTGAAATAAACATTTTATTTAATAATGAATGTAAACGGCTTATGTGCTTCATTAAAGACATATGTATGTCTGCTTTAAATGTGTAATGTCTTAGGCCACCTTCCTAATAATATGCATTGTTATTGAAATTTTATTTTATAGTTTGTTTATAGACATGATATTTCAGGGTTCCGTATATATCAAACAAAACAAAGCACAATGGTTCTCAGTACATAACGACCCCCTTTAAAATGAACACAAGGGCTTGAAACCACTTTCCCTTTGTAATGGAGAGAGGCAGAGGTAAAAGGGCTCTCAAATGTTGCTCAAGAGCAAGCAGTTGGCACAATGAGAGGGACAGATCCGAATTGGCTCCCATTGCATCCGGAACTCAAATCTGACCAACTCACGCACACACACACGTGTGTGTGTGCGACACACAGCTTGCACACTTGCCTTGGCACTGTCAATTCAACATTAGTTCAGAATAATATTAATATATTCACAAACAACCCAATCTCTGACTTTGTCTCGAAAGCCCCAATGTACTGAGAGCCGGGGTGAGTGGGCATGCGTGTCACCGTAAGCGACTTACCGGACGACCAAACTCCAGTTCGGAGAAGAACTTATACCACGGTTCATTCTCTAGGTCTATCTCTTCGGGACTAATTCGCCTTATCTGAGGTGGACAGGGAGGAGAGAGTGATTGGCGAAGGAGAAGCCAGGGAAAGAGGGGAGCCTTGCTGCTGTGGTGACGTGCATTGAACGGTTCACGTTTCTCAGTTTATTGCGTCGTGAATATTCTAATATCCGCACGAGAATTTGAAACAACGCATTATCCACCGGATTTGGGGTTTTTACCGCCCTCCCCAAGTATTGCTAACAGCGATTATGTTATGAACACGTCCTCTGAGCGAGTCAAATGTCACCGCCAAAGTTTGCCGCACCTACAACTGGCGTCACGTTCGAACGGCCCGTCCTGACCGTGTGACCCGAGTTGACCATGTGACCATAAAACTAGGCCGAGGCACGGTCGTGGCACGGTTGGGAGTGGTGTATTGCCGTTATCACAGCAGTGAGTTGTAACAAAAAAAAAACCCACAATTGTTTACCTGCTGAACAACTACTGATTGCTGTAAAGACAAGACTACATTGATGGGTTATTAGGTCATTGTCCGAATTTAAGAGAGAACATAAAAACATAAACTTGCCAACGGCGCTGCAGCAGATCAAAGGGTAATTTGGCAGTGACGTACACGTTAACAAAACACTAAGCGGCTCTGGCTGCCTAGCAAATGAATCGGGCGTGAAAAAATGCGATGCTCAGTGTCACAGCAGCGCGGCGGATATAGGAATGGGAGCATTTCAAGAAGCAAAACATAAGCGACACAACAACAATAGAGACACGTGTAATGATAAGAGAAGCAGAGATGAAGAGAGTGACGTGAGCGGGAAACTCAAGGATGCGCGAATCAAATTAATATTTGTCCTTTTGTACGATAGCACGGCGAGGATCTGCGGTGTGAACGCGGTGACCTCAGTGACCTCAGTTCGATTCCCCATCGTGGCGAACATCAGTTTGGCGAGTGATCTGTGAACCAGTGCTCGACCCTTGCTTCATCGACACACACAGACCAGGCGAGGTGAAGTAGGAATCAAACAACTCCCCAGTGAGAGGCCACCATTCCAACAGAGGCTCGACAAAGGGCTGTAAGTGACTATGTTGATTAAAATAGTAGTATGTTCTTCTTGGCTCTTTCGTAAAAGCCACGTAGAAGGGAAATAATAAAATAATAAAAATAAAACATAATAAAATAATTCTCACGACGTTTCGACGCTGTCTATCCGACAGACCTGTTCTTCACCTGAGGACGGCTGCTTGCGTTGTGGCCGAAACGTCGTGAGAATTATTTTATTATGTTTTATTTTTATTATTTTATTATTTCCCTTCTACGTGATTTTACCGAAAGAACCAAGAAGATGAATCCCTGCAGTCACGAAAGCTTTAAATCGAAATTTAGTAGTATGTTAACATGATGTGAATGTTGCGAACAGTCTTAGCTGCTTGTACAGCGTCTAAGGAGTAAACGTGCTCAAACGTCATGATGTACACTGCCTCGAACTTGCTGTGATCAACCATCCAATGCCCGATTCTTTAAGTTGTGTTTCTTGGGCTACATTTCACTGCGTCATGCTTAAGTCTCACAGAACAGTTAAAAAAGCAACAGAGGCAAGTACAACTGCAACAAGTACATCAACTAAATATACAACTGATATTAAGCGATCACTACGGAGGAATTATACAAACATCCAAATGCACGAACCTCCCGTATTTGTCTTGGGGCTCATGGTGGGCATGAATGGCAGTATTATAATACTATTAAAAATAATCTATGTCTTGAATATCCTGACTGGCTGCTGGCTGAGCTCTGTGTTTCCCTCAATCTACATCCTGTACAGGTGAGAGTCTGAACAGGTGAGAGTCTGAACGCGTGATAGACTGAACGGGTGACAGCATGAACAGTGAAAGTCTGAACCGGTGAGTACCTGAAACAGGTGAGCCTTGAGCTGCTGCCTTACCTAAACAGGGCCCAATTTAACACACATTTCCGGGCGCGCGTTCGGTAAACCTTTTATGAAGCTGTTTCGCTTTAACGGCAGCTTTTCTTCAGGGTACATTGCAAGTGACGTTTACAGGCAACGGCTGTCCCCGCAGTCACTGTGACTAGTTCACGTGAGTGGCAGGTTCACCTGTCGACCATGGAAGCAGTTGCTTCGTTGCAAAGTAGGCAAATTACACACACTCTAAAAACATTACACACTATATTGCTGTCATATTTGGGATACTGTAGTGGTGTGATGGTCAGCACAATGCACTTGCAATCCAGAGGAGGGTGTATCGATTAATACAGTGGTGCAAGTTTCTTAGATACTCACGGACACACCACAGTCAGTCGCGTCACGCGTGGTGGGGTAAAGTGTGGGTGCTCCCACCCCAGCCAAAGTGGTCTGGTCAGCATGGCAGAGTAGCTCAACAATACCCACTCAAGAGGGGCTCTCTAGGGCTCAGTCTACTGGAGGCTCTTCTGTCAACAGTGGTGTGAGCAAGCAGTCGCAGGGCTGCACCTTTGCCTTTTAAAATGTGTACGTCTGTCGTGCAGCGCGCAAAACTCCACTGCAATCGAAGAGGATGATTTCCAATCGAATACGATTTTAACTTTAAAATCAGTATTCGAACTTGTCACTCGAGGCATATATGACTTGTAGATTTATGAACGAAAATACATGGGACAACGCCTTTATTTTTAACAGATAATACAATTGACCTGTCCAGAGCGTTGCGTGCAGTAAAACGTGAATGTTTGACGACGTCGCTCAATCATCTCCCTGAACGGACGGTGAGATACAGCCAACGGCAACAAGGATGATGATGCATTGAACACACCAGCAATTACTCAGGGCTTTTTTACTCGGTTCAATGGGACCACTCCAGCAGCTGTTGACCGCCAAGCTTAAGCCTTTGAGGTCTGGGTGTGGATAACATCTTACAGCGAGGGTGGGGAATAATAACAATAATAAAAAAGAATAATTTCAATAACAGGCTGCACGATATTGACTCGCTCTCGGAGAGGTAGAAGAACTCAGAGGCGCGGGTAGGAACGGCGCTACCAACAATTGCCCCGAGCTCTGCATTCCTCTATATATTCGGGTGTTGTCGGCCAATTAATAGAGTGTTTACACACGCGGGAGGAAACCGGAGCACCCTGAGAAAACCCACCCACGAACCTACGGCCTGTGACTTCATTTCACACGCTGCGTTAGGTTTTTACGGTTGCGATGTATAGAAACTTAACTATTTTTATTTTACCAGGTGTAAGGCTCAACTGCGCTACATAGATCTTTTTTCAGAAGCGACCTGGCCACAAACAATAGTTCAACAAAGTGGCTTATCGCGTGGAAATGTATCGCAGCCAAACACTCTAAATGGCATTGTATAGCTCGACAGTGCTGTTCTGGTATTTTCGGCTTGCGCCCGTGTTTCGTTTGGTATGATGTGCAAACACTTCGCTCCACATTCTGGGAGTCTCATCAGCAACTGAATTCCGTTTCATCAAGAAGAAGGAGAAGCTCCCAGCACATGGGAGTGAAATGGTAAAACCCGAAAACATGATTTGTGAGCTACACATCTCATGCGGCCTGCAGCCACGTGGAGACCTGCCACTTCGAAACGGCCCACACATTATTCTTATCTATCTCTGCGAGTATCTTCGCTGCACTTATCAGAGAGAGGGAACTCTTTCGACCTGCCATGTTTCTAATTTCCGGTGCGTTCGGTCACACCTTGTCTTACAAGCGCCGCATTCTCCAGATCATGAGACTCACTCCCCCCACCCCTCCGTATTCTTAAGCAAGAGTTGGGATGCGACATTATCCGGTAAGGTTTGTGTGTATTTTGCAGCACTATATTGGCACTGGGGGCACGATTTCGGTGTGCACGCTAACTCTTCAGAGCGTCTCACTTTTCAGGTTGTCTTGTAATCCAGAGATTACGGTGGTTTCTCAGCAGAGAGCTAACAACGGGTATCGTCCTAGGACGGTCACAATGGGGCGTACTACCACTGCGTGACAGCCCGCTGTGTGACTGCGGGGAGCAGGAGACCGTGGCGCCATATCGTCTCCGGCTGTGAAGTCCGTGAGGGCGTGCCAGGCGGACTGGTTGTTGCCCTGCGCGTGCTGGAGGAGGAGGCTGTCAAATATCTCTGTGGCTACGTGATGTCCACTGACAATAACGTTGACAAACACATGTATCTATTTTTTTGCATATCTGGCGCTCTAACTGTATGACGGTCACGTGTGAAAGCGTCCGCTAAAAATATAAACGATCACGATTTACAGCGTCGCCCACCGTGTGGGCCCGCCACAGGCATCTCACGACTGATCTGCGCCCTCCGAGCTGGGGGAACGACGCGCCGCAACTCCCGCCGTGTCCGGGAGAAAAACTCCGCAAAAACTCCCAACCCAGCCCGGCGTCGTCGTCGTTGGGACCCACCTCTCCGGTGTCGTCGGCGCCGTGAGGCTCCCGCCCTCGGTCGCGCACGGACGAGACGCGCTCCCTCGGCTCGGGTGGCACGGGGTACGGCATCGGATCGAACGCCTTCAGCAGAGTCTGTGGTGGTGGTGGAGCGCACGGGGAGAGGCGGGGAGGGGGGGTGTGAAAGTCCACCTTTGTTTGCTCGTTTCAACGCGGCACGTGGACAAAGTCACCCTAGAAAGTTGCCCAACATTGTCGGGTCTCAGAGGCTGCGCACGGCGGTCGAGCCTGGTTTTACTTGGGTGGAAGGTTTGTTCGAGGATAGCAGATTTTTGATACGAACGTGGTGAAGTATGGTCAAATAACCGGAGCGGTGAGGCCATCGTGCGGTGGATTGGCTAAATGAGCTGCGGATGTACCGGGTATTGTAGGCTTGGGTTGTGAAGTGGCCGGATGATGGCAGTAAAGAAAATTATTCTTCAGACTATGAGTGTTATCGTTTCATATGAGTGGGTTTTCTCCAAGTACTCACTTAAGCACCTCTAAGGATTTGAAATCGCATACTTCCAATTGCGCGCCACGTGATATAAATAGAGAATCACCAGGCTGTGATACAATGATGGAATTCGTTTCTTATGCTGCTGATACCTTCATCAAACACGAAAAATGTAAATTGCAGACTAATGCTGCATTCAGGCTCATGCAGCAAACAAAACTACAAACAAAAAAAAACTATTCAGAATAAAGTTTTTGGGTTAGATCGCGTTATTTATAAATGTGTCGTAAACCTTCACCACCCGACACTCAGTAAAAAAGTGTCGCGTTGTACTAAAAAACGGTAAATGTTGTGAATTCACTCTTCAACACACCGGTGGGCTAAAGTAGTGAACTATTTGTCTTTTGTCAACGTGACACTTTTTTACTGATTGGCCGTGTCGGGTGGTGGAGGGTTACGACACATTCATAAATAACGCGATCCAACCCAAAAACGTTTATTATGAATAATATTGGTCGCGAAAGCCTTACGTTTTAAACTAAAAAAAAAACTACTAAACTATTTTTGTTTTACCACTTCAGGTCCACTGAGCTATGTAGCTCTTCTTCAGAAGTGACCCGACTACAAATAACAGCTCAACGAAGTGGCCTCGCACGTGGAAATGTATAGCAGACAAATACTCAAATTAATGTTTTCTAAATGTGGAGGCAAAAACCGAAGGGCCCGGAAAAGAATCCACGCAACCACGGGGAGAACATGCCAACTCCAAATGTATAGGCGTCAAGGTTAGGATCAAACTCATGACCTCTTGCATAGTTAACATCATATGATTATCGTATACAGAACGTATGTTGAACTTCTATTGTACCTCATCGGAGATGTGGACTAATCGGGGGTATACCTGGTATACCTCCAGGTAAACCAGGCGAGGCAGTTAAAATCACGCGATTGTTGGTGCCCGTCAATCGAGCGAAGCAATCGAGCGAAGCAACGCGGTTACCTGTTTCTGCTGCTGCAGGACGGAGGACTTCCCCGGTTCGTACTCGAAGATGCTGCGCGGCTCGGCGCGGTATCGCCGCGTGTCCACCTTGGTGTCGGGCGGTGCCCACGCGTTCTTGGTGGGCGAGGGCAGCGTGCGTCCGAACCGCGCCTCGTCAGCCGCCGCCGCCTCCCTGCCCGCGTCTTTGTTCGCGTCGCCGCTGCGCCAGCTGCCGGGTGGAGGGAAATCGCAAGGTGACATCGCGCAAAAAAAAAGGTGAATTTTTTTGTAATAAACGGCACGCGCCATTCGCAGCCACAGGAGGGGGGTACGCGGGGGTGCGTGCCCGACGCGCTTTGTGCCCTGACCGATACATCGTTCCCCTAGCTGTAGCCCTTTTTGAAAATGGTAGAGTCCAATTGGTTCGTGTTAACTGAGTCCGCTTATGAGTGTAAAGTCAGCAATTCTTCAAGTGTCGTGCTTGGCTTCCCTAAGGGTTGTTGCAGGGTTTGGAGAGAAAAACAATCGACGTGCACACGCGTGCCAAACACAAAGATGATGATCCACCGTGTAGCCTTAACAGACGGTTGGGTCAAGTGCTGTTAGCGAGCACCTATTAAGGACGCTGCCTTTGTCTCTGTATTTACACATTTCACCAGGTACTCATTTGAGCTTGAGAAATGTGAACACATTATTTGTCTCTAAATTACTGCCCTAAATTGTTCACATGCTCTGTCCATTTGAAAAGCCACTTGTACATCTTATTGCAAGGCAAAACTCCACTGTTATAGTAATTTTTTTTAATTTCTGTTTCCTTTGGCGCCTAAGCCACTGGGGCCTCTTTAATAAATACAGTAGAACCCCTCTAAACGGTGGTAATTGGTTCCACGAAACCGGTCGTAAAGAGTTTTTAGGAAATACACGTTAGAGGCTTAATTCGTTCCGATATCAAAAAACGTACTTTATAATATTTAAACAATGGATATGAATGCATAAAGATACTAACATCATTATAAAAACGTGATATGAAAAGAAACACGGCTAATCAATGCACTAATTAATATTTACTCTACCTACAAAAGCCCGTCGTCAACAAGGGAATGGTCGGTAAGCGAACACATTGGGCTCTATGGAGGCCGTCATTAAGCGATTAGTCATTAACAGGGGTGGTCGTTAAGAGGGATTCTACTGCAATGCAGTCAGCGCAGTAAATTACATAATTGTAGCACCGCATCAATAACGCTGCCACAATATGAATATACACTCATTTACTTGATACAGCAAGCGTGCTGTGACGGTTCCACCTGAAGACGGAAGCTTGTGTTGCCTCCGAAACGTCGTGATTTTTATTTTATTTTACTTTTATTAATTTTAATTTTCATTTTTTACCTACGTGACTTTACCGAAAAAACCTAAGAATATGAATCCTTGAAGTCACGAAAGCTTCAAATCTAGAATGAATATATACATCACAAGAAACACTTTGGGACAATGCCCCCTTCTTCATAGCAGAGAGGGGCCATTACCTGAAACGTCGACTACTACAATGTTTTAATCCTGTTAGAGCAGGATTACTTGTGTTTGTGCACCTCTGCCAATGCCGTATAAGATTGTTGTTGTTTTTGTTGATCTTATGGTATGGTAGCGCCAATGGCAGCTTACCTGGGGTTCACATTTAATGGCCTCCAGGTGAAGCTCTCAAAGTAAATAAAAATCTGGCACAAATCGACAAAGGGCAAGTTGCCCTTACAGCTCTGACCGTTGCGTTTATGACATTCCACCTGTCTGATAAACGTATCTGGCACACCGCACCACACGCCCTTCTTGTTGTTGAAAACTCCCAAGCGTGGCGATGTCGTAAAAAAAGTTGAGATTTACGGTCTGAGACAAGGCTCTCCTAGCCATGCGGGGGGGGGGGGGGGGTACATCGTAAATCCGGCTCTGTTTAAGAGACTCCTCTCAAAGCTTTGGTCGCATTACGAAGCTCGTGAGCGAATGAGAGAAAATGCCGTGGTCTTATTTTTGTCTTTTTTTTTTCGAGACAGCGAAAGCATGGAAGTCAACAGCCCTGTGCGAATGTTCCTCAGCGATGAGTGACATTCGCAAATTGAAAATAATCGCCCGGGGGGGTTCAGAGTTCATAACCACTCAGAGGATGCTGGATATGCGTGGAATGAAGTGGGAGGTCACTGAGGGTCGGCGAAACTATTTAATAAAAACGGCATCTCAGTAAAAAAAAAATGTTCACGTGACAGCGACATTGCTGAATCTGCACGAGGTGCTCGTGGTTACGACGTAATCGTCATCATGATTATTATTATCAAGTTGTGTTTACAAATGAGCATAAGGTCTGGAGGTGAACGCATAATCATCTTCATCATCACCATTATCACAAAGTCTGTGTTGGCAAATCTGCATTGGATGTTGAGGTCGCCACATCATCAACATGATCATTGTCATCGTGATCATGACGATCATTATCATCATCATTATCATCATCAGTCTTCATGTTCAGGCTCCACGTGGGTTGGTTGAGAGAAAGCATTCCCCCCCATGCTGTCCTATCTTCCTTTTTATCCCCGTCTTTTTACTGTAGTTGTAAAATATGATGTTTTCAATCGGTGCACATTGCCCGCTGTGACATGGGGATTGGTATCATGGACGTTTGTAAACAACAACGAAAATTTTACAGAAGCTGGAAAGTGTGTGAAGAAACATGAGGTGGTGCTTGCTAGGAATTGTTAAGACAGACAGAGAAACATTTGGATGAGGGAACAAACACCGGTTAGGGAGATCGTATCGACTGTCAAGAGAAGGCCCCCACCCTGAGATCAGCTCATGTGAAGGATCTAGATGAGATAATTGCATTATGAGACCACCAGAAACGGTGATGGCATGTGGAGGGCTTCATCCAGCAGTGAATAGAGCATGGCAGTTGCGTGGAGATAAAAGATGTGGTCGAGCATCGTGCTGTCACGATCTTTGCTTGAACGTTGCAGAACGAGACTTCCTCAGCACTCTGAAATAAAACCACGCTTAGGCACGGTGGTTATTAGAGAGGGATGATATCGCATTACTTTTGAGGCACATTAATAAGTGTTGAGCGGCACTTTAAGTGCTCTGGACATGCTGACATGATGTTTACCGAATTAGGGAGTAGTAACAGCCAGCTTATGACTCTTAAGTCTCTCCGTATTGGTATGATCGCAGCCCTAGCCCTAGGTCATTCCATTGTGAAGGCTTGACGGCACAAAGAGAGGTCTTCATTTTGTAGGAGGCTGACCCAACACCTGGGGGCTTCAGGCAGTGTTCCAGTACTCACTTAGCAGGGCACTTAAATTGTTCTCTCCACTAATCCCCGCATGTTTAGTTGGCTTTGAGCTTCAAAACACGGCGATACCATTGTCCTCTCCGCAGCTGAGCCGCCCCGATCAACTCCGTCGAGCGCATTAAGAATTCACGAGCAATTTCCAAGATTCACCTTTCCCGGCTCTTTCCAGCTGCCGACACGGTTGACACTCTTCGGCACAGGTAATGGGCTCAATGTGAGCACCTTCCATTCGTTCACGAGCCACACAGATTAGCCGCATTAGCAAACTGTTACAACGTGCCCTCATATCACTGTGCAGAAAAATGCTGGTAAAACTGTATGAGCTTAGAAGGTGAAGCTTATTTATGTCCATATAAATATCTCTCTTTAATAATAATTATAATTTGCAATACTTTGTCAATTCACTGCTAGATGAAGACTGCATCAGGCTACTCAGCCATGGGGGGTGTTTGACCGGGCGCCCTTTTTGCGAGATGTTAACTACCTCGCCTGGTATATATGAGGCCTGTATATTTGGAGTTTGCATGTTCTCCCCATGGTTGCGTGGATTTTTCTCCTCGTGTCCTCCGATTTTTCCCTCCACATTTAGAAACTGTTCAAAATTTACACACAATCTGCCACTTCATTTGTGGCCAGGTTCGTTGAGCTGTTATTTCTTCTGAAAAAGAGCCATATAGCAGCTCAGTGGGCCTTACCTGGTAAAATAAAAATTATTTGGTTTTAGCTTATTGATGAAGGTTTCTGTTATTTGTGCCACGCTGCCAACGCGGCAGTACAAATGCTCATTTGACTTGCAGTTGCGTTCGCGACGCCGCCGCGCCGTTTCACATCAGTTCATAAAACCGGCCGCACGACGCGCATTGCGAGCAGGGCCACAGCGTAAACAGCTTCCCTCTGCTGGCCCTCTTTGGTCACCCGTGAGCGTGAAGCAAAAAGGTCCCCGGCGTGTTTTCGGGTTGTATCCGCGCGTGGGGCGTGTTGTTTGAAAACCCCTAAGCAGCCGAGCTAACAACCAGATTGTCCCTCAGGAGACCCAAGTCGCCCATGGACCCGACCCGAAAATTGCCCGGTGGTCCGTTACATCGACAATTTAAACGCGTGGGGAGGGGATGCTCAGGAGGTGCTTGTGTGGTCACTTTATCAAAGTGATCCTTCGCGCGCAAGAGCGTTCATCATCGATAGGATGTGTGAGCTCCACAGCACTGAGACCACCCAGGAAAACTGGGTAAACCACAGTGACGGGGTGCCACGATTGCGAAAATGATTTCGTCAAAAACTAATAGTCAGAGAACTATAAGCCCTCAGCTGTAAATAAACAATGAATCACACGGTGGGGTTTTGCATCGTGGGTGTTTGGATAAGGCCGACACTTTCAGCTCCTCCTCCATTGCCCTTCAACATAAAACTGAGCGAGGATTGGGTGGCAGAGTCTGGCAGAACATGGAAACTATGCGCAGGCCTCCCACTGATACGGTAAATAATTACGTACTTTCTATGTTAGACACATTCCTCTGAGCACGATTGGCTACGTACGGTGCGAAAGAAGCTCAACATGCATACATACACTCAATGAAGCAAAAGTTCCAACTCAGCTAGCTGGCTGCAAGGCTAAGAATAATATTTGTTTCATTGCGGGACAATTCTGAAAAAAGAGTCTAATACATCTGTGAGACTTTTCTGGGAAATTATTGGCATTATTATTATTTGATTTCCTCCATTCCTCTGACTTCTTATGCCTGCAATTGTTGTTATTGTTGATTGAATATGGCACCAAGAGCCATACATTACACAGCCCTTTCTCAATCCACTGCTGGATGAAGGCCCCCCCCCCCCGTGCTGTGGCAGGTAAGGGGGCCATTTGCCCACTCCAATGGCCAGTGCAGGTTTGGTGTTGAGAGGGGCACCCATCGTCGCCAGTTCAGATGTCACACGACACTAAAATTATCCGTGGCTGCTAGGTAGCACACGGTTGGCTACGTACGGTGCGAAATAAGTTCGGCATGCGTACATTCGCAGCAAACTTAAAAAAACTGAGCACGAACAAATTGCGCAGCGTGTAAAAAACACAACGGGACGCCCATTGTTTCTGCCATCGTGACCATTAGAAGAAACTCACTTGACGTTTTTAGACGAGAGCTCAAAAGAGTAAACTCTGAGCAGCTGGAGACACAAAGGCCAGGCTTAACATAAGAGCACGGGAGAGGACCTGGAGCCAACAAACGTTTACGTTTGTTGTTGTTGTTGTGAAAGTAAAATAATTATTTATAATGCTTGTTGCAATTGCCTAGCAATATGTAAAAATGTATTCAAATTGAAATGTGTATTCACGCTAAGATCGTTTACGTGGTGCTCATAAGCGATGTGATGTGCCTGGAGATTTATTGAAATGTCACTTGCATCCCTACCCTACTGAAGGCTGTTTGGGATGTTCTCCTGAGATTACAACAACTAAACATTGCTCTCAGTATACCTCGGTCTTGCTTGAATTCGAAACTCCTGGCTCTTACCTGGTCATGAATCAGAATTCACTGCTTTATTACTAAATACACTGTTTTATTTCCAGATATGTGCTATGATGAAGGGACATTGCTCTAAATCTCGACGATTATGTACTCTTTCTTTTAAGGCCACGGTGTTATTGGGGAATGTGTTGAGTTTAGTTTCTGTTTTTTTATTAATATAGAGCAGTAGATATCCCTGTTCAATCCCCCCAAACTCCACTTCACTTTATTACACTATAAAAAGAAGACCCAGTACTCTGGGTTATAAGACGCTCTCGAAAGTAAGACGCACCCAAAGCTTGTAGCCGGTGTCAATAAAGCTAAACAAATTGGGCCTCATACACACACACAGCTCTACCGGATTATAAGACATACCCGCAACCTTTGCTTTAAAATCCAGGGAAAACACAATCCGGAGAATACGGCAACACTGAATTAAGTTATGCTAAATGTTAACACGTAATGACGTTACACCAAACATTAACACATAAACTTTCCTGGTTGGACCGCATGTTGAGAATTCTTTCCTCCATTAAGCTTTCGCAACGAACACTACTGCTACGACGGGCATCCTCAGGAGCCGAATAACAACAACAATAACAATGATTCAATTTCGATTTAAAGCTTTCGTGACTGCAGGGATTCATCTTCTTGGTTCTTTCGGTAAAGTCACGTAGAAGGTAAGTAATAAAATAATAAAAATAAAACATAATAAAATAAAATAAAAATGTAATATAATAATATAATATAATAATATAATTATTTTGTTATGTTTTATTTTTATTATTTTATTACTTCCCTTCTACGTGACTTTACCGAAAGAACCAAGAAGAAGAACAATGATTCAGTGCATGCCGAAAGCTCGAGAGAAGAAATGCTCGCCATGCAACCAGGCCCGGGGAAAAAAAAAACAGATCCGCTCATGGATCACGGCCAAACTAATTTCGCGAGGGGCGGTCCGTAATCGGCAGATGATGTCCCGCTGTGAGCGTGGCGCTGCCGGAACGCCGTAGAACGCCGCGGAACGCACCTCTCCGAGTCGGAGTACGAGCGCGACGTGGGAGGCGCGGGGCGCGCGGGCGGCGTTCCGCCGCTCTGCTGGGGCCGCGGGTCCGCGTCGAGGCCGTCGGCCAAGCTGCGCGACCGTGGCATGTACATCTGCGCCGGCGCCGCCGTGTGCTTCTGAATGGGGCTGCTCGGGCCCCCGTAGGCTATTGGGAGGGAACGGGAGCGAGAGTCGGTGGGGATGGAGGTTTGAGGTTTGAGAGCAAATGCAGTTTGGGTGAGAGCTTCCGCGAGGGAATGTGTCTCCACGAACGCAAAAATGAGCATTGCGAAGAGATAACATGTGATGGTGGTTGTGAGCCAGTGGTGGTGATTGCGAATTGCCACGGTAGTGATCAGTCTCCCTATAGTACCGCAATCTCCGGTCATGCTCGCAGTAGCGGCTTTGGGATAAACATCGAAGAAAGGTGGTCACCGCATCGTGCGTGCGCTTTCCGATGGGCTTCTGTGGCAGTCTGGAACACTCCTCCTTCTGATATTATGAAGTCAGTGGAGCTATGCACTTTTAAATGTAGATTAAAAAGGAATGTCTTTAGAACTGCTTTTTGTATTTAGTTTGTTGTCTTTCCCCCACACCTCCGATTAGCACGGTTGACTATGTACGGTGCAAAAGAAGTTCAACATACGTACAACTGTTTCTCTGCTGTGTCAATTCGTATTTTATTGCTTGTTGCCTATCTTCACAAATTTTACTGCAATTGTGTTATCTTTCAGTCTCATGTCATGAAATAAAAAACACATTAGAAATTCTCACAAGAGCAGTGCAATAGCCTCGTGTTAGACAATGATCCGCGAGAAGTGGATATCACATAACTACTTCAGAGATCCACCCAAGTGACCTCTATTATCTACACTAGGAGGCACCACTTTCTCACTCATGCTGCTACAGAGTTCTGATCATCACACGACACCCACTTGTGATGTTTTTTTTTAATTCACAAGAGCCGATACAGTCATCAGTGATCGGATTGAGACCATCAAACCCACTGCATTTAAAAACCCCGGTTTATTCGCAGGTGTCTGCCTGGATTACAATGCAGGATGTCGGTGATGCAAGCTCAGCGCTCTGACCTCTGACCTCTGAGCCACGTGGCCATCTCCAGATTTCCACAATTTTTCTTCATATTATTTAAAAATAAACAACTACACCTTTCTGTGTGATCCCAGTAGCCTTGATAACTCTGTGTGATGTGTTCCACGGGCCCTTTGTAGATCGACCGCTTAATACTCACAGGTGCTTTCCCAGTCTGCAGAAGTGGGCGTGTAGTGTTCAAAGTCATCATCTGCAATGTAACATAAATGCAAAGTCTCCTGTGACGAATAATATTGACAGGGGTAAATAAATACTGTTACTAAACAGTATTAATTAAGCAGCCCTTGTTACACCGTCGAAAAATTCGCGAGCACATGAAATGTGCCAGATTTGGTTGGATCTCTGAAACTAAGCAGAGTTGAGCCTGGATAGTTGTTGGATGTGTTGTGACCACCATGTACAGCCGCTTGTTATCGGCTGCACGGCTATGTGGTGGCCACAAGAGAGCAGTGTGGCAAAATAATTCGTTGGACACATCGCGTTGGGTTTCCTTCTTGAAAATAGCCACTAGGGTTTGGTTCATGGTTCGTGAACCAAACCCTCATGGTTTGGTTCGCATCACGTTTCGTGAACCAACCCCTAGTGGTGTGGTTAGCATCGCTCCAGGCCACTTCTACTGTATCTCCTCCAATGCTGAAGAGAAAATACATCTGCTGTGCTGCTTTGAGGTTTACGCTTTTAGGAGACGCTGTCACGGACGGATGCTCTTTCTATACCACGACCCATATCGTAGCATCGGCCGGTGAATTCCTTTGAAGGAATCGCCGAACAACATCCCACTTAATCGTCTGTCACCGTGACTCAAATTCACGTTTGATCAGCACGAAGGGCACCTTTTGTTTATGCATTAGACGGCATAAAAAAAAAAACTTTTAATAAATGCCGTCTTTTGTTTTGCAGAATGGTTTGCGTGACAGGCGAAGCAATTGTGTAATCAGTAGCTCTACAGAGCTGCCAGTGTCTCATCGGGTTTCTCCAAGATAAATGAATATTCTGATCCTCTCCTGGTTAATATTTACCGAGCGACCTCCCTCCCCACAAATGAGACCTCGCGGGTGACTCTGTGCCTCGCTAATTGACAAGGCAAAGGGATAAGGGGCAGCAGCTTCACGTTTGAATCGGCCCGAGATAAATGAACCCCCAAATGTCGACAGACATGACTGCACGTAAAGAGTGTTCGCGCACGGGCTGAGCAGACCTATACAAATAAATAAATAACTACGACACCGAGCGGATCAAACAACAAATGGATACGATGCTGCAGAGTTGGCGGAAATTAATCTATGTGGTTGCAAACCTGTCCTGGTTTTAGCCATATTTTTTTTATATAAACTATCCTGGGAAATCCGCAGCTCCCTTCTCAGAAACAATTAAAAGTTACACATTTTTGTGAGTTGCATAATAATATTAAAAAACGGCACTCGCGTCAACGCATTTACATTTAGTTTTCCCCTTTGCTGGTATTTTGAGATCTTCTTCTTCTTCCCACATATCCTAATTCTTTGTACATCAGAGGTGGCCACCCTAGAGTGCCCTGGGACCTCACCTCCAGCTTTGTGCACCGTATGAATCTGCTTGAACATGGTCTTGTACCAGTCCTTGGGCTTGTCCACCGTCTGCCACAAACCCGTGGAAAGAAGGGAGGGATATACAGACAGGCACATATATTATCATCGTTCAGTGCTGCTATCCACACTCACATGGGTATATTGTCCATGAACAGCGCTTTTTAACACGTAGGCTTTCGCGACCAGTATTATTCATAATCAACGTTTTTGGGTTTAGATCGCGTTATTTATAAATGTGTCGTATCCCTCCACCACCCGACACGGCCAATCAGTAAAAAAGTGTCACGTTGACAAAGGACAATTAGTTCACTGCTTTAGCCCACCGGTATGTTGAAGCGTGAAACCACAACATTTACTGATTGGCCGTGTCGGGTGGTGGAGGGTTACGACACATTTATAAATAACGCGATCTAAACCCAAAAAACGTTGATTATGTACAGCGCTTTTGTCAATCTGCTGCTAGATGGATGTATGTCTGTTCAACTTCTTTTGCACCGTACATGGCCAACCCTGCTAATCGGAGGTGCGGGGAAAGACAACAAACTAAACACAAAAAGCAGCAATTAACAAATGAGTTTTAAATCTATATTTAAACATGCACAGCTCCAGTGACTTCCTAAAATCGACAAGAAGAGCGTTCCAGACGGCTGCTGAAGTGAATCTGATGCAGTGACCATCTTTATTCGATGGCCAGCCAAAAGCCACTGCGAGGATGACCGGAGTTCGCGTGGTGGTTTATGCTCCATGACGAGATCAGCGAGGTATGGTGGTTCATCTTTTTGGTTCTTTCGGTAAAGTCACGCAGAAGGAAAATGATAAAATGATAAAAATAAAACATCATGTTTAATTTTTATTATTTTATTGACGTGACTTTACCGAAAGAACCAAGAAGATGAATCCCTGCAGTCACGAAAGCTTTAAATCGAAAAATATTGTGGTTCATTTGTGGTGAGCACTTTGTATGCAATGATGGTCTCTCCACGCTATGCGGGTCTTGTAAGGTTTATTTGACCATACTGCACCATTGCCGGCCAGTGCGGGTCGGTAAAGGTGGTGAGCATTCTCTGATGCGCATGTGCATTTTTTCAGTTCTAGTCCAATCATTTTTGTGCTCATGACCCTGTTTCCTAGGCACATTGGGACGTGGCTTTTAATTACCAAGCTCACGTTTACAACAACTTGCCAACGAGCCCTAGTCCACCTATTTCACTCATCGTTTAGATTTCGGTTCACCTTCAGTAGCTGTCTTAGGTACACACATTGCGCTGCATTTTAAGTTGTGTCTTTCCTTCAGACATCTCCAAATTTCTTGAGAACTTGTTATACATGACACACGTAATAATCATTTAACATATTTGGTATTCACACCGCTCGTTTAACGAAGGGGGGGGTGCTGTGTTACACACGATCTGCAGTAGTTGTACAGTCAGGAGTGATGGTACGATGTGTAATCTCTTGTTGAGTAATTCGCGATGTAATTTTTCGAAACTGTGGACCGTGATGCTGGCAAACACAACGGCCTACTCTCTTTCGAATGACGTCATGGGCATCGTCAGCGTCCACCGCGGTATTTCACGGCTAACGCACGCCACAGCATTAACCGGGGCGGCCTGCTGGATCTTTCGAACCGCCAACCTCCGGAACAAGCGACGGACGCGTGACGGCTGGGCCACGTCACATGCCCGATATATATAAAGTAGAACCCTCTTAACGAGCACCCCTGTGAACGACTAATCGCTTCACGACGGGCCTCCATAGAGCCCAGTGTATGGTCGTGTAGTTTATAATGTAGTGTAGAGTAGTGGAGTGTATAGTAGTGTAGTGTATAGTAGTGCAGAGTAGAACCCCTCTTAACGAGCACCCGTTAACGACTAATTGCTTAACGACAGGCCTCCATCGAGCCCAATGTGTTTGGTTACCGACCATTCCCCTGTTAACGACGGGCTGTTTTAGGTACGGTAAGAATGAATGAAAGCATTGATCAACCACGTTTCTTTTAATATTCTGTGTTGATAATGTTGTTTGTATCTTTATGTATTAATAACCATTGTTTAAATATTTCAAAGTACGTTTTTGGGTGAAAAAGGGTAACTTTCGATGATATCAGAACGAATTAAGCCTTTAACGTGTATTTTCTATACTCGCTTAACGACCAAATCAGTTAACGACCGGTTTCGTGGAACCAACTACCGCCGTTAAGAAGGAGGGTTTTACTGTAAGTGTGCACGCAAGGGGAAAAGAAGCACAAGCGTAAGCATACGGTACGGACGGCGATGGGGACGCCGTTCTCGTCCACAGGCCCGATGCCGGGGTAGTGTGGAGCCTTGAGCACCGTCACCTTCTTCTCCTCGCTGGACATGCCGGCGGCTGGGTAGAACGTGTCGGTGTGCACGGTGCCGCCCTCAAACGTCTTCGTCTGGTACACGGCGCCCGCCGGAAGCTTCTCCGTGGGCGTGTACATCACCCGGTCTGATAGGCGGCGCGCGCGAGCACGCGGTCATCGTGGCGCGGAGACATCACAGAGAGCGACCGCACGCAGTCTAAAAATTCCACGTTACCATGGCAGATCCACGTTAAATTATAGGAAGACTTCTGATCGCCTTCCGCAAAGTGTTACTGTCTCCATTGCGGTGAAGAGCTGAGTCGACCCCTCGCGAGAATTCAAGCTTTGCCACCTTACCGCTTCTGAGTAGATGGCACCTAACCACTGCCACTCATATTCTTGGTTCTTTCGGTAAAGTCACGTAGAATGGAAATAATAAAGTAATAAAACTAAAACATAATAAAATAATTCTCACGATGTTTGTTTTATGTTTATAATTTTATTACTTCCATTATACGTGACTTTACCGAAAGAACCAAGAAGATGAATCCCTGCAGTCACGAAAGCTTTAAATCGAAATTTATATATTTTTTATTTTAACCAGGTAAGGCCCACTCAGCTATATAGCTCTTTTTCAGAAGAAGACCTGGCCATGAATGACAGCTGTCAACGAAGCGGCTTATCGCGTGAAAATGTATAGCACCCAAATACCCCTGAACATACGTTGATTCTAAATGTGGAGGGAAAAACCGGAGGACCTGGAGAAAAATCCATGCGACCACGGAAAGAACATGCAAACTCCAAATATACAACAGGCGTAAGGGTCGGGATCGACCTCACGACCTCCTGCATACCAGGCGTGGTAGTTAACATCTCGCCACCATGGCGCCCTGTCACCATGCAGAGTCACCATGCAAAGTCAACACGCAAAGCGATTGCGTGGAACCGTCACGCGGAGCCATCGCATGAAATCATCGCACGGGGTCATCACACGGGGTCATCACATGGGGCCATTAAACGGGGCCGTGACACGGAGCCATTGCACGCAGCCACCACGCAGAGTCGCCACGCAGTCACAGTGTGCAGCCATCGTGCGGAGACATCACGCTGAGTCATCAATCACACGGGGTCATCGCACAGTCATCTGCGCACTGGGTTTTATTTCGAGTCCTAGATTTAATTTAAAACTATAATGATCATCATCACCACCATCACCAGTAGAGGATGGCTGATGAAGTCAACAAAGCTGTTTGATGATAATGATGATTAACAACGTAATGATGAATTCATCTGTTGATTGGAAGCGATTATTACGCAAACAAAAATCCTGCCTATTATTCGGAATTCACGTGCAAACTGGAGATGAATGTAGTGCTAAGCTTCATGGAGCGAATGAGATATAAAATAGAAACGAGACAGAACAAACAAAACTACGAAGACAGACCTTACTACGCACAGAAAGCAGCACGCACAAGACAGATCGGTATAGTCGGTACAAACCAGGTAGCATGTAATGGGCATTCCTTAATATTATTGAATGAAACTGTGATTCCGAATAGTAATATTTGAATCTTGGAGAGGGGGTGAATCTTTACATGCTTAGCAATAACAATGATAGCGGTGCCATTGATGACGGTGATGATGGGATGACAAGTGAATTTTTACGAAGTGATTTTTTTTACAGAAGGTGATGCCGACGATGCTGCGATGATACTAAAGTGGGATCGGGTGGGCGATCTCTCTCACCTTGTGTGTTCTGCGGCTGTGACGAGGTGGTGCTGAATGAGCTCTGGTAACTCGTGTACTTGTGCGTCGGTGAAAAGCTACTTTTCAAGGCACCGTCGGAATACTCCTGCCCGTCGTTTTGCTGTAAAAATGAACAAAGCAGGCGCAACAGTGAACGACGGCTCAGTGGAGTCACGAGGAATGTCTCTCGGTGGCTGATAGATCTGCGGTGACGTATTTATATCCGTGGTCATTGCGAAGCGCAGTTCCTAAATTTGACAAAAAAAAAACGTTCATGTCTATAGGGAAATGCAGAGTTATTTTTAATAAATCCACTGCTAGACGAGATGCCTCCCCACACCACTCAGGGTGTCGGGGCTTAATTGACCACACGCTGGTCAGTTTGGGTTGGCGAAGTCGGGAAGCATAGATATGGGAGCAGAGAAGTACAGTACAACACTGGATTTTGCTGCATTGTTCTCTGAGGGCCATTGTTGATGTCTTACGCTATGTTTAATGCTTTCCTTACCAGTAACTGCCAGTATACCCATATGCTGTACATTTGCAAGTGTGGGCTTGTAAATAATCATGTTAATCTTACTCAATGTTGATGTAATTTTAATCGAGAGAAATGCATTAGGTTATTATTTTTGATAAAGTCTGAATGTGACACTCATCGAAATCAACAAACGTAATTGGATTATTCAATGAACCATGACGGGGCCTTTTGGTTCATAAACGTAAAGTGTGAATCTTATGAATAAGATTTGTATCGAGTGAACATTTGTTTAGAATGTTAATGTTTATAGAACAGCACAGATCAACCAGAGTGCAGTCAAGTACCAAGTCAGCCAGACTGCGTGTGAGTAACTCAACTGAATAGTGAGAGTCATTTTAAGACAAACGATTAAATAGGCCAAAGTGGTTGCATAATTACGAGAAAATACTATATATATAAAACAATACAATATCGTAAATACTAATTTAGATTAACTTTGACTTTTAAAAAATTATACTGCACTCTGGCTCTAATCCTGCCGCTTCAGAGTTAAATGCACATGCTGGTTATCCAAACAGAGTATTAACGATATTGCGCACGTAATCATTCGCAAGCGTTAATTAATTTTTCTTTGTAACAAATCTTTCCAAGCAAATTGCAAATCGCGCAGCAAAGCTAAACCCAAAAGCTATGCACGCGTTGCAGATTGCACTCTCTGGCTCAGAATTTTTCTTGACCAAATAATGTGCCATAGTTTTCATTGAATGCACGTCCAAAAAAAATAATCAAGATTGAGCTAAGCTATTTAATAATCCGTTAAATGTGTTTTTTTTTTACAATAAGTGGCAAATGTGTTCCAGTCGGGATTCAGTTATATTTGGGTCAGAAGTGTTTTAATTTATGATTAATGTTGTTAATTCATTGTTGCCACTCTCTACCATACATGCCAATCGCACCGATGTAACGTAATAGGCTGCCAATGTTTTTGCTCAAGCGATTTTTAAAGCGAAATATACCATTTGTTAACATTTAAAAACAAAACAAATCTTTTTCGGCGGTGTTCGCTTTGAAAATCAGCATTCTTTAAAGACGGTTTAAATATTGGCAGACAGACCACTTAAATGGTTGGCAAGTTATACCGCTACCCACTGAGGGCAATCGTGTTAATTGATGTTGTGCTCAAACCAGGGCTGATTGAAACTTCAGCAAAACCTCTTTGGAAAAAACCCCGCCGCAAATACCGCCACAACTATCAAAACGACTGGTTGCAAGTGGGTCATTGCAATGCGCGATGATTACCAGTGGATAATGTTCGGGACAACAATCGACAAATGAAAATGTCGAATTCCAAAGAATTATTAGATGCATAAATGGATTAATTGATGAGATACGCGGAGCTAAAACATAGTGATGCGAAATTCTCCTGATGTAAATTTTTAGCGTGAAATTTAAACTGTGGAAACGTGAATGCCTGTTAGAATTTTCCTTACTTGGGGCATATTTAAAAATACTGAAAACTACACTCCATTAAATAAGCAAATAAATAAAAAAATGTCTACGAGATGCTATTCAATGTACTATACACGTAACATTAGAACCAACTGCCTGGCATACGCTAAATGGAAATGCAACGGGATATTAACATACTGAGCCACATTCAATTGGACACTGATTGCGGCACCTAAATTAATGCACGTTGTATGCCAGAGGCCTATAGACACACACACATACACAAGCACATATACACACACACACATACACACACGCACATACACACACGCTTTAGTAACAGGTGCGCCTAAATTCGGCACGTGGCTGTAAGCAAATCATTCTATAATTACGTAGAGGTCGGATTCGAAGCTTTCTTGACTTTACCGAAAGAACCAGAGTACGTACAGGTCGTCACAAGACATTGGAGTTCTGGCATCTTGTTAGGTATCATAAGCGTTAAAGATCACGTGTGATTAAAGGAATGTTGAACATACAAAACAAATGTAAATCAGCCACAGTTAGTAAAATAAATAAATACAGCAGAAATTGTAAATTAATGTCCATAATATATAAAAACAAATCATTCACAGAAATGTACAAAACAAATTTACGAAAGAAAATCCTGTTGATATCCTATAAGACTTAAACATTTCTCCCACGGGGAAAAAAAGCTGCATACAAATTCTACTACTCGTGTCCAAAATGTTGTCATCAAGTCTTATAGGATACAACAATGGGAACTTTACAAATAGGATAGTGCAGGGAACGTTGGGGTTTTTTGTTGTTGTAAATAATCGCACAAGAGAGGAAGGTATTTTATTTCGGTTTGTCTCACAGGAAATGCCCCCCACCCAACAGTTGTGCCTATGCCATGCAAAATATGTAATGATTTCCATGCAGGGACGCATGAAGCAACAAACCCACATTGTCAGTTAGTAAGCGACAAGTGTACGCGACCGATGAGGGGCGACAATTATCGCGACAAAAAAAAAAGCCATAATCGCAATCGAATCACACAGCCTTCCAGGATCGACGGTACTGGCTGCACGTAAAGGCAGCACAATCGAGCACGGATGAAAACATTTGTTGAATGTTATTGAAACAAAACTGTGGATCTCGCTTCCGGGGGCTAGGGTTAAGAAAGGTCCACACATTCTTGTAGACCGCAACGGCGAAATTCGAGTTGCCATCGGCATCATTGGTGAGCAATTCAAGGAACAATATTTTACAAGAGAAATTGGAATGTTATTATTAACAATTTCAAGGCTATCATTTCGTGGGAAATGCCACCGTTCCACCATGAAACCCACTCATGCATCAAGTCCACTGTGGCGATAGTCTGCTGTGGTGATGGTCTGCTGTCGTTTATACATCTGCTATGAAATTATTGCAGATTAAGGATTGTCAATACATTCGCGGGGGTTCATTTCACTCCTGAAATCACAGCAAACCGACGCAAGGTTGGTTTTGCTTTTGAATTAAACGTTTGTTGCTTTAGAATAATTATCCGTGGGTGGGTTGGTTAAATCTTATTTTGCCAGCCGTGCGACTGTTGAAGCCCAAACGGGTAGTTATTATTCAGCGGATTATGTCCAAAATCCACATTTACACGCCCAGTTCTACATTTTACGACCTTGGAAGGTTGGCCTCGGAGTTCTCGTTATTGCGGTTTAAAATAAAAAAATTAGCACGTTAATGCACGGCTCGCCGTGCGGCGTCAGTCCCACGGGTGTCGTTCACGGGATGGGCAGGCTTGTGGGGGGGGGGGGGGGGGTGAGCGTGAATTACGTGGGCAGGCGTGAGGGCGCGCTCCTCCGTGAGAGTTGGTGAGGGGGTGACCGAGTGGTCCGTGACCTCGGAAGCGAGTGGCGGGAGGAGGTCATCCAGCACAGCCGTGGACGACTCGCTCACGGTGCGCGATGACACCTCCCATTCGGGCTCGAGAAGCGAGTGCGAGTGACCGTCAGCGGGAGACAGCTTTTTCTGCAGGTGCGGCGGGATAAAGTCGTCGAGCGTGGGGAAGCGATCGGGCGCCGAGGCCGGCGACTCATTTCTCACGGGGGCCGGCGGGTGGCCGGGCGGGCCGCCGAGAGGCCCGTAGTCCCGCGGCCCGACCGGCACCAGTGGCGGCACGGGCGATGAGGCCTGCTCCGAATGGCCGGCGTCCCGAGAGCGGTGGGCACTTTCCGATTGGACGGTCACTTTCACACTGCCCAATCCCGTAAGCTGCTGGGTGGCAGAGGCGTGGGGTTTTTGGTTTTCATGACATTGAACGTGGTGGCATCCTTATTTATATATACGCGATAACGGGAGAACTCCTCTTTGCCGTGATCATATTACTCGCAACTCCTCATATCCGCAGGAGCTGTAAGGTCCGTGGAAACTCCAATGAGCTACGACCCTATTCTTTATGTTACCCGTCAACTTTCCCATTCTGCTTCGCTGAATGTCTTCTATACAAATATTGCGGAAAACAGGAGTCGCGTAGCAAATTCATCTGATGACACACAATATTTTTTTGCAGAAAAGTAGAGAATCCACAGATAATAAGATCTGCGATATTCCTACCCCACATCACTGCAGCTAAGAGGAGTTCTCCCGTGTATGTGAGAGAATTGCAAAATGATTTTCTAAACGGGCTAAATACAATTTGCATAGATCACGTTGGATGCTTTCTTCATCTACAGGAGTGGTGCATTACAAAGCCACATAGGTCAATGGAACAGGTGGTTTGAATGCCGTTTGATAATTCAGTCGGTATTAGTGGCTTGTTGGGATTGCTGCTCTTCAACAAAGGCAACGCTTTTGCCGGCCTGTGTTTTGTCCTGTAGGCATGTATTATTTAGCTCAAAAACTGCAATTAAATCCAATAATTTACCAATGGAAGTGAAAAGGCAATAGGCCGCATACTTAATTGTTTGCCACTCAGCAAGCCAGCAGCTTTCCACATTAAATTAATCCATTCAAATGCATACTTGCAGCAATTTGCATTCGAAGCAATATACATGAAATGCTTTCCAACATTTTAGACCTCTGAAATTTGTTGTTGCTGCCTTATCGAGTACACGTATTAGATGTGCAAATATCTAAGTGCGCAATTAACAAGCAGGGTTTTTACGTTAATGTACGTGGCCAAAACACCTCTAAATGAAACCTTGTGAAATACAAACACCGCGTGATAATTTGTTTGACAGACTCGGACAAATTACTTTCTTTAACACAGCCGCAATTCATCTCGAACAAAACACGATGGGTTACATGATGACACATCACAGGTGCATTAGACACAAGCTCACGAGCCGTTGATGTCCCCGCAAAGCTGTGACAACGCTCGCTCGATGACGTAAATTAGAGCGGATCTCTCACAGGTATTCAAAGTTACCCACACAAGGTGGGAATCCTAAACCCGGCAATATCAATACAAGAACTCCTCTACTTACAAACATTTGACTTACGAACTTTGAGAGATACGAACAAACCCGTCCATATTTCCAGTTGCCTGTTCAGACAGATTCGTAAGTTCAACCACCGTGCAATAGATGGCGGCGGTTGTTCAGTGTCGAGCACCGGCTTGTTTTGAGTCTCAGGACCCCAAACACTGAAAGGTTTACTAAGGTGTCGGCAGCTGTTCACGGTGCTATTGCCTGTTACAAGTTGATTTATGAAGAGGAGAAGAAGAAGAGGGCAACCGTGCAGAAATCTCTTGGTACGTTTGTCAAGAGAGTAGAGAGGAAACACGAGAACCAAAGGGAATTAGCATCTACATCTGCAGAACATGAAGAATCAGTGGCATCTACATTCGCAGAACGCGAAGAACCAGTGGCATCTACATCTACAGGAGATGATAAAAATTTTGAAGCCATTCTCCGTGTTTAGTGTACATGCCGTACAGCACGTTTGGAATCGACAGAAGTAAAGTTGGACTTACGAATCGACCTATGAACAGACCTCTGGAACCTAACTGGTTCGTAAGTAGGTAAATAGAGTAGTCCCTGTGTGGCAAAAAATAATTGAACCGGTCAATTCGATTTGCCAATGTCACCAGCAGCTGCGGTGGCTGAGCCGAACGTGGAAATGACTGTGATGGAAAACACCGAGCTACATCATCAGTCGCGTCTTTATGTGACTGCACACACATATCGGATGTTAAGCACAGGATGTCTGTAAGATATTGAAGGCTTATTGCAATAAAAGGCACACGATTATTGAATGTCACCGCCATTCCAAGGTTCCCAAGGACCTATCCGATGGGCATATCCTGTGACCGTCATGTTTACATATTGACACGTGTATATTCTTGTTTGATTTGTGGGTCAAGGGATGTTTACTGCAGTGGGGGAATTGAAATTTGCCAAAGTCTTCTTTGCACCAGAGATTACACAATAGAAGTCCTGATGCTCGATGATTGCCTATTACTTTTGTCTGCAATGTAATTTTTCCAGAGTACTGCATTCGCTCAAAACGGGACCTGCATGTAGCTACGTGCAAAAAGTGATGCAAAAGCTGATCCAGAATTTCACTTGGGGCTGAGGTCAATTGAAAAAAAGGACAAGTAAAAAAATATACTAATTACATGCATAATCAAGTATATGATATAATTCAACATTTAGTCACGCTTGCACCCACTGACATAATAAGCTTGCCAGTTCGCATGCTATCATTAATATCAACTTGTGGGTTAATGCCAAACAGTAGCATGTCTGTGTTAATGTTAAAAATGCACAAGTATTATTGCAGCCATAATGCACGAACTCTCCTGGCGGTGCTGACACAAGAAAATTCTCTTTGCATTGGCGTGAGCCCTCCTCTATATCCGCACCCATCTGGATCCAGCCACACATTTGTGAGCATTATGCAATGCAGTCTAATCCCATTGTATATTCATTTACTGGCTAAATGATATCGATGTGCATGTGAGTGTAGCAGCCCTCGGTCAACCCACTGCTGGATGAGGGCCTCCCTAACACATTGACCATACTTCACCACACTGGTCAATGTGGACTGATGGATGCAGGGAGCATAAACGTGGAAGCTTAGAAGAAATAATAACACTATACAGTATTTTGTTGGAACTGCCCTCTGGTGGTAAGCACACGGCCTTACAACCAATAATAATTCCTCCCCCACTTTGCACAAGAGCGCCTCTACATAAGGAACGAAACAGGTGGACTTCTCCACAAATCTAGCTGTCGCCTGATGAAGCTAGTTGTAATTACTGGCGAAACGTCGTACTCGGATTGTAAATGTTGTGGCTTGGCTCTCCAACACAGTGGTATGCTGTACTAATGACGAATTGGCATGTTCTGTTTACTGACTTACTAGTTGGTTGTGTCGGGTGGTGGCGGGTTTTAACGACACATTTATATATTTACGCCATTTAACCCAAAAAACCCCTCTATTATGGATGATATTGATCGCGAAAGCCTACGTGTTAAATCAATAATAATGATGTCAACTTGCAACGCGGTGGCCACAAGGCCAAAAGTGAGGGAACGACTCGGAGGCTCGAGGAACCACAGACAAGCAAGTCGGCAGCCCCGCAACGAGCCAGCTCTGTGGTCATCTATACATATTAAGGTATTTTGAGCCGATGAATCGGTGTTTACACGAAGCACCTGCGTGATGGTGGCCACACTCTACCCCATACAGGTGGAACAGGCGGAGTCAACATTTTTTGCTGCTCCGCATTGTCCAAGCACGCCAGGGCACGGCAACCTTAACGCTCTGAGCGCGTGTCACTCCAAGGAGGGAAGGCAAACAGCAGGTGACCCGTTAATGACGGTGCCATTAAAGGTACTCTGAAAGGGGCCTCCGGGTGTTTCGATGTGAAATGAAAAGTCGACGGCTGGCGCTTCACAAATGCGCTCTTGATCTCCGCATGTTCTCTGCTAGGGACAGAACTGGATTTCAATTGAGACCTGAGGTGCGATCGTTGGGCTGTTATCTTGCAATGCCACCCGCCCAGTTTGTGAAGCCATAACTGTCGTTTAAATTAGGTGAAGTGAAAATTATAAAGATGTACGGTTTGCTCACTCGCACCAATGTTCCCAGAAGGACCTCCTATTTTTCTCCCCGCTCTACCAAGCTGGCCAGAGGTGGGGTTACCCACACGTTACCCCACCGCACACAACACACAGATCTAATAATTGTGGTGTACGCAATACTAATGGGTGCACATAAATGTCATGAGTAAATGCAAATGAGAGCTATCCGACTTGTTTATTTTAAGTCTTTGCAAAATGTTTTCCCTTACACAGTGGGAACCTGGCCTCGGGCTTGTCATCCGCGTAATATCTGTATCCCTTTCCCCTATCGCTCATGCTTCACAATTACCTCTTGTGCAATAAAAAAAACTTTTATAAAGTAGTCTCTTGCAAAGTGGTGATTTACAAAAATAGACCTTGAAGGACTCTTTAGCAACTATCTCGTCACTGTACTGTAGCTTTGCACGATCATTAGTACGGTCACTTGAATATAGGCGGTAACAAACAAAAAAATGTAACAAATTATTTACGAAAGTTGAAAATACCGCATTTCTCGGAGGGACTTTTAAATTAGCCACCCCCCTCACTGGCGGCAGTGGCACATTCCGTCGGGCTCCTTGCACCGTGGAGGTCGTCTTCTCCGCCGTCTCAACCTTGCCAGTGGCGTCCTTCATGCCGGACAGCAGCGAGGTATCGGGAGCCACGTGGAGGCCCGAGAGCGTGCAGCCTGTGGAGTTAGTTTCCATGGAGGTGGAACACGTCAACGGTGGGAGTCGTGATGTTAGTCACCTGATGAGATGGGGTCACACCCTGGCGAGATCCTTGCATCGGCGGAGCAAATTGCCGGTCGACTAAATCCTTGCCGACGCGGTTAGCCGCGTCCGTCAGGGCGTCCACTACCTTCTCCTTGTCCACAGCCGTGGCGGGGGTGCCACCACCGCCGCCTCCGCCACCCCCGCTGCTGCTGCTGGTGGTGGTGGTGACGGTGGTTTTGACGGGGGCAAGTTTGATCGAGGAAATCTTCCGCTCGGAGGGAGTGACCTCCGCGTTTCCAATCTCAACAAACGACTGAGTGGGTGCGGGAGCGACGCCGGGCTCGGGTCGGAAGGGCGCCAGCGGCGCGCGCTTACCGCCGGCCGTGGCCGCACCGGAGCGGCTCTGAGATTGGAAGACATCGGCAAGGTTAGGCACGTCTTGAGGAAGGCTTGGCAAACTGGCGGAGCCCGATCCCACCGTAGAAAGGGACGCTTCGGTCCTGCTACGCGACTGCGGGGTTTCGCTATCGCTGGCGGCAAAGGCATCGGCCTGAGAGGAAGGAACGCGGAAGGTCCTCGGAGGAGGCGTGGGGCATTTGCGAGCAACGTCCCCGGTGGCAAGCGGTGCACTGTTAGCGAGAAAGGATTCCTCGACCGACGTCGACGTTGTGGTTCTGCGGTACACCCTATCGGTGGTGGACACGGTGGTGATGGTGTCGTAAGAGGAGTTAGAGAAGTGCTGGCCGGTGAGGGGGGCATGCGCTCTATCCAAAGTGGCCGTGGGCTGAGCCACATCGGCAGGCCATCGCGGGGAGTTAGAACCGGCATCGGCGGTGATGCTCACAAACTTCATGATGGGAATGGACGCAAGCACGGAGTAGGAGGATTTAGTTGGAGGGTTCCATGCAAAGCTCTCCTCTTTGGGGGGAGCAGCGGGAAGCTGGGTTAGTGCACAGCACGCGTGAAAACAAGAGGTCAAAGGTCAGCGGTCCACCTGGATGAAAGGAGGCGGTTGTAACAAAAAGTTCTTAAAATAAAAATGTAAGGTGACACGCACACGTCTCAAACGTGTGTGTGTGTCACCTGACAAATGGCAGTTGAATGACCACAATCTTAATGAGGCGAAACAAACGGTCCTGTATGATTTACAAACAATCCTTAGGACTCCTACAGGAATTAGACATTCCTACAGCATCCTGTAAAGTTTGTGTTGTTCTAATTTAGTAACTTATTTAAAAAACATCCCATTATCTATAATTTAACAATTTAAATGTATGATATATGTTAACTTTTTTTGCACCGTACATAGTAAACCGTGCTAATCAGACAACAAACTAAAAGACAAAAAGTTGTTCTAAAGAAGTGAGTATTCAATTTAGAATTAGTTATCAACTTTAATATTTCAATGTTATAGCAACCGTCTACACCTCTCCATGTGAACCAGTGAAGAATCACAGAGGCGAAGAGAATAGAGAAGTTGAAAAGATCAGATCAAGAAGATCAAGAAGAAGCTCAGGGCCAGCCTTCGAGTTTCCCGATTTCAAATAAACTTTCCAAATGTTATTCTTCCTTTCTTCATGGTTAAGGATCAGCTTCTCATCAGTGCGAGCTCATCGAATGTTGAGCACGTTTCATTCATCAGAATTCAAATGGTCAAGCTTACAACTTAAATCACACTCCCGCAGGCACGTAACAATGCATCGATTCATCCGTTTCAAATGAATTGTGAATCTCACAATACATGCATTGATTTATGATGTATACTAAATTAATGCAAATTATATTCTAATGTTACAGTTAAGGTAACGGAGCGAAACTTCGAAAATAATACATATGAAAATGAGAAACAATACAAATGAAATGGTAAAAATTGGATTAAAAAAATACAGATTCTTGAACCGATTCATGACCTCAAATTGTGGCGATAGGACGAACGATCACATGTTTACCTGACAGAGTGTTCATTGATGGCACATCTATAAACACGGTGGAGTGTGACGTTATGCACGATGCTGAATTATTGGACATTGCTCAACATTATCGCGCCTAAAAAACAAAAACCTGAAGCTATGCCAGCCGAGTGCGAGTGCGTGGAGAGACAGCGCAGCAACGCTGCGCACTGCGGCTCACATCGTGCCGATATCCCTGGGCCTCCGCGCGCTAAACAATTTCAACTGGTGGCACCATCACGGTTATTTGGTTATTTACACCTCTGCTTCCAAAACACCACCGCACATGCGGACATGCAGTGCCATAACCAGGGCCTAGCTGAACTTCAACGGTGTCTTCTGTTGAGGATCTTACAGCGGACAAGAGGTAAGAGCGCGCCGAGCAACTGTGTGTACGTACAGGTGCCCCCCCCCCCCCGCCCGCCCATGTGCGTGCATCTTCACCTGTTTCTTCTCAGCGGCTGTGAGGTTGGGCCGCACGCTGCGGAAGCCTTTGGCCGCCAGCGAGGAGTTTCCCCCGTCCCCGTTCGCTGCTCCGAATGGAGCAGGGGACACGGGACCGGAGCCCCAGCGGTCTGTAGGTCGTCGGGGAGGACACGAGACAAAGAATGGACCCTTAACTTGACGCGAAGGTTTTTCGCAGCCGTTATTACGATTCATCATTGGTGTTTGGGTGAGGCCATGTAATGGTCTGGCCATGTATGGTCATGTTTGGGCAGATCATTATGATCCCATTAAAACCTCTTTCCAGTGTAACTTGCCTGCCTCTGTGGCCTAGCCACCATTTAAAAAATGCTTCTTAGCTCAATGGGCCTCAACAGAAATTAATCTTCCTCCTCCGAATATATTTTTCTCGGTGCACCGCTGATCATGGTCACCATCGCCACGCACCACGTGCAACTTTCAAGTAGCAGTAGGGCATCGCGGCAAAGATCCTAACAGCCATGGCAACATTACAGGAATCGTTTGCCTTCCCGTAAATTATCAGACGGTGAGTTTGCACAATTGCTTTCCAGGATTAATATCAAGGACTCGAGGAGTAATGCAAACACAATGGAGAATCAAACAGACTCTCAAGGCAACCACGTTCGCTACTTGGCTAGAGGGTCATTTATCCATTTATAAAATGCATATGGAATACATACATAAACCACAAGTTGTGTCAGGATAAAGGTTTTATTAGATGTTAATTCAACCGGATTATGTTTTACCTGATTCACTTGATTGGTGATCAGGACCTATAACGGGAAGAAATTAGAGAAAAAAGGAAGTACTTATTCTTAACTGCAATACTAAAACAACACATCACGACCATCAATGTTTAAGTCGCCACTACATTTTGAACACCACATTTTAAAAGCAGTAATTTTCATTTTATACAAAATGAAAGGATATTACCCCACACCCTCACCAAAAATACAAATTCTTAACACGTCATAGCAATCATTTTCAAATGATCATAAATAAATTGTCGAATATACAATGCCTGTGAATCATTAACATTTAACGATACCGCTGCAATTGATACTCATATGTGCTGCACAACAATGACCTACTTTAGAACACAGTGTATTTGAAGCTCATTATTCCAAGTAAGGTTTCAGCTGTCTGATCACCAATGTGTATTAGATCATCATTTGGGGGAAGTCTCAGCTCACACCATCTGGCAAGTTTAACATTAAAACCTAACTATACAATAGTACAGGTCATAGTAGTACGAATATATTTAAGCCTTTTGTCACTATGTTGATCATGGGGGTTGTTTGCTGACCCATACTTCAATCAATTGCTCTGTGCAGGTTGGTGAGACGGGGGGGCAAAGGGTTAGTTCAGATATAATTCGCCACCAATGTTAGCCATGGCCAGGAATTAAACTCGGGCGGCCGGGTTCATAGTGCTCTGTGTGAACCACTGCACGACCCCCCAACCACCACCTAACAATACTGTATATATTTGTTTGAAATGCATATAACCACTATGTTTCAAAGAGTCTACAAAGGTAATTTTTTTAAATTTAACTGCGCCTTCTTTTAACATAACGATTTAAAAAGCCTTCATTAGGTGACCCTTGTTACTATATGGTCGGTCGACGCATCATTAGCTTAATTTGAAAGAAGAAAGTTATTTTATTTCAAAGCCCGCAAATGTGGCTTCGTTGTTGCCTTGCATAACGAGAAGTAGGATTAACGCAGCTCCGGCATATTGGGCTGGAAAATAAATACACGAGGACTGCTATGCGATAGAATCTTTGACCAGTTTTACGCAATACTTTCCCGTACGATGGGTGAGAAGGCGTTGCTGATGTAAGAAAATAATTATTGCTCATTTGCTAAAAAGATGCAAATCTGACACAAAATTTGTATCGGCACCATAACCGGACCAATGTCATACTCTGGGCTGCCACGAAAGAAGTAACCTGAGCCTCGAGAATACAGAATACGACAGTAAAATATATATAAACGTGTGTTTTGCAATTTTCGTCATCTTATTATATGGCAAACAATTGATTCATGCAATGTTCTGTGCAATTTTCTAGCATATTTTCACTTTTTTGGTATATAAACATTTTAATCCAAACAGGAGTTAATACAACTTGGCAAAAACCGAGATAGCATAAAGAATAATCATGTTTTCAGTTGAAGTGACATATGGTTTTGCCCTGCTTATTTGTTCTGTACTTTCACATACATCAAATAGCGACGCTACATTGTAATTTCACATTCCTGGTATCACAGTTTCAATTCATTATCATATCAAGTGTGACGGACGGCGACGTGATTTTTAGTCATTTTATTAATTAAAAAAACACTGATAAGTGGCTTAGTAAGCGTTTGTTCTTATGCCAAGCTCAAGATATTTGCCATCAAACAACTGTGAGTGCGGCCAATAGGACGAGGGCATCTGGGGCTAGTGGGGCTTAGGGCCCTCGATCCCGTTAACCAGCTCTCACGTTCACGCGCAGCCTCCACGGTGAAGCCCCTGAAGCCGGACTCGGTGAGACCATGCAAGGCCACCACCCGCAGAGTGCGTGGAGGACTGGCGAAATTGACGTGGAGCTTGTGCGTGCGTCAATCTAGCAGTTCCTCTGCTCGCGTCAGCCTTACGGCTCTCTTGTCTCTGTACATTCATTTTCGAAATATATTCTCGTAAAAAAATGTAATTTCACGTACAACAAAATAACTATTTTAGCCCTTGCAAAAAAAAAAGACATGTTCGCTCATCGCCTAGGAACGCAACTCTAACAGAGCGTGCTCGCCTTGAGATCGTGCCGTGAGGCTAACGCTCGCGTATCCACGACCGTTTGTGTTTTAAAGCAATGCCTAGAGGTTTTGAGTCTGCCTTCTGAAGACAAAACATTCTCCGCCAATCGAGCCTCGGACCTACTTGTGAGGTTCGAGTCAGTCCAAGTTTCCCAGCTGTCAGTCTTGCTGCGGCGACCCTGCTGACCCCCATACGAAGAGGGTCTCAGGGTCACTGACCCCTTCCCACTGATCACCTTGACCGCGCCACCCTCTGTGCGGAACCCAAGGCCACGTCGTGGTGAGTGCGGAACAAGCGGTTCCCAACGGAGGACAGGTCAAGCGCAGGTCCACTCACTCCGCGTGCAAACGGCTAAATTTGGGGCTCCTCGGCAGTCCCATTGGCAAACACATTTCGCTTGTGCCGCATTTCAAACGGTACACACGCTTGAAATGAACGGTGAAGCGTCTTTCTACGTACTGCTCAAAATAGACAATGAGCCGGTTATTATCTTCACAAGCCACTTGCCAGTGGTGTACATTTCACATTATCATGGAAGGGACCAGGCTACCCATAGGATCAACAATATATATTTAAAGGGCCCTACAGTAATAGCACTAATATACTTTTAGATGAACACTTACAAAGAATGTAATGAATGTGATCTCATCACAGTTTATGTTTTTTGTAACTTACACTAAGCTCTCATACTGAGCTCTCATTTTCGATAACTTCTGTCACTTACAGAAAGCGAAGTTATTTTTAAAAGACACCGAGTCACTGCTGACAAATTTCTAACGGGGCAGAACTAATAGGTGTGTGCTTCGTAAATTTGCTGACATCGATACGAAATGGACATAATATTAATTTTAAAAAAATGTGTTATTGATTCATTTATTTCTTTATCTTAGAGCCAAAATCTCGGGAACAAATAGACACTTAAACAAAGTTAAACGCTACACATTTTGAAAGTATGAACTCGTACAACTAACCATTAGAGCTGTAATGAACCAAATCCTTAGTGAGACTCTCCCCCACACTCTGCAGACAGTGAGGGGTTCTTTTTACAACCCTTTGGGCAGAATTACAGAACAGCAATGGATGTTGCTGCATTGCATTCTACTGCACACAATGCACATTGCACTTCTGCTTATAATGCATGATAGTCACCAATTCTCAACCATACTTAGCTTACGAGATCTAAATGAAATGAGGCTCAACCCTGGGTGAAATGGTCATTGGCTGAATATGCAGAAATAACTAATCATATATTTGCTCTCTTTGTTTTAATGTGTTTGCAAATGGGGGTTTTAAATTTGTTGTACAAGTCGAGACCTGTACACATCAGAGTTTGAATAATGAGACACCCAACTGTTCGGTCATAAAATAAATAAGAGCAGAAAAAATGGAAAAATATAATTTGGTTGAAGGCAAAATCAGGATGATGGCATTGTTTTTTGGGTGAAATGAAAGATTTTTGATTTGTTAAGAATTTAAAGAAGAAAATGAATAATTTTCAAGAGCTAAGACCAGGAACCCTTTGTGCTTAGTCATGTGGATAATCAGAAAAGAAGTCACAAGAAATCCACAGAAGCCATAAACACACCTGTCAACCCATACGGTTTACTCGTATTCTTGTACAGAAAAATGTGGTTTTCAGGTCCATACAGCGTACAGCTGTTTCAATGGGGATTTGTAGGATGCACATTGATATTTATAAGGGCACGGGGTGACCAATAAGGTCTGAGTTAGTCTGTAATAGGGTAGGCACTGATAAGAGGTTGACAGGTATGCATCAATTACTTTCACAAATATACCATTGTTGAGTAAAAAAAAACATAATTTGTGATTATATTTTGTTTGGAGATTCTTATTAAAATTCACCAATAGTTTCAATGAGAATATATTTTTGGTGCTCTGAATTTATTCAAGCAGGGCAGGGCTTCTGCAGATTTCTATTATACATCCCTTTGAGTGTGATTTTCTTTTTGGAGGAAAGACCGTTTGAAGAGCAAATGGAAAATCAAAATATTATGATTGGATGAGCAATGAAGTTAGGTTTATGCAGAGCCTATAGCTCACTAATCAGGTGCAAAGACTACAAGAAATCAAGGCCTCAGACTGCAGGTCCCAATGGTTACGTACTGCACGCACGGAGCACTATAAACAGTTAATTACGACGAAGATCGCGATACGGCGGGGGCTGCTCCTGAGACAGGCTCACGGCGTGTCCTCATGCGGTGCTTCAAAACGACGCAAACCGATTGCGACTGGGCTGTTGAAAATTTGACAGCAACTTGCCGCTGCCTCTGCGGCTTTGAAGCTCAAGCCGATATTTAAAAAAATACACGCAGCAAATTGCAAACGCTACGCAAAATGTGGATTTTTTTTCACAAATGTGGAATAATTTGTCCACAATTTGTGTCTCCTGAATTTTTTTTCTGGAATTTTAGTCCAGTAATGTAATTTTTTTTAAAGAATGTTAAATGCTTTTTTTTATTAAATGGTGACAAAGAGCCCTTAAAAAAATTACGGTTCTTTTTATTGGGTTTTTCTTGAAATCATGTTTTTAAAAGGAATTCCTCAACATACTTTTCATAACCAAATTTGACCCCACACACAATGTGTTATTCAAATAAACACTGCATTTTGAAATTAACAGGTGTTGTTAATAATGGTGTAATTTAAGCATTTGCTTAAGCATCATGAAAAGCCTTTCTAAGCTTGGTTAGTGGATGGATGCAATCGTGGACTGATCCCAGAGGGAGACTATATCAGAAACACCATCGTGGACCACATTTACATTTTGAAAATTCTGCCCTATTACATTTCTCTATGGCTCAATCTACTTCAAAATTTCACGGCGTCTCTCTGTAGAAATGTACGACGATTTAACCGAAGAGGTCACCGAAAAATAAGTAGCTCTGACCTTCTAGACAGCATGACCCATTGCTCTACAATGTCATCTATGATACATATTTATTTCTTTTCAGGCAGTGTTATTGAGGAATGCATTCCGTGGTGTTGTGCTTGTGCACCACCACTACCAACGGGTCATCACCAAATAATTAGTTTAACTCTAAATACGTACTGCGCTGTTTAACACGTGTTAACAGTAACCTTTGAAATAATTGTCGTGAACGTCATTAGAACGTTCTCGTGACGTCGCTGCGGTGCAGCGCTGACGTGCAAGCGACTAACGTCACAGTGACATCACCGGCGTGTTCTCGTGGCCGGTGGCACACCCAGCGAAACATTTTAGGAGGGGGCAAATTGTCTTGCTGCCTTCCTACCACGAGTGCACATCAACAATAGTAATTGTTACTAAAATGAGAGCAATGTCAAGCCACATTGATTAATCATTTACAATTTTAGATGTATTTAAAACCCCCCTAAAAAACGGTCCATCGCATACAGTGGCCTTCTCAAACATTTATTTAATAATTTTTATTTGGTGGAAGGGTAAATGCCCCTTTGCCTCACCCCTGGGTGTGTCTCTGATAATGACGTCCCTGATGACTGCAACTTTAAAGTATTTTTTTTCTTTTATCCAATGCATGGGCGTAGAGACTAGAACACACAGCCTCGGCATGGACCTACAAGTGCCTACAAAGCGCTGATACTTTAATTTCATAATTTAGGGTGTTTTTTGTTTTTCGATCTCCCAGTGAGAATCAGTCACCGTGCAAAAGGACTGTTAGTATGTTATTGTTGCACATGCAGACCTGTGGGTATCTCAAAATAATGCACTAACAATCAACGTAAATTCACAACTGAGTTTGGCTCTCTTTAAACGCACACGTTCTGCACACACAACGCGCAACAGGCAATTACACAAATTAATGTCACATTAAAAGTATACATACATACAGTGCACAGTAATCCAACTCAATTATGACCAGTAAAACATGTTACATATTTCATCCATGTGTATTTTGATGAAGTAAAAATTGTATTACTGAGAAAAAAAATGCATCATTGTCAGTATCATCAAAATCACCTAACCCACCATTTCATGGTATAAAACAAATGGAAGTACGTTAATAGTATGAATGCTTTAGATTCAATGAAACGTTACTTGACTGCATGTTGATATCTGCAACACCATACAGCACTTCTATGGACTAAGAATGTGTTTGAACAAGTTCCCCTAAATAGGAGATGGTACACGTTCACCTTTCTACAAGGTAAGAATGTGCCATTTATTCTGGGGGAGTTTTCTCAAATTATCCTTATTCATCCCGATTCAACCACAGTTCACATGTATGCTCATTGCATTTGACAGCTTTAAACGAGCAGAAAATGTGCTTCCACAATAGAGCGAGTGTGAGTGTGTTGGGTCTTTAAAAAAATTCGAAGGTATAAAGATGTAAAACAATGACAAGAGCACCAAAAAGAAAACCCAGTGGGATCAATCACATATTTGGACAGCAATGCAAGAGAGCCAGAACCATACCAACATTAGTCCGAACAAGATAAAAAACCTTTTTCCACTTGCACATCTGAGCCGTGCCAGCACGGGGCCAGCACGGCACGGGCGGTTTTTAACTGGAGGCACGGCTTGGATGTGCGAGTGGAAAGAGGGGAATAAAAGAGTGGTAATGAGCCCTTTGTGTGCGTATACCTGTGCATTGCGGAATATCAGGTGTGCTTTGCACTCGCTTGACGTTAATGGTAAGAGCCGACACGGATCGGGGATGCGTGCGGACCGGCGCCTCTGCAAGCAGAAAACACACGGGGACGGGGGCCATGCAGGAGGGAGCAAGGCCACTTGCGTTTGTCTCGCTCTTGAGGAACAAGGCCAATTACGTCCAAAATGCCACAGAAGATCAGGCAGAAGGGCCTCGATTACAATCCGTGTTCCATTCGGAACTCAGCCCACGTAGGAGACTACTTGTGGCGGGAGTGGGAGATGCTCATTCGGGCCTCATGCATCCAATTTTAGGAGGCAAAATAAAACTATAATTGGCCAAGCATCTGAATCAGAATGCTCCTAAAAATGTTTGTTTATTCTTGGCCATGTTTTGCTGGGTGCATACATTATCACTATCTTCATGAGGTCTTATAAAAAATGTAAGAGATATTACTTGTCTTTTAACATAGTTACAACTGTGTGTAATCTATGTTTTTATTAAGTTTACATATTGGTTTTACAGAAGATTAGCTAAAAGAAGTATGCCTCATTTTGGCCTTGATAAAGCCCCAGGAATTTAACGGGGCCTCATGGGCATTGGAGAAATGAGGATAACAATTTCAATAAAACTGAAGGGTTTTTACCTCACTATAAGATTATTGTTTTTTTGGATGAAATTTTAATTGAATCAGATTTCTCCAAATAACTCCCTCTGAACGGACGTAAGAGCCACATAGCATGCAGGGCAATCCAAGTGTCACCACGGCAACATGAATTCAGTTGCCATGACTACACAGGCCCGTTACCAGAGCAACCGCAACAAGACGGCCCCAGAGTGGAGGCATTAAGAGTGAGCAGAAACAGACAGGGGAACAGCAATCACGGTGGTGATCTCACGGAGAAGACCACCACTCAGGCTCCCCACAAGAGGGAGGCTCCCCCAGAGATGGAGTGAGTGTGTGAGCAGGAAAGCTAGCGGTGGTGGTAGCATCAGCAGCATCAGCGTGTATATCCGTTACTCGCACACGTGTCAATAGAAGAGCAAATTCTAAACGAGGGCCGCCATTTTGTTTTTTAAGAGCCCATAGGTGGCAACATCAACAAAACTATTGCAATCACGTCACGATCACACCCAATTGTTATTCTGGTCGTCAGTCGCACGCGGTTTAGTTGTTAATTGAATTGCGTGAGGGCACGTGGTTACGAACACACAACTTTTGGCCAATGTTTATACGTAGGCTTTCACGAACAATATTTTGATGCATAATAACTATCTTTTGCATCAGATCATTGTGCAGGATAATGCCAATTTAGAGAGCAGAGCTTTTATTAACACCTCATGATGCCGGATGCAGTCTCCAGCCAACCATCAAACAGCATTTTTAAGTTTGCTTGCTTGCTTGCTTTTCAACACTGTGGTTTTGCTGATAAACCAAATCAATTGGCATATTTGCCCACGTGGCAACTTAATTTGATTGGCTCTGTCGGGTGGTAGAGGATTAAAGTGATTTTTTTTACATATGTATGTGATTTAACCCAAATGAAACGAATTATGAATCGCAATTTTCAGGATCCCTTTTGAACTTCGTATGTGATCACACCAGCTTTGTAAAAAACAATTGCAAACGAGATAACATTGCATGCACATTCATGAACAAGATTCCGTCCCGTATCTAAAATTGAAGGTACAGAATTTTGCATAAATACCGTAGGTGGTAAGATGTTCAAGCACCAAATAGACAACACCTTTTGTAAGCCATAAAGTCTGCATTAACCACACATTTGTCGTCCAGAAATACAAACAAATATGCTTTAATAACGTATGCCCTGTCGTTGAACTGACTGGCCTTCACCAGAGACAGACCCTTTTATGGCTTTGTCGCACGAGCGCTATCGATCAAAAGGCAAAAGGCCGCCAAAAGGTGACGAGTACACTGGCAATGCAAACACCAAAAAAAATCAAAAACTTGGGTGAAGCAGGACTTGTATATTTGTGTAAAACAGCCTCTCAATGTTCATGAGCTTAAGCAGAGCTCTGTGTTGGATGATCAACCTGTGTAGCCTTCGATAAAACAATCAGATACCATGACGCGACGTATGGCTTGAAAACAACATTTGAAACTTACCGCCACCTACACCGAGAGAACCATTGTGGGGTAATCCATTACTGCTGAAGGTTCTGTCTGTTGACAAAAATGAAAAAAAAAGTCGTTATAATCAATGCTTAACACATGTTATATGTAACTCAACACGTGTCTCTTCATCAATGCGCACACACCTTAGTTTTTAGGAGTCAGAAAGTTACAAAAGTAAGTGCAATAACACAGGCAAATCTTGACTTAAAGCTTTCGTGACTGCAGGGATTAATATTCGTTGGGTCTTTCGGTAAAGTCACGTAGATAGGTGCAAATTAATAAAAATAAAATAAACAAAAAACTATCTACGTGACTTTACTGAAATACCCAAATAATATAAATAACACAAATCAAGATAAATAACACAGGCACACGCCACACTCTTAAAATAATAATACAAATGATAATGGTTGGCAATCGAACTCAGGTAATGGGTTTCACTGCTCCTCCATCCAACCCAATGTTATCGTTAAATATACACTGTGGCAGATCACAGAATCAATACATCAATGAGTAATCATTGTTAACAGAAAAACTATATTTGTTTTTAAGGATTGCTTCCTGACCTTCCACCCATGTCTACGGAGAGTGAAGAGGATGGCTCAGAGACTGTGGGCCAGAACCGGGTTGCCCCTAGGCCACCAGAGCCCAATCGCCAGCAGCCATGGAAATGCGGCACGTGCAATGCCCCACTGGCATGGGTGGAGTAGTGGACACAGTGGTTAACGCACGGTGCTACGAACCCGGCAACCCGGTCACGGCTAACATCAGTGGCGAGGGCGCCACGGTGGCGAGATGTCAGCTACCTCGCCTGGTATACAGGAGGTCGTGGGTTAAATCCCGACCCTGACGCCTGCTGCTGTATATTTGGAGTTTGTGCTCGCCACGGTCGTGTGGATTTTCTCTCCGGGCCCTCAAGTTTTCCCCTCCGCGTTTAGAAACTTGCGTTTAGAATATTTGACTGCTTTAAATGTCCACGTGATAAGCCACTTCGTTGGGCTATCATTCGTGATGGCCAGGACGCTTCTGAAAAAGAGCAATATAGCTCGGTGGGCTATACCTGGTAAAAAAAAACAACATAGTAAAGAGTAATAGTATAGAGTCATATCAGACCAGTCCTGCTCTACCAAGCCCTTTACCAACCTGTACTGAGTTGGCTTTAATTTATTTATTTTGCTCTAATGTTAATGCATGGATAGATGAGGACATGCACTTCAAGCTCCTCCCATTACCCAAATGTCCTTACCTGAGTTCATGCTGACACTCGAGCTTGTCCCTTGAACGTCAAGGCTTTGGTTGTCTCTGGAGGAGAAATGTGGACAGAACACATGAGGTGCCGGACTGCAGATTCCATCGACTTTACAGCACTCACACGTTGTTAATTGAGTGGACTGAATGTTGAGCATCGTTGGAAAAAAAAAATATTATTCCATGTAAAGAAAACTCAAATGTACAAATATATAATGCTGGATGTAATCGCCACGAGAAACGTATAGAATTATCATTGTGTTTGAACATTGTAGTTTTGCTGAAACACCAAATCTATTTGCACATTTGCTCATATGACAGCTTGATGTTATGGGCTCTGTTGTGTGGTGGAGGGTTATAGTTCAAACAGTGACATCATTACCGGCAAGATCTCACGCAAAATAAACCAACTTTGAAGGAACAAATATATATTTTAAAACACAAACTTTTTTTCTAAGCGTTGGTGACAAGGTTGAACGATGAGTAATTATGCAAGGATTCTAAATCAACTAAAATCCATAACAGCTACTTCCTTATCCAGTGAGGGCCTCTCCTAAGTTGACTCAGCCTATAATGAGCATCTGTTTCTGCATGTCATGCTGAGAAATGAGTGTGGAAATACGACTCGTGGATAGGAGCATGTCCAGCCTACGGGTATCTGGAATGTTAACCATTGTTTTTACACATTCCATTCTAAAACAAATGTTTCTATAAAATCAATCATTCCAAACATGCACACTTTATAGGCAAAAAAACATTTGCATATTGAAGGAAGAGTCATAATGTAGTTTATACAGGGTACTGCTCTGTAACAATTGACCTTTTCCATTGTAATAAGTATTTTTTTGCACACGGAAGGAAACCAGAGTACTTGGAGAAAGTCCACACATACAAGGGGATGGCAGAGTATGAAAAATACGAAGAGGTTTTATACCCTTTCTGGCTATAAAACAGGTGTTAAGAAATTATTGGTTCTTTCGGTAAAGTCACGTAGAAGGGAAACAATAAAATAAAAAATATATAAAACAATAAAATTATCACGACGTTTCGACTGCAACACAAGCAATCATCATCAGGTGTGAAAAACACCTTAAGAAAATTTTAAATAAGTGGCGGTTTTTTCTTAATGTTAAGAAAAAGCCATCACTTATTTCACGTTAAGAAAAAACCGCCACTTATTTCAAAATTTCTTGCCGTGTTTTTCACACCTGATGATGATTGCTTGTGTTGCAGTCGAAACGTCGTGATAATTTTATTGTTTTATTATTTTATTGTTCCTCTTCTACGTGCCTTTACCGAAAGAACCAAGAATATGAATCCCTGCAGTCACGAAAGCGTAAAATCAAAAGGTGTTAAGATGTTCCAACACCAAATAGAAACCTTTTACAAGTAATCATGTCTGCATTAACACCACACGGTACTTGTGGTGAATATACAAGCAAAACATGCTCTGATAATTGCATTATCTTTCAAACTGATTGGCCTACACCAGACACATACTAATTTATGGCCGAGTCTCACCAGTGTCAGACCAGAGAACGGCAAATGGCGAACAGTGCAAAGACAATGCACGTATCAGAGCATTGATAGCTCGGAGTGAGTAACTCTATCATGGGACCTTTTTGGGATGGCAGAATTCTGCACAGATAGGTTCATGAACGCACTTGTCATGCTGCTATCTCATGGCCACCTCACACCCCAGCAGGTTTGGGAGGTCACCATCCACCAATACCTGCCTCCAAGATTCTGGCTTACAGGCGTGCATTACAGATCGGGTTACCACCTGTCCTGGTTTTCTCAGGATGCCTTCTCGTTCAGGTCGCTTGTCATGGGAAATCTCCAAGTCTCCTCTGGATGTTAAAAAGTTCTATATTGGTAAGTTGTGTAAAATTCCACCGCCCAAGACAATGCATTTGCATGTGGCTTCCCCCGCTTCTGGTATTGAGATATTCTTGTTCCCATGAAAAATTCCCAGTATTTTTATACGTCAGAGGTGGCAACCCGAATCACCACGCACAGCTGCGTGCAGCATCGGCGACGCTACACGAAAGAACCGCGGACCAGAACGTGAACTCCGTTTCATTACTTGAACAGCAGCAGCAACAGCAAAGAACAAAAAATAATGCACCACCAAGCGAATCACTTGGATTCGTGAGATTCCACGGTATTGGGCAGCTTCCACGGAAGGCGGTGGCATTGGCATTTCAGCGGCACGGCTGAAATCCGAACCCCGGCAGCGGTGGCGTGTGACCCGCGCAGAAGCCTTCGCGCCGCCCCCGGCGTGAAACGAGAAGGAAAAAACCCCGACAAGTGAGGGCAGCTCGGTGTAGCCGGTGATTTACGCGGTACCGGCCGACGTTCGCCGCCCTCGCGGCACGAGAGTGACGAGGTGCGTTGTGTTTGCCTCCACTAAATGCGGCGCTCGCGATGTCAGACTCGGCGACTGCCGGGCGCCTGGGATACATTTTCAGGGGTTACGAGGGAATGGATGCGTGGTGCAGGCCACCCACTGGGCTGCGTGACCCCCGCCCCCCCCACCAGCGGGGGTCGAATATCTTCTTGGGCACCAGCAAAGGTCAAGGGACGCTGGGAGGGAAGGGGCGGGGAGGGTGCGATGGGATTCGTTTTTTTGTCGTTGCTTTGTTTTAATTCTATCTGCGATCCAATAGAGCTGGGAGGGGTGGGAGTGAGGGGGGCGGACGTTCAGCTGCCGCTCCGTAAATCAGCCCCTTCGCGGGGTTAAGCAAAGGGACGTGAAGGCGGCATTCATGAATGGAGGCATCGCTGGCTTCCCTCACCATGGCCAGGGAAAGTCTGCATTGCTCGTTGGCCTCTCCTTCTCGCGATTCCATCACCGTTATCATTGCACCCGTGCTTTTGTATTGTTTGCTGTTGTAAATTTCTGACCCCGTGCCCCTTACTGGACACCTGTGCAAGAAGAGCTTCATAGCTCATTGGATTCCTCCAGTATAAATTCATAGTCTGATTCTGTGTCGGAGTCCCGGTGCTTATTTATTCGGTCTCCGATCTCGACAGATCTCAGAAGACAAGCAGGGTTGACCTTAGACAGTGCTTGGGTGAGCACCCGCCGTTGGCAATTGGTGTTACAATAAGGGCTACGTTGTAGGTATGTAGAACTTATTTCACACCCTACGTAGCCAACCGTGCTAATCGAAGGTGCGGGCAGCAAAAGGCAGCGCAGCAAATTCCACCGTTGTACTGTACGTACATCAATCTAAGCTCCAACGCCTTCGGCAAACCCTCACTGACGGGCATGGCGAACGTCTGTATGTTAACCCGCGTGACCCGCGCAGTGTGTGGAGTGACAAAGGGCTGTATGCATACAATACACGGACGTCTACGCCGCGTTAGTACAACCTCACGCACGCACGGGAGTCGTCGGCCCCAACAAGGGAAGAATGGACGTTGAGAGATAGGCAGTCAAGCAGCAGGAATTTGGCACAGACGAGGAATTTAATTATTGAGCTGCAATGCGATTGTATCCAGAACACTGGGGTTTAGGGTCCTCTGCTCTCATCGTCAAAGGGAGCGAGGGGGATTTTGCATTTAAAAGGGGGCAGAGGCAAGACTACAGCCTGATGGCTCCATCTGTAAGGTGATCCTTAGCAGGGCTTCGTTCTATACCTTAAACAATGTTTGACAAACTACGAAGGCAGGAAAGCCAGATATTAGTAATAAACAACGATTCCTTCAAACTATTTGTTTTATCTAAAAATAATAATGATGTCATTACAGCATGGCGAAGTATGGTTAAACAACCCCATGACTGGCATGGCTTGGGGAGTTTTCATCCAGCAGCGGATTAATGAAGGGCTTTTAAACGTTAAACATTTAACTCAACTAATGTCAGTTATTTACCCAGGAAAGCGTCACAGAATCTCAAGACTTTTTTTTTTCCATGAGGGTCCTGCATTGGGGACGTTCAATTTCATGAATGAGTGTCTTGATTGAACGTGGGAGGAAATCCGAGAACCCGAAGAAGACCCAAGCATACGAGGGGTAACACTCAAATGCTGCCACCATCTCCTGGCCACCGTGCAGCCCCGCACCCACAACACCTGCCAATCCCTGGTGGTGATCACCCATCCAATTACCAACCATGCTCAACAACCAGGCTTAGCTTCCAAGATCCGATCGGATCGGGCGCACTTCAGGGTGATTTGGTCATCGGCAAACCATGCGCATCTTCTTGGTTCTTTCGGTAAAGTCACGTAGAATGGAAATAATAAAATAATAAAAATAAAACATAATAAAATAATTCTCACGACGTTTCGGCCACAACGCAAGCAGCCGTCCTCAGGTGGAGAGCAGGTCTGTCGATAAGACGTTGTGAGAATTATTTTATAATGTTTTGTTTTATTATTTTATTATTTCCATTCTACGTGACTTTACCGAAAGAACCAAGAAGATGAATCCCTGCAGTCACGAAAGGTTTAAATCGAAAATTAAACCATGCGCAGTTAAGCCAACTATTTGTAGTTAGCGGCGTGGCAACGCAGTCCAAATGAAACAATGCAGCATGAACAGACTATGAGACAGCAAGGGCCAAATAATTCACGATAAATGTGCTTCCTTGTTGCAAATAGCTCACTAAGAATAGCCGTGCCACGTGTACACGGGCACGTGCTAGCCGCGCGCACACTGCAAACTCGCGGTATAATCGTAGACGCTGGTAATTGCACCGAAACGTGCGCGTGTGTCATCATGCAGGCGTTTTTTTTCATCACATGGGCACAGGACAGTGACTCACACGTGGCACGTGTAGGACAGAGAGGGCCGTTAGACTGGGGTGTATAGTTAGCAGAGCAAGTGAGCTAAAATAAGTGATTGGACCAATTTAATTTTTTGGAAAGACTTAGAACATCTGTGCATGCAGGAGGATAGCACTCAAACTCCACACATACACAATAAAAGCCTATACTAGGCCTACTTTCTGTTATTTCACCTACTTGGTACCTCATTTCTCTAGATATACATAACTCCTTTTATCCGAGAACCTATTACCAGTGACTCCTCTTCTCCATGGGAACTGC